TTCAAGGGTAGCCCCACGTAGAGCGCGTTACAGAAGTCCAGACGGGAAGTCACCAACGCATGTGTCACTGTCGCAAGGCAGTCATTCTCCAGATAGGGGCGCAGCTGATGAATCAGCTCCTCGCCAATGAAACAGAGCATTACATTTTTGGAAAACATAAGGTATAGATAAAGGAAGCCCAAATATAACATAAGCAATCCAAGGTATAGTATTTCCCCTAAATGTTTTAACGTTACCTAGAAGAGTCAACTTTAAAGATGTCCATCTATATCCTATGCAATCTGATTCATCAGCTTTTTCAAGTTCAGCTTGATTGTTTGGAATATGATTCTGGGAATAAGTATTCCCAAATAAAATAATAGATTCTGGGCACTATCAAAACTTTCAAATAGCTAGTACAGTATGAGATGGAGCATCTGCAATCAGCCTCATTTCAGACTTCAACCCATTAAATGAATAGCTAGAGAAATCACCAAAAGCTTTAATCAGTTTTGCATCATATCTGGGAAATATTGGAGATAAACAATAAGAACATCAGTATAATTATTCTAAATTCTATCCAATTATGTGCAAATCTATAAATATTGCTGTTCCCTCAAATAACATCCTGGGGGTTCCAAACATAAGTTGAATATCAATGGAGAAAGTGGACATCGTTGTCTGCTACCTCTCCCAAGTTAAAGAAAAATCCTAGGAAAGACTCTTGGTCATAACTTGCGTTTCTGGGGTTGAATTTAAAATGTTTACCCATTTCTGAAAGTCTGTTGTACACAGGTTAAGGGAAATTTTGTTATGAAAGAATATATTTCAACTTGTATTTAATGTCCTGCAACTCCTGATAAAGTTGTGGCAGTTGGGTTATAAGAAATTCGAACTTTTTATTTAGAGATAGTTGTTGCATTTTATTAAAAAAAACATTCTTATAGGCAATAATTCAACCCCATATACTTCATTGTTCTTCCTTTAGAAGCTCAAGAATCACCAGCTAATTTTAAAATACTTGAATAACTCAACAGAAATCTGATTTTAAACATCTCATCATTGAAGAAGCGTTGAAATGTCAGATACCTGGTTTGGGGGGTGGGGGGGGTATTGCAGGTAAATTTGCAAAATTTAAACACTGCAACTCCAAACAGACTTAGAGCATGGTCTGAGATTACAAGTGTATCAATTATAAATGTTTGTTTGGTTTAACAAAGATATAGGAACAAAACCAAAATCTAATTGAAAACAATTATGATGGACAGGTGAAACAAAAATATAATCTCTCTTGCCAGGATGCAAGTTCAGGATAAACCTGAACATAAATTTCACTACCGTTTGTCTTTTAAGAGCAAGCATGCTCCTATCCAATGAAAGATCTAAATCTCATTGAAAGTAATCAAATGATACCAAGTATCAAATATCAACCAAATTGTTAAAAAAGAATAATTATTAGGCCCATACGCATTATCAATTTATTTCCCAACCACAATCAAAAAGAGACTGTAAGGATCAAAAAACACCTGTAGAACTGAGAAAAGAGAACTGCTTATAAATTAAAATTGGAAGCCATTTAAGCCATGTTGAAGTTGCATAGATCTGCTAAAACCAAACTTTTCTAACCTGTATTCATATACAGCCATTAATTGTGTTTCTTATTTAAAAAACCCAAAAAACAAGCTACATTGTTAAGATCTTTTAACTTAAAAAGCACTCTGTTCTCCTTATTTAAATTCTGCAGCCTCTTGACATGAATTCATACTGAATAGAAAAAGAAAATGATAGAATAACAGAGAAAAATATATATTTGCCCAATTCATACATATATTCCCAATTTTACAAGAATTACTCCCTTTTAAATGATAGCGCATACCAATCATTAATAGGATACATTTCAAATATTTTATGCTAAATCTTAAGATGCTTTACAATAAATAAATAAAATTAAAAGGCTGAAAGTAAATAACTCAAATAGTGCCAGCATCCCTTCCAACCCTGTGTTCCCATCACTGAAAATTATATTCAATTAATTCTACTAGAAGCCTGAGCTTGGGCTTTAGTTTCATTGCATTGAAATGAGATGGCATTCATGGTTTATTTATGAATTCATAAGAATGTGTATTATGGATAAATTAAAACTGTTCCATGCCTTCTTATGAATTCTGCCCTGAAAAGCAGGGAAATAAGTGTAAACTCATGCTGAGATTCATGCATAACCAATCAGTTTCTTTGAAAGTATTTTAATCTCTCATGGAATGTGTCTTCACCATCTTTGCTGTTTCGCTTCCAAACTGTGAAAGCACTGAAGACCATCTTTTCCTACAGAAAATTTTGGGGACATCTTGCAGCATCCCTGCAAAGTTTGAAAATGAGGTACTGTTGATTGGTAGTTCATTTGAGAACATGCTCTTCCTCTGTTTGCCTTAGGTTGTTGCAGCATGAAAATGAGGAGCTGCGTCGGCGTCTGGCCTATGTCACCAACAAAATGGAGGCAATGGAGAGAGAGTTAGAGTCTGGTCAAGACTATTTGGAGATGGAGTTGGGCCAGAATCGTGAGGAACTAGAAAAATTCAAGGACAAATTCCGTAGGTATGTTAAAAGAATTTTGAAGGGTTGGGAGAGGAAGACAAGTCACATTTTTTCCTCATGATCTTGGACAGGGGTCTCAAACTTGCAGCCTGCGGGCCAATTGCCGGGATGGGCGGGGCATGGGGGAGGGGCCCTGCGGCCTTCAAAGTGCCAGTGGCGCCCGGGCCAGACGCTGGATGAGCGGCCCACCACCACCGCGGTGGTGGAATACTTGATGTGGCCCAGCCTCACCCAGACTGCCCCCAGGTAAGTTGATTTTGAGACCCCTGATCTTGGATGTACCTTCTGAACGTTGAATTGCCATTTCCAGGGTTGTTGGAAGAAGCATTAAATGTGCATTGACACCTTTATGCAATACATGTTGCCTCTTTCTCACCAATCATAGAATTCTTGTGATCATCCTGGGCTTAAGAAATTGTTTTGGGTGAATGGATCTTAAGCATGGGATGAGGGGAGCAAAATACAATACAAAGTGCTCACAAAGTCAGAATGTTGTCTTACATGTTTTTCATGACATGACTGACTAATTTAACATTACCTAGGACTGATGTGTTAACATTTCATAACTACCACATGACAGAATCTGAATTTGTTTTCTGAGCCAAGAAATTAGTTCTATCCATGAAGCCTACTGGGCTCCATCAAACTTTGTTCTAACTATTTGAAATTAATAGCATTGAGGATGGTGTTGACCTGTTGTTAGAAATTCAGGGGATTCTTCTCTTCCCCTCCCTCACTACTGGTACATAAAAGTGGACCTGTGTTTAAACTTAAACTGGCTTCTTATTTTGGGTGGGCACAAGCAAGTTAGAAACCATGATCATGGCATTAAGTTACTTAGCACTTCACAAGTGTATAGAAAAGGGGTGAAGAAGGAGATGTGGGTGAGGATTTACTCTGCCTGGCAAAAGGTTCTTTTCCCCTGGGGAGGCTTCTCTGAAACTGTCATGATTCCTTGTGCCCTTCTCCCAGGCTTTGGCTGTGACCAGTTTCTCATCCAGCCTGTCCATCTCATGCCTTCTCAATCAGTATTTCACACCTTCTTCCCCTTCCTCAACTTCTTGGCTTCTACAGATGCCCATAGATGGGCAGAACTTAGGGCACACAACAGATGCATTACAAAACTGTAATGTGGAAAGCCAATACAGCTGCTTTCGTGATATGCCTAACTTGGATACTGTAAGGTCTCTTGCAGCTCTTCAATGATGTGGTCACTCTTGTGTTTGTCTCTAGGTTGCAGAACAGTTACACAGCTTCACAAAGAACCAATCAGGATTTGGAGGAGAAGCTGCATGCCTTGGTAACTGATCTGCTGAGCTTTTTAAAGGGAAATGTGGGTGGGCCAAAGTCTGTTTAATAGGTGGATTCCTAGCATTACTGTGTAGTAACACCAGAATGTAGTGAGCCAAGAGTGGGGATAGAACCTGAGCCTGGAGTTGCCAGCTTGGAGAGTGGGGGTGGGGCTTGCCTTCCAGATCTTGGTGTTGTATGTAACAGTCTGGGTTAGTCTGCAGTGCAGCTATGTGTAACTTTGTCTTGCATCAGCTTTTTAGAAGATTGTTGGAGGTATAATAACAATGAGTGGGGAGGTTCATTATGGGTTGTGGGCAATCAGAGTGGAGCCAACATTTGTGTATTGTGTGCATTCATAACACTCATGGCTGTTTCTTCTCTCTCCTCTCTCTCTCTCTCTCTCTCTCTCTGTTTCTCTCTCTCTCTCTCTCTCTCTCTCTCTCTCTCTCTCTCTCTCTCTCTTCCTTCCTATGCTGCCGCTGGCACACATTGGGTGTGCTCACCTCTCAGGCCTCTCTCAGTCAAAGCTGGATTTTTGCAGTTGCGTCTTTTTGTTTGTGTGTTTTTTCTTTTTCCTCTTCACATGTCTCAGCTTTTCCAGTTTTACTGTTGATCATGCATTATTCAGCTCCACTTGCACTGTCCATGATGAGGTCCCAGAAACTGAATCAGCCAGCAACTTGGGTTTGAATAAACGGTTAAGCTTGCGGGGTTGGGGAGTTGGCCTGTTCTTTCCACAGTTCCTAGCCTTTGTTATTTCACCTGGTAGCATACTCTGTAGCAGGAATGAAGTGTACCCTGAATGGTGTAGGAGATGACATGGGAACCTCTTTTTATTACTGCACTACTATCTCTGTAAACAAATGCAGCTCTAATAATTAGCATGTTTTCACTTGCATGTAAGCCATCTCTCATTACTTAGGCTCTCTGTGGTTTATTGAACAATTGCACAGATGTCTAATTGCGCTTGAGCTTCTACATTGAGCTCTGCTAACTCTGGTCTTACCTTTCCACAAACCATTGTGGCTAGTCACAATAGCAAAACATAACCTGTGGAATGCCCTGAATTTTGATTTGGTATTTCAGAAAAGCAGAAAAACCCTATTGTTCTCTCTGGGGAACAGAACTGTACTATCTTCATTATGTCTCCTTATCTGGTACTCATAGAAGGGGGAGCCTTGGAGAGCAGATAAACAAGCCGCAGAGAGATGTGCACTGTCAGGGCCTTTCATTTCTGCACAAATCCAGCATCCCTTCCTGATCACTTTGGGGGAATATCTGTACTTACCTGAGCCCATTCATCTGACATGACTGTCTCTTCTTCCCATGTAAAGGCAATAACTGTGAGGTGTGGTGGGTAAGTAGGGCAGGTTCAGTTGTGGCAAGTTTAGTGAAATTTGCTGCTAAGGCAGGTTTTGGAGTGATGGCCTTTGTATCTAACAGTGCAGGATAGGTATGGAAGAAAACAGTGGCCCAGAATTCTAGAATCTAGTTTTAGGGTCTCCAATTCCATCCATTTTAGATCCCAAATACTATCACTTGGGTAAAAAAACCCTGGAAATAAATACCTTTTTAGGACTATGTAGATGATATAACTCTGACTGCTGCTCACAAGAATAGCAGTTAACGTTGAAAGCAAAATCAGTGCTCTGAGAACCTCAGCTTTCATGTAAGCAGCCAATGCATATTACTTAAGGGCTGCAACCTTATGTGTATTTGAGAGAAAGCCACGCTGGGGGCACCAATACTAATTTCAGAGTGAAGGTGCATTGGCTTGTGCTCTATGTCTGGTCTGAAAGTTAAATGAGAAATGCTTGGTTGAAGTTCCAGAGCAGAACGTCCAATAGACAGAGCATTCTTTCTTCCCTCACCAACTGAAAGAAGAAGAAACTGTGCAGAACAAGAATATATTTGCTTCATTCACATGCCTTTTTAAAGTTATGGACTAAGTGATAGCTGAAGAAGGGGGAAAGGGTTGTTGAGGGTATGGTAGCAGTGAGGAACCTCCCATGTGACCCATCAGGTCTCAGCAAAGGCTCCTCCTCCCCCCAAAACTTAAACCAGTGTGAAGGGCAGGAGCAGCAGGAGAGTTAGATCAGGCTACATCTCAGTGCTGCGCAGTGAGGAGGGATGTCTTATTCTTAGTGCCCAGAATAGAAATGGAGCATTCTGGACATGAAGAAAGAAGTTGTTCTGAAGCAGAATCATGTAGGTTGATAGACCACCTTCCCCTACAACATCAGATAATTGGTTTGGTATTGCTATCATCACTATAAGAGAAGCTGTTCACAGTTTCTCTATTGAATAGGAGAAGGTTTTGACAAAAGAGGATATGACTGAATGGGAGCTGGACTGAACATTATTCCTGTTACTGTTGGCATCCCTTCAGTGCATTGAACCTGTAACTAGGGTTTTAGTTTTTACAGATCTTGCAAGTGATTGACTCTGTGTAGCATTTGAGCCCTGTCTCCCTTCCCTTCTTATGGGGGTGTGGGGAAGGGGCTGTTAATTTTCTAGAGTTGGGTGAGTTAGAGTACAGATTGTTTGGAGGAATGTAGGGCAGGATCAAAGACCATTGAATGTTGGCTCACAGGACTCATTGCTTCTAAATGCTTGTGCTCCAGATTAAAAAGGCTGAGATGGATCGGAAAACCCTTGATTGGGAGATTGTGGAGCTCACTAATAAGCTTCTTGATGCCAAAACAACTATCAATAAACTGGAAGAGCTTAATGTAAGTAATCCTTCATTCAAACTGTGTTTCCAGTACCAAGCAATATTGCGGGGTGGGGGCAGGAAGAATCAATGGCTTGCATCCTTCCTAAACAACAGAGATGCAAATCAGAAGTTGGTGCTGAAGCTGTGTGAAGAACTGAACATGTCAGCCTCTCTGTGGATCACAGGAGTAGAGATCCCAGGGGAAGACCTGTAAAATAAAAGACTTGAGACTAAGTCTTAATTGGGTAACATAATGGAGCTGATAGTTTGCAAGGAACCTTGGCATTTGAAAATGATTGGGTTGCCTCATCAATTTGCCATTAGAGTAAACCTCTTTTATTTGAGCATTTGGTACTACTTCTGTTATCGTATTAGTTATTTTATTAACTAATTAGAATACATTGTGCTGTGGAGCAGATACAGAGGTATTTTTGCTATTGAGCTATACCCTAGTCTACCAAAGAATTCAGTCCTTGCCTCCAGATAGGAGAAAACCTGGTCCTTAGCTCAGCAGCTGACAGGGTACCTTTCTTTAAAATCATAAGTGGTCAGTCCTTCCTCTTGCATTTTTTAACCAATTAGCACATGAAGAACTTACAGCTGCTTTAATTAAATCACTGAACATTAACATGCATATAAAAGCTTTTTATACATTTTATTATGCAGTGTATACATATTTATTGTACATAGAATAAAATCCAAATATACTATGTCTAAAAATCAATGAAAATAAAACTACTGAAAAATATACTTGTGTGGTCTAGAAATGAAAGTCACTGAGTTCTAAGAGAGAAAGGTATATTTTTAATGAAATAATTCATTGACAAAATAAGGCTGTAAGCATCAAGTAATGTTATTTTCTTGAACTTCATCAGAACTCGACTGCCAAAGTTGAACAGCAGCCAACAGACTTTAGCTGGTTATCTACAGTGTTAATTTGTTGAAGGGAATAAAGAAATGTTTGAGAAAGTCCTTAAAGATAATTTAGTATTTTTGGCCATAAATTAGCATTTTTTAGGAAAAAACTGAACGAGGTGTCAGTGGTGGCACCTGACTGGATTTCTGTTGGCAATTACCTCATTTTTCTGCCAGAGAAGACTGAGAAGAGAAGGCGATGGAATCAGAATTGATCCTACCATTAGCCAGGAAAGGTGGCCAGTCTCAGGTGGCAGATTCTACAGTACCATAAAAGGGCAGCAAGTTTTCAGATACCTTTCTTTATCACCATGGAGTGCCTTTTTCATTTTCTGGCTCAGGCAACAAAATATCATGGACCATCTCTAGATGTGACTCCCCAGTCACTGTGTGTTGTCTTGACAGGAGCGTTACCGACTGGACTGTAACCTGGCAGTGCAGCTCCTGAAGTGCAACAAATCTCACTTTCGGAACCATAAATTTGCTGATGTGAGTAGAAACCTTGAGGGAGCTGGGGTTGAATTACTCTCTGCAGAGATCTTGTCTTGGGAATTGTTTTTGTTCCACACATGGAAAAAGTAAGAGCAGTTGCTTGCTTTCATTTTGCAATGGGACTTGGGCAGAAGAGACAGTAAAAGGCAATGAATAGCCTGTCGTGTCTAGTTTGCATTGCTTCCCAGCTGCATTTCTGTTAGTGGGAAGGAGGAAGCTGTTGTCATTGCCAGATCAGTCTTGATCTTGATAATCTGATAGGTGCCTGGAATCTGTTCACAGACTTGCAGGCCTCTGTCTGAGTTTTCCTTCTGTTTCAGCTAACCAGTTTTGTATGACTCCTCAGCATACTACTGAGTTCTAACTAGGGAATTAGGCATTTCATAGAGGAATTGGTTAACCTGAGATGCTTTTAACTTTCAGATGGAGGGAAATTCTCCCAGCACTGCCCAGAGGTTTACAGCACTTGGGCATTTTCCAGGTTTCATTAAATATAAATACACAAGGGTTCTTAGCACTCTGTGGTGCAGTGATTGGTCCCTTCTTGGGACCAATCTTATATTACTTATACTACTCTCAAATCCATTCCAAACCACAGCACCTGATGATGGTAATAAGTGTACAAATAAGAGCATAGTCAGATAAATGAACAGCCATAGTAGTAAATGTGCAGGATGTCTACCATTAAATGGGTGCCACACCTCACTACAAAATGATCTTCAAAGATACTGTTCTCCATTTCAGAACTCCATCTAGCCACCAGTATAGCTAATTTTGTTACTCATTTTTCAATGAATGACCAGGATGCTCCTCAGAATGGGCATCTCTGAGATCAGCTGGTGCTGGTGTTTTCTAGCAGTCTTCCCTCTGAGTTTCAGGTGATTTTGTTTTTGTCAGGATATTGATTTCATCATATGGATGCTCTTTGTTCAAGCAAGGTGCGTCTATCATTTATTGCTACAATGTGCTTTTGTTTGTCCTTTTATTGAAAGAGGAGCTGATGCTTCATAGAATTTAGAATGTCAAATCTTTTTTGGGAATTTATTTGTAAATATTGGTGGTATTAAAGGGCATAGGCTTGGTCAGCATTAGTGGTTCTATGGGACATAGAAAAGAAGGTGATTTCTAAGGTTTGAAGGCATCAAACCTTTAAGGTTTGGTATTCACTGCCAAATCATTATTAAGTTTTAGGGGGAAACATATTAATGAATGTCCCACACATAGTCTGCCAAAGATATGAGAGCCTCATCAGCCTGTCACTGAGAACTGCAGTCCATGTGTTTATTGAACACAGCTGAGGTACTTGCTTAAGCTTAACATACAAAAATGGAAGCCCATATAGTTACACTGCACTTTTTCAGGTTCATTGTTCACTTTAGAATGCCTCACTAGTGAAGAAGAAACAGTGGTTAACAATCATGTGGCACATACACCCATCCAGACCAGGTGTTCAGCCCTTGACTAAGGGAAACATGACTCCTCTTGGTCTTTACACAGTTTGCCACTTCCAGTTTTATATCATCATGGATGCAAGTGATTAGGGTGGTCTGAGGGAGGAGGAGGGTCTGGCTGATTCTTCCTCTGGAAGTAACAAGTGCCAGGACAGAAATTGATTCTCATTCCAGGGCAGGCTGCCAAGGCGGGTTTATAATTACTACATGTTTCCTGGAGCTTCACATCCTAGTAGTAGGGGCTGCTCACTCAATGCACTGCAGCCACTGGCTATTTTTTTCCACCAATCAATAGCACTGTGTTGGCCTTATATGCACCAGCAAGACGTTCACATTACTATATATGCTTCTCTGCATCTTTTCTATGTCTTGTTTCTCAGGCCTTGAGCCAAGGGAAAAACTAGAATCTTCTGTCATTGGGACAGGAATAGAAACCTTCTGAATGCCTTAGTGCTTGATGGTTTGCATGATATCATAGGACAAGAAGTTTGGATTGGGTCTGCAGTGTCTTCCATATACAGCTTCATGCATCAGTTTCACCCTATTAGCTCTGCTGTTTTCCACATGACATCTTGGTTTCTGTGTAACCTCCTTTCTCCTTTCTCCATAGCTTCCTTATGAACTGCAAGATATGGTTAACAAGCACCTACATAGCACTCGGGAGTCCTCAGGTCCTGGCCAGGAGGCCCCTCACACCTTAGCCCCATCTGATGTTGTACCCACCTCAGTCATTGCTAGAGTTTTGGAGAAGCCAGAATCGCTGGTGCTGAACTCGGCCAAATCCAGCAGCGGCAGTTGCTCTATGGCTGAGGATGTCTTTGTGCATGTAGATATGAGTGGAACGCTGCCTGATGCTTGTCCAAGCCCAGGACAGCCTGGAAATGAGCTAACAGAGGGATTGAGACAGCAAAACGGGAGTTGCAAGCCCCAGAGCTGCTTAGAGAGCCTACCTGGTGAGGTGCCCACTTTTGAGAAACTGAGTCCCTACCCCACCCCACCCCCTCCCCATCCCATGTATCCAGGTCGCAAGGTGATTGAGTTTTCTGAAGACAAGGTGAGGATCCCAAAGAACAGCCCCCTGCCAAATTGTACTTACGCCACACGCCAGGCAATCTCCTTGAGCCTGGTTCAGGGGGAAGATGAAAACTCTGACCGGCAGCGCACACTTCCTAGCAGCCCTGCCTCAGAAGGCCAGCGCTCAGCCTCCAGTTGCTCTTACCAGCCATCCCCAAAGGTGAGTCGAGCCCATGGATCCACACAGAGCAGCCCCTTCAGCAGCCCGCCGCAGGTTCCCAGTACTTTTGCCAGTTCAGCCAGCTCAGAAGAGGATTTGCTGGCTAATTGGCAGCGGATGTTTGTGGAAAAGGCTCCCCCTACCACAGAGCGTGTGCTAGTGAACCGCACATCATTTAGCCGTGACACGGCTCAGGAGCTCCAGAAGCGCTTCAGCCGCTCCATGCAGGAGTTGGGTCGGGCATCCTCTGCCTGCTCAGATGGTGAGGAGTCTGTCCAGAGTTGCAGCTGGACTGTGAGCAGAGACTCGAGTTTGGACACAGACAGCACAGAATCCCGGGCTCGCCGGAGTCACTTTTCGTCTGACTACGGGACAGACTTCTCTCAGGATGAAGCCCGCAAATTACTGCAAGAGAGTGGTAATGAGGTGTTGGCAGAACCTACCACTTCTTCACCAGAAAAGCACAAAGACTATGTGGACCTGGATTCACCTGGGAGCCTAGCTGAAGAACAGGAAATGCCGTTGCAGGGAAGTAAGGGAAACAGCCAAGAGAGCATTTCAGAACAGAGCAGGGAGTGCAAGAGCAAGCCACCTTCTGGTCGCCCACATCGCAGCCCCAAGAGAATGGGGGTTCATCACCTCCATCGCAAAGACAGCCTGACACAGGCTCAGGAGCAAGGTAACTTGCTCAATTGAGGGCAGGGAGGAAGACAGGCCTTGGCTGCCCAGGAACAGTGTTGCATCCAATTCCCAAGGGCTGTGCCTCTAGTCCTGAGGTCCAAAGGATGACCATCATGGTACTCCTCACCAGGAATTCCAGGCCATTTTTTATATTTATTGTATTTTTAATACAAGTAAAGAGTAGAGACGGCTCTTTTGCAGCACCGTGGCAAAACACTTGGGTGTACACCAGCACGCCCCTTTGTGCTAGTGTCCACATCTCTTGCACTCATTCCCATTCTGTCAAACCCAAGCTTTGCCTTCATGCTCCTGTTCCTTGCTAATGCCACATCCCATTATTGATTCTGAGTTATCCTAGGACCCCTCAAGTCTATTCCTTCCTTTTTGATTTTTGTTTAAAAAAATAGAAACACACTGTCCCTGTTTTTTCCCCCTAAATCTTTCATGAATTTGCCTCGTGATGGCTTCCATGGGTGGGGACTCTCAGTTGTGTGGTCTCTGTTGCTTTTATTTTGAGGAATTTGCTTTTGTTTCTTCCAGTTAGTATGTGGATATTCATAGCTGTGAAGAGTGTGGATGATGCTCTGAGGTCACCTCTGCTGTTTCCTTGTCTCCTGAGTCATGAGCCAGGCGTAATATGTACTGGGAGTGCATACTTCAGACACTGAAACCAAGGGCTCCTTCTGCCAGACTGAGCCTCAGAGCTTCTCTCAGTCACCCAGCAAAACTAAGCTGGACTGTTTGCCATAATGGGCTGGGTTGTGTGTATCTGTCTCTGTCATGTCAACTTTCATGTCAATAGTCTTTATCACATTTCGGTGGTGTTAGACTATGTATGTATTTCTACTTTCATTTAGGTCCTGGCTTTTAAAATATGCTGGTCTCTCTGTAGTAAATGAGCAAAGAATCTGCAGCAGGAGGTAAGAGAGAACCTGCTCTGCAAGAAATGATGCATCTCATTGCTCATCTTTGGTGTTACCATGGGTGCTTCCAAACAGAGGGCTCATAGCACTACCAGTTGAAAGACCTTGGGCAGCTATTCTGTCATTTTTTCCCCTTAATGGAATTTCTGCAGGCTGCACTAAAAAGAAAAAGTGATAGGATAAAGCATGGGGGGTGTCACAAGTGGAACATGTCATCTGAACTCCTGTAAATTCCATGAAGCTGGGTAATAGTATGGATAAATGTGTTGCCTGGAAGCATGGTTTATGTCTAGTCTACAGAATTCCTAGGAAGAAATTGTTATTGGTTAAATCTAAATAGTACAGCCAGCTTGCTTCTCGATGGCTGTCCTTGGCACAAAAGAAGATGCTTGTTCTTGTTTGCCCCTTGGAGATGGCTGATGAGGATGGGCATTTCCATGTGGGTTGGGATATAAATTGACATGAGTGCCTTTCCAAGGCCTTATCCAAGGTCTGAAATTACCCCTACCCGTCTTGATTTGTCTTTTATGTGTGTGCAATGTTGTTTTTCTTTTGAAGTATGTTTCTGTGTCGTGTGCATGTGCACGCAACTAGAGGGGGGGATATAGGGTGGGAAGGTTCACAGTGTTAGGAATTTTCCACTGAAGACTCATGCTCCTACATCTTAATTCCCTAGCCTCTCCTAGTATGTTTGTGCAACCAGGGCAATGACTATGCTTCTGGGCACAATTGCCTTGCAAGCTGCTTTTGTTCAAGTGAGGTCAATATGATCTTCCACTAGAAAGTAACCCAAAGCCTTTCTCTGCAGCACTGGAAGTCTCTTCTCTCTTGTGAATACCAGCAAAGCAGCCTAACGCTGCCAAGAAAATCCCACTCTTAACCCTACAGGACCAACAATTTTTCCTGAACATTTCAGCTTCCACTGGATAGCTGCCTGTGTTATGCTGGTCTGCCTGCCTGTAGGCTGCAGGGTTTGGCCATCTCCAGATCTAGCCAGGATCTGCTGTGTGTTAGCCTTTGACAGTCCAGCCATCGCTAACCTTTGATGTGGCCTCGTCTGAATAATTGTTATTTGGCTACTCCTTTGGTAAACTGCTAGCTATTGCATCTGCGTACTGGGGTGTGACTCAGTATTTTTGGTTCAGCTGCTAATAAATTGGTGCTAAAGATGGATATCGTTTAGCTTACATGATGTTCCCTCTTAATGGTCTGACTTTTACAGCTGGCAATTGCTTGATCTGTTCATTCACTCACCTGCTGCAACCTTTGATTTCTTGGCCCTTCCTCTGCTCTACAAAGGGCAGAATCTGTCTCTCCCTGCTCCAGCCTTCCTCTCTTTCAGTACTGGAATAGGAAGGCTATAGAGAGCTTGATGGCCTCTTCTATGTTATCAGTATTGGCCAGAAGCAGTACTGAAATAAAACTTATTCCTTAGAATCTGGGCCCTTCTCATGACCTTGTTGGTTAAAATGGAATTGATATTAATGCTTCTCACAAAGAAGAGAATTCAGAGCACAGCCCAGTTCTTTCTGTGGCTGGCTGCAAAACTGCATTCAAGGCCATCTGAAATTGATTGATACAGCCCCAGATTGACAAGGGGAAATGGGAAGTAGTGTTGACACAAGGCTCCTTTTGCCTTTAATAATGCTGGAATAAAGGTTGGGAGAAAGTGAGGGAAGGAAGGGAACCATCCTTGAATGCAGCTGAGCAGTGCCACTTACTTCAGGTGAGACTGAATGGCAGCAAAACCTGCAAGGAAATTGCAGAAGAGCAGGTGGGGGCTTAGTCCAGGAGCAGAGTTCTTCCTGGAGTTCCTCTTGCACAGTCCTGCATCTTGGCCCTTTATATCTTGCTCATCTCTGGCAGTATTATCTTGGGCAGCTTGAGTTGCTGTCTGTAGCTGCCCCACATTTACAATTTACTCAAGACTGTTAATCTGTGACTAATATGTTTTTCTGAAATTTTCAAACTGATGATGTATATTTTAAAGCCAGAAATAAACTATTTTAAAATTATGCCTTTGTAGTCTGTGTTGCTGCTGAGAGTCAAAATATGACCAGAAGAAGCCATCAGAACAAAAAGACTCTTGCTGCACTCCAAGCAGAGGTTTTTCCCATTGCCTGCCACCTGACCCTTTTAACCAGGAATGTCAGGGATTGAAGCTGGGACTTTTGTATGCAAAACAAGTGCTGTGTCACTGAACTCAAGCCCCTCTGCGTAATCATACAGCCAGGGTTAATTGTCCTCATTTCCATTTTCACTGCGCTTACTTTGAGAACTTCTGCCATATGTGCTCCTGCTAATTTAGAATTTGCAATTGGGGTTGAGAGCAGGTGCTTGTTACAGAATGAGGCATATCTCTATGTGAAAGTAGAACACATACTTTCATTGCAAAACATTGGGGGTTGCGATCCCTTTCTGTGTAACTGTTCTGGCCTTGCTCTAGATTTCTCTGTTTTCTGTATTTCAGGCTGGGGAAGACTGATGGGGAATAAACTTATCGGACTCATCCAGTGTGGCCAGTAGTTATGCATGATGGGAGTTGTCATAAAAAACATCTGGAAGAGCCAGATGGGGAATGCTGATTTAAATCATGAGTAGGTGGTTGCAAAAAGTCCCAATGAAACTGCAGTATACTGCTGCCTCCTAGTGGTTCTTATGGCTTATGCTTTATTCTAAGAAGGTATTTAAAGCAGGACTGCTGCTTACTATGCGACCTTGATCATGCCACATATTACAAGTCCTGGAGATGGTGAACCTAACTCTTACTGCTTGCTTGTGATCTGTCAAAGCACTTATCTTTGTTATCCTCTGCATTGCTGGAGCATGAGGAGGTACTTTTAGTTGCTTTGTCCTTGAGCCATTGGGATACATTTTAATCTGTTTTTCCTTATATATGGGCCTGTTACTAATGGAGGGGTTTTGCAAAGAGGGCTTTAGGTTCAAATGAACAATAGTTGACTTCCCTCTCATGTGAAAATACTTTTTACTGTCATAAAAGCTGTGAACTGAAAGAGGTGCTTCCAGTGGAAATAATTTAAGAGATTTTTTTGTATACAGCCTAAAAACCATAGAATAGTAGAATTGGAAGGCCAGAAGGCCATTGGCTCCAATCCTATGCTCAGTGCAGGTCACCAAGTAAACCATCCCTCTCACATGGCTGTTCAGTTGCACCTTGAATGCCTCTAGTGTGGGAGAGCCCACAACCTAGGTAATTGGTTCCATTGTTCTACTGCTCAGGAAATGTTTCCTGATACCTAGTTGGCTTCCTGTAACTTGAGCCCATTATTCTGTGTCCTGCACTATGGGATGATTAGGATGAGATCCTGGTCTTCCTCTTTGTAACAGGCTTTCAAGTACTGGTAGAGTACTACCATTTCTCAGTCTTCTCAAGGATAAACATGCCCAGTTCTTTCAATCTCTCCCTAAAGGGCTTCGTTTCCAGTCCCTGTATCATTGCTGCCCTCCTCTGAACCCTTTCCAGCTTGTCTGCATCTTTCTTAAACTGTGGTGCCCAGAACTGGGCACAGTGCTCCAGATGAGGCCTAACCAGTGCTGAGTAAAGAGGAACTAGTACTTCACAGGATTTGAAAGTGATACTTCTGTTCATGCAGCCTAAAATAGCATTTGCCCTTTTTGCAGCCATATCACATGTGTTGGCTCAGATTCAACTTGTGAACTACAACAATTGCAATACTTCTGTTCACTTGGAGGAATACAATATGAGGAATACTTGTTGAGCCAAGTATTCATCTTGCAGTCATGCATTTGTCGCCCCCCCCCCCCCCCCCCCGGTGCAGTACTTGGCATTTGAATTGCATTCTGTTGTTTTCAGGCCAGTGTTCCAACCTATCAAAAATACCTTGAATCTTATTTCTTGTCTTCCAGGGTATTGGCTATCCCACCCAGTTTTGTGCCATCTGCAAACTTGATAATCATTCCCTCCACTTCCTCATTGAATTAATAAAAATGTTGATGAGCACTTGGGCCAGGACTGAACCCTGCAGTATTCCACTTGTTACCCTTCCCCAGTTCAAGAAGATGCCACTGGTGAGCATTCTTTGATTCCAATTCTGTAGGCAACTGTGGATCTACCTGATCGTCATCCCATCTAGCCCACTCTTAGCTAGTTTGTTAAACAGGAGATCATGGAGCACTTCATCAAAAGCTTTGCTGAAGTCAAGATAGATGATGTCCACAGCATTCCTACAGTCCATCAGGGAGGTGAAAAAGGAAATCGTTAGTCTTGGTAGGATTTGTTCTTGAGAAATTCATGTTGACTTCTAGTAATCACTATACTGTTTTCAAGGTGTTTGCAAACTGACTGTTTTAGAGTCTGCTCCAGAACTTTCTTAGGGGTTGATATCAGACTGACTGGTCTGTGGTTCCCAGGTTATTTTTTCCTTTCTTGAAGAAAAGGACATGAGCCCTTCTCAAGTCATCTGGCACTTCCCCTGTCCTTTATGATTTCTCAGAGATAATAGACAGTGATTTTGAGAGTTCTTATACCAGCTCCTTTATGACTCTAGGATGGCGCTCACTGGGTCCTGTAGAACTGAACTTATTCAACCCAGTTAGATGATTGGGTAGACCATTTGCCTATCAATCTTGAGCTTTCATTCTATTCCTTTTACTTCCCCTTCTTCAAGAAGGTCATAGACCATTTTTTGGGAGAAAGTCAAGCCAAAGTAGGAATGGAGCACTTCTGCCTTTTGTCATCTGTTATCATTTTGCCATCCACCTTGAGTAGTTCAACCCTCAATTCTTTATTCTTTTACTTTGTACATACCTGAAGAAGGCTTTTTTGCTGCTTTTAGCATCCTTTGCAATCCCAGTTCATTCCTAGCTTTACCTTGGCTACCTGCCTACATTCTTCTTTTGTAGCCTGACTTTCCTTTCACTTCCTATGTATGTCCTTTTTTTGTTTTCAGATGATCTCCCACATGGGCTTCTAAGCTTTTGACTTGTGCCGTCAGAATTTCTTTTTAAAAGTCCCACCCATCTTTGACTCCTTTTCTCATTAGAGTCACTTATCATGGGACTTTACTTGTCCTTGTCCTGCGTTTATTAAAATTGACTTTCCTAAAATCAAGGGTACTTATTTGGCTACATTTGGCTTTTGCTTCCCTTAGAACCAAGAATTCAAGTACGGCATGGTCACTTCCCCCAGAATTCCTATAGCTGCCACTTTGGTCATTAGGTTTTCCCTGTTGGATAGTATCAAGTCAAGAATAGCTGTTTCTGTTGTTCCTTCTGCCATGTTCTGTTGGAGGAAGTTATCAGCAACACATGTTAGGAATCCCTTGGAGAAGCCATGTTTCACAGAATTTGTCTCCCAAAAGATATTGGAGAAATTGAAATCCCCTATATCAGAGCTGCTCTCTCCTTTGTGGTGTGTAAGCCTTTGTCCACTGTTATCCACAAGTTGACTTCTCGCTCCCCTGTAGGATTCAGTTGAAAACTCTCCTGATTAATTTCTTCATGCTGTGGCTAAACACATTCTTCCCAATCCTTGTAAATTGCAACCCATCCCTTGCCAGCACTCTATCTTCCTGGAAGTGTGGCCCATTGTCCCAAAATCCAAATCGCTCCCTTTGGCATCACTTTCGTAGCCAGGCATGCACTTGGAGAATTTTTCTTTCCCTTTGTATTCCTTTTCCAAGAACTGGGAGGTTTGAAGAGAAAAATATCTGGGCCCCAACGTTCTTAGCTTTCCTCCCTAAAGCTTCAAAGTCTGACATGATTACTTAAAAGCATTGCTTGGCAGTGTCCTTTGTTCCCACATGGATAAGAATGAAGGGATACATGTCAGAGGGCTGTATGAGCCTTGGCAATTTTTCAGTTTTATCACTTAATCTGTCCTTCAAGGAGACAGCATACCTGACAAGTCCACAGATCTTTCTGACATACATGTGTTAATATCACATGCAACAGGGAGTCTCCCACAAGTGACACTTTTCTTGTTCTTACAGTCCTTGGTGTCATTGCCACCACTTGGTTAACCTTTAGCCTCTTGATCAGTGTTGCATGGAATGGCTTGTGGTTCTTCCACAGCAGGCTGCCCTCCAGTCTTATCTTATCCTTGAGTAACTGAAAGTGGTATGAGAGTTCCACTGGTGCAGAGTATCTTCTAGTTCTTCTGCACTTAACTGTCACCCTTTTCCAGAGAGTTTCCTGTTTGTGATCTCTGGTTGCTCACTCACTCCCTGGAAGCTTGGCTGCTTGTATCCCAGAGTTCCTAGACCAACTGAGGCAGCTTCCTCTGATCTGCTCAGGTAGAAGTCAGGAACCAGAATGGACACAGACAGACACAAAATAGTTCTGCTGGTACAGCTTGAGTAAATTTAGCCCCCAGTTTCTGCTTGGAAACTGTGTAGTGCCAGTAAGTTCTTAAGAAGAAAAAGTGGGTAGCTTTGTAGCAGTCATATTTCACATTGTGCTTTTTATTATTCTTTACATTTCTACACTGCCTGTAGCTGAAGCTCTCTGGGCACTTCACAACATTAAGTTACCCATCCAGATTTCAACTAGGCCCAATCCTGCTTAGCTTCCAAAATTAGGCAGGATCAGGCACTGCAGGGTATATGTTTTTTACATCACTTCTAAAATGTATTGGGAACCTGGAGAGCTTTAAGTGTTCCTGTTTCTGTGGCAGTTGGTGACTTCCCCCACTTACCTGCTACAGGTTCCTGTCCACTGTTAGATGGGTTAAAATTCCAGCTTTTTCTAACCTGAATCTTGGCTTCTGTTTAGTATAAAGAAGCTGTCTCTTAGAGATTGTCTGAGATTACCTTGGCATTACTTGGAGAGTGTTCTGTGTAATTAGCTATTTGTGTGCAGTGACTTAAAGAACTCATTAGTTCATGTTTGCTCAGCACCACAAAGATTTCTCAGCAGCACCTGGTCCTTACATGGCATTTCATAATGTAGCAGTTTATCTCTGGAACTGTTACCAGAAGTGCTTCTACTAATGATTATCAACAGTATGTACTTTAACCCTATGGGATCGTTTTTCTCTTGTGTATTTCAGAAACTACATTGTATCTGGTTATTGCAGTTTTTACTGCTAGTGTGCATTTAATGCCCTGTTGCTATCTTGGTGAAATGCAAGGACCTCAGCGTATGGGAAAGCCTACACAGTGTACCCTAATGTCAGTAAGATTCATTCATATAACAATATGATGCAAGTCAACACTCTTTATGAGGGTTTAAATTTTTCTCAGTGATCATGTGCTAAGCCGTTTTCCTATGCTATTGTAGACAGCAACACAAATGCATAAGCCACCAATACAGTATGTTCATGTGAACTGGTCTTCTTTCCCTTCAGAAAAGCTCATGCCATCAGTTTTCCTGCCCATGCATGATTAGAAATAAAAGAGCCTCTTGGAACCACAATAGTGTAAGTCCTGTGAATTTTATAAAACCCTAGTCAAGACATAGATACAAGCAATAAAAAGCATCTGTTATACATAAATATACACATCTGAATAAATACAACCTTCCTCAAAGATCAATTCAGAATGGGTGGTAAGACCTAAAAATACAGCAACTTGGACAATCACAAGCAGTTGACAGATTGTGTGACACAGACAGATTAGTTTGGATCAGTTCTCAATGTGGAGCTAAAAGGTGACTTCAATAGGACACAGTGTGTGGATCTGCTATTGAGGCAGGCTTGGTAACTGCACATGGGCATATAAGATTTCATACTTTTGTTTGCCTAGTGCATACACTCACTTGCAAACACACAGCACAGTATACATTCACACATGTGTAAATGCGCATTTCTAAAAACACTCTTTCCACATACATGGAAGTGTTCCTCACCAGAGGCAACTGGAATTTACATCTCTGTTTCTGCTAGGAGACTTTCTCCAAGGCCTGATGTTACCAAGACCATCTGGGAAGTAGAATCTGAAAAGGGGGAAAAAAACATACTTTAGCAGATGAATGGGGGGTGGGTGTGGGGGTGGGCTGAGGGGACTGAAGAGTGATCTGTACCTGGAACATAAGTATAGAAGTGCTACAACTGCTATAAAATAAAAAGGAAGAATCCACAAACCATATATGGTAATTAGAGAAATAGTCCAACTTCATCCCTGCAGCATGTACAATTGGCGTTTTTAAAACTAATGATCACACTTTTAACCACTGAGCTGTGTTGTGCTGCTTTTACTGACTGCTGGATTGCTGCTGTGTGGCATCCTGTAATTACTGTACTCCAGAAAACAGTTACTACAGACTTAGCATCAGAATTCCTGCCTCTTGATCTCAAAATTTTTACACATCAAATTTTCCTTCTCCATACTTGAAGCTTTCTAATGTGAATTTGGATGAAGATTACCAGTGTAGAGATTACCAGTGTTAATTTATGGTAGTAGTTTCTCTGTATTTCAGTAGTATCAATACAACTGTACTTCCCTGCATGATAGGCTCATATTCTACTAAAATGGAAATACTGGATGTGAAGCATATTAGGCTTAGATACAAATTGGCCTCAAGCCCAAATGCTTTTTGTTTTGCCTGATAATAGCATCAAACCTTTCAGGTAGGCTAAAGGAACTCCACCATTTCTTAAGCATATCGATTTGAGGTGCTGATTCTGGAAAGTCACCTGGATTAACAGATTATCAGCTCCTGGGTTGCATTCACTTAGGTTGACAGATCACCAGCTGTTGCAATCAGCAAACTTGTGTTAAGAACCAGATGCAGAAGATTTTTTTTTACTTTTAATAAAATACTATACCAATTAATATTTGCATGAAAAAGGGTGACCCTTCTGAGGGAAAATGATCTACTGGAGCTTTGTGATTTTATGGCCTTGTTTTCAGTGGTCTGAACATGTTCCCCATTCTTGCCAACTTCTGTCCAATTTCACTGCCACCTCTCAATGGGGACCTAGTAGTCTTACTGCTTTGGCAGATCCAGGAGTTCTTTTCTCTGGCCATGACTTCACGGGTTTCAGTCTCCTCCTCCTCTTCTCCTTCTGAAAGAAGGTCAGAAATCTGCTGCTGTAGTTCAGGGCTGATGTTGTTCTCTGCCAGGATCAGCATCCTCAAAGCAGTGGGGTAGTTTTCCACCATGTCTAGCAGGATCTGAATAGAATAAAAGCCAGAGGCAACTATACAAGCAGCTCAGCTTAGAGGTTAGTCAAGGAACAAGAATACAGAAGGCCTCAGATCTGTTTCATATGCTACTGTCTCAGTTTTACATTTCTAAGCTTTTATTTAGTGCATTTATATAATGTATTACTTGACTTAGCTACTGCATGGATTTCAGAGTGATGAATTCCATTGTAATCTATCATATGAATATTTTTAGTGTCCACAGGGCAGGACTAGAACCAGTGGTTAGAAGTTGCATGGAAGTAGATTTTGACCAAATTTATGAGAAACTCCCTATCAATGAAGAGTGTCTGGCAGTAGAATAGACTGCCTAGGGAAGTTTTCCTTCACTAGAGGTATTTAAGCAGGGGCTGGATGGCCACCTATTGGACATTGTGGCTGCATCTTGCATTGTAGAGTCTGCACTGAGTGGTGTGGTGGACTACATGATCTCTATGATTCCTTCCTACTCTGATTCTATAAATATAAATTAAAATACACAAACATAAAAACAAACTAATAGCAACTTTAAAAATACAGCAATGAAAACAAAGTTCCTTTAATGAAAGGAAATGTTTACCTTATTTTTATATAGGTTAGTTTCTAAAATAGGCCTGTGTGGTTATATCAAAGATGTCTCTATGGATGTGTCCACTACTATTTCTGTTTTCATGTCCTAATATGGCATGTGCTCAGATATGTATGCAGGTAACCAATACCAACACCCACAGTCCACTTCAAAAAGCCATGGATGCCAAATAATGGATTAGAGCTAGAACAGAATTAAATTTCTGGAATGGAAACAAACCTGACAGGGCATGAGGATTGGTTGGAACCAGTCATAGGTGCTGAGAACTGCAGTCCAAGAGTTCTGCAGTGACTCTGTGCCAAGCAAAGGATATCTACAGCTATAAAATTAAGAAGGCTGTGAAAGTCCACCCTTCACATTGACCTACATTTGGAGATAAATCTTTTGAACATTTAGTTTTTTTGCCAGACCAGTAAGGCAGAACAGGAGCCATCTTAAGTATACCATGCTGAAAATGCCTGAGGTGTAAATGACATTTTATCTACATTTTTTAAAGTTGAGAAGGCTCAACGTAATTGTGCCACATATTCTAAGGGCTAAACTGGGCATAGGGGAATAATAGGACCTTGAATCAGCAACAAATTAGACCTGCCAAGGGTTTTTTCCCCCTCTTAATTCCAAATGTGATGAGACTGGGATGAAGGAGTAAAGTGAGATTTGCATGTTCAGCATCCTAAACAAAACATTTTAAACACTTTTGGCATCAACACACCTTGTCTACTGTCTTCTCTATGATACTGTCTCTGTTGCTTCAGAGGAAGGACATTCCTAAACCAATTTAAAGGGAAGAGGTATATATTTGATATATACTCAGTGGATGCTTGGGTCTCTTGAGAAATGAAACGACTGCATTATGCAAGTTACTATGTTGAATTTCATAACTTGGAAAAGGAAATGAAGGCCATAATGAGCCGTATCTGCCTTACCAAGGCTGACTGGTTGGTAAGTCCTGTTCCTTCCAAGTCCAAAACCTCTAAGGTGCGACTGGATGCCACAGAAACTGCCAGCATTCCTGCTATCTGGTCACCTAGGGGAGCAGAAAGCCAGGAGATGTCAGTATACCTTATGTGGGCCATGCTCCATGCACCCACAGTGGGAGAATTTGCAAAGCAGTATTGTATCTTGACTTCTACCAGCACCTTCTTCCCATTTTCAAGACTGACACATATCTAACAGTTGCTAGCACAAATTCAACAAGCAGCATCTTTTCAAGAGATGCGGGAGGCTGCATATTGTGAAGATGCTGCATCTACAGCATGTCTACCTCTGAAAGATACAAAAAGCTGGAACAAGGAAGAGAAGGAACAACAGCTGGGGGTTTTGCAACTGTTTGCAAAAATTAGCTGAGGTAAATTGTTCTTCTGAGCATGGGCAGAGTGTTGTCCCCACACCACCATGTAATCCACAGGCAGCTTCCTCTGTATATTAGAAGATGCTGCATCTGGGTCAGAGGACATGGCTCCTACTGACCTGAACCCTTGGCACCTCTTGCTTCATGGGGTATAGGAGAGGCAGGAAGAAGTAATGCCTCACCCAGTTTGAAAGGGCAGGATCAGTGAGGCGTACTAATTTGCTGCTCCCTTCATTTCCCTAAGGCAGGATGGGGAAGAGGAGAGCAGCCTGGCCTAGTCTCTGCCTCACCAGCTGCCTGTTTGGCTTAGGCAGTGCAGCTGTAGAGTGGGTTTCCATGGCAACCACTGCCTGGGCGCCTCTTCTTGCTATATTTGAAGAGGAAGCAGTTGGGGGAAGGGACATGTTATGACTACCAAACCCCAAAAAGACAACTAGAAAGAGGACATTAAACACAAAGCAAAACAAAACAAAAAACACCATGGTAAACTGGAGCTGGTACTCAAAATCCCAGGGTTGAATGCTGGCTGCAAGCAAGTCTCAGGTAAAACATGACAGGCTGCCATCTTCTTCAGGCCAGGGCTGACAAACAGCCTGTGTTTTGTTTTTGTATTTTAAATTACTGGGCTGATAGAACTTTTTCTTTTAAGCCTCATTCCAGACAGAGCCACTCATCTCTCTCCCAAATACAGCGTGTCCCTCAACCTTAGCAGGAAGAGTTAAGTCTGAAATTCAATGGCAGAGTGTGTTGCTTAGGAAAGAGTCCTCCCTAAAACCTTGAAGAATCTCTGCTGGTCTGTGTGGACCTTGCATTTGACTTCTAAGGCAGCTTCCTGTGTTTCCGAGGCATGAAGCTATTTGCAAGGAGAGCTCTCGCAACGGGGGACTGCACTGGATTCAGCTTTCAGGCATTGCTGCTGCTTCCAAGCGATTGAAATTCCCATTGGAAAGAAAGGAGATTTCCCTCCCTCCCACCCTGCCTTGCCCAATATGTCTGTGCTCCTCTCACCCAGGGGGTTGTAGTCCAAGTTCAACACTCGCACCTGGGAACTATGAGCCACTGCAATAGCCAGGCGTCCCCATCCTTTGGCTGTGATGCCAGGGTTAGCACTGAGAGTCAGCTCTTTCAAACCTGGGTGAAAGAGAAAAGCCAGGTAAGCCAAAGGCAGCATTCAAAAGACCTCTGGTATTCAGGAGTAAAAATCAACCTGTCTAAATTATATACTGCCCTTTTGTTCTGCCTACAAAACCATGGCTACAGATTAAAATCCCCATTTTGAATTTTAAGGTTGTGCTCAAAATCATCCATCCCCTTATGCATGTTAACCACTCTGTAGTTGAAACCACAAGGATGGATAAAAGGATAGATTTCTCTAAACGGAGGGGTGTTACAATAAAACCCTAGTTCTTATTTTATTTTGAGACATTAGTGAGTGGGATAACCAGATTCTGGTCCCCACTCAGTCATGAATCTCCTCGGGTGGCTTTGGGCCACTCACTCTCAGCCCAGCCCACTTCACAGGATTGCTGTTGTGAGGGCAAAATGTAAACCACCTTAGATTCCTTTTAAGAGGAAAATGCAATATAAGATTTTTTTTATTTCCTACACTTCAGTACAGGGGTGCAGAACATCAGGTCAGAGAATAAATCCAAACTTCAAGTGGTTTCCATTTGGTCCTCAATGGTTGCTTCTTTAGTTGGCTCCATCCTTTCCCTCAACTATCAGTTGTTTAGGGGTGTCCTCACATTTGTGCAAAAAAACCCTCAGTAACACTGATGGATAGCTTCTTGATAGACAGCAAGGGGTCAGTCAGATACAAAAGAATGTTAAAGAATCTGAATTTTACCTGTCTTTTTATGTTAAAAGATCAAGTTTAGGTTGTAAAAAATCCAAAGATTACAGATTCCCACACAGGGGAATCTACAATAAGGCAAAGTTAGTTTAGTTCTACAATAAGGCAAAGAACAATTACTCCTGTGCTACATAACCTTCTGCCCTAGCGTAGAAGTCTACTTATTCTTCAATACTGAAGGTTCTTCTGCCAAAACAGTAACTTCATACAAGTTGTACTGTGTTGCAAACTCTGTCACTTCTTGGAGCTGGGGATGGGGGAGAATGAAAACATACTTTATTTTTCCATTCTGCTAAAATGATTTAAAAGAGAGCAGTTTTGAGCACTGGAACATCAGGAGCATTTTCAAGGGCCCACCCATCCACTCTTACTTACCTGACTTGGCCCCATCAGGAGGAAGTAGTCCACAGATCAAGTTGATGCCTTCATCACCCAGCATGCAGTCCCCCAAGTCCAAGGCCACTAGGGAAGGATGCATGGACAGTGCTGGGTTGAGGAGTGCCAGACCAGCATCTGCCAGGGGACTCCCATGAAGGCTGTGCAAAATAAAAAGTCTTGGAGTTATAAACTAGTCTTTCTTTGGGGTACAACTAAGAACTAGTGCAATCATGTACACTAATACATTTACAAACACTCGGAAGTCTCCAGTTTTTTTAACAGATTTACTCCTGGGCTAATATGTATAATATTACAGTTCCAATTACAACCAAGAAATGCAAAAATAGAGTAAAGAGGATGATTAACACAAGGCCAGTGGAGCAAAACAACAGACCTTAGCTACTGTAGAGCAAGTCCTTGAAGCAGGGGAGAACACCATAGAGATAAAGGGATTTGTCACAGTGACAGAGGGGACTGTTAGCCTACTGAGTAAGATGCAGATACAGCTTTCTTCTTCTTTTAATACGGACAGTTAAAGAAAACTCCAATGACACATAAGAGTATGGCACAAAATAATGGGAATACGCAGAGGTCTCCAAACCTCTAGAGGATTGTGGACAGCCTATACAGGATGGGAGAAATAGGGAGGTGACCTTCACCTCCCTGCTCCTCCCACTCTGCAAATGAGACAGCCAATTTTGGCGGTCTAGCTGCAGTGCCTTGAACAGGGAGGAAAGGAGGCTGGGACCCATCCTGGCAAGCATAATCTATCCTCCCTGCGTTCTGGAAAATCCTTTTTACCCCTTCTCCTAGGTAAGTTTTGTGACCTTGGAGAAGCAGCTGGCACAGTTCTTTCTGTGGGTGGAGTGGGTGATCTAAACATGGATGCCTTGCTCAAAAGTTGGAGCTCTTTTCTGACGTCGGGAGCTGGGAATCTGGAGCATCCTATGGCCCTCTAGGCACTTGTTTTAGGGGTCATAGAATTACTCTGTCTAGGTGCTTCCAGGAAGTCCCTCTTAATGCTAACAATCAAAACATAATATGAAGCTACTCTATCTTTTCCTCCTTAATGGATTTTTTTGTGGAATGACAGGAGAAGTAGCAGTGAGAAAACACAGGAGGGTTGGAGTGAAAGCCATCATCTGGACCTTCCCTCAAAAGTTTTGTGAATGAGGCAGGGCAATTGCATGATAAAACCCTCAACTGGAAACACCACAACACAAGCTTTGTAACATAAGTTCTCATGAACTGAAACTCATTTCACCATCTGTTTGAGATGATCTAGATAGGTTCACTAAGGAAGGCTTGGCCCATAAAAGCTTTTACTTCAACAATAATTTTGATAATCTTGAAGGTGTTACAAGATTTTGTTTGGGCTGAGTGTTTTGTACTTCTTCCAGAGAGGCAACATCTCTGGAAGTATACCTATGTCTCTACCTGTCTCTGGAGTACGGTGGTTGGACTAAGTTGATGAAACCTGGAATCTGGTTGCTGCTCAGCCATCAAGTTCAGCAGGTGACTTTGGGCCAGTTACTATCACCCTAACCTACCTCAGAAGGTTCTTGTGAGAATAAAATGGAATGGAGGATCAAGATTCTCAACTTGGACTCCTGGGGAAAAAAGGGTGGGATATAAAGGTAGCAAATAACAGGAAGTGCTAGACAATTATCTTGTTTTTCTCTGATAAAGGACAACATTAAAAGAATGACAAGCATCTAACAAGAAAGATGAGGCTCTACTGCTTGAGAAACAACAGGGAGCAAGTAATGAGATGGGCTCCAGGGAGTGGGAAAAGGATAATATAACCCTATTTTAATTTCCTAGCTAGCCCATACCACACAGATTGCTTGCTATAAAACTCATCCCATCCTAAGTGCAGACAACTCAATAAAATCTCTAGTTATAATTACTAGACCTTTCTACCTTTGGCCACTGAATGACACAGGTAGCAAGTTTAAGAGTGCTGCCCTGGTCAGTCTTAGAATATGTAGCAGAACAGTGTTTAGAATCACCAATTGATCAGTTAGAAAATACAGTTTTAATTCAACCCCTCAGTGTGGGTTGCCTTCATTTTAGCTCAGGATAAGAAGAGAGTCTGGATAGGTAAGAGAATTCTGCTTTCTTCTTCATCAGTGGTGATTTGTGGAAACATTCCCCACCCCTTCCCATAAGACATGGGAACTTATAGCCTCTTAGTCTCTTAGCTTCCATCAGCCCCAGCCAACATATATTAGTCAGGAATGGGAGAACTGTGGCCCAACTGAAGGGTTCCCAAACTTTGCTTTACAATTTCAATCCATGTCTTTTTATTAATTTGGATGAATTAATCTATAGCAATGTAACAACTTCCACTATGGATTAGTAATAGCACATTACCAGGTGGAGTCGGTACTCACAACAGAGACTGGACCGACCGGTTGGTCTTCAGGGCTTCAGCCAGTTGCTTGACCCTATTGATATTGGCGACAATCCCCAAGTTAAGGTTAAGTTGAGCCAAGGAGTGAGACTCTGCAACTCCTCTGCAGATCCGTCCGAAATCTCGGTCGGAAAGCTGGCAGCCCCGGAGTGAAAGCAGTTTGATGGAGTTCTCACGCAGGCTCTCACAGATATCCCGAATCTCGGCACTGGATAACGTCTCCCCAGAGATCTGGATAGATCCTGGCAACATCGTTTTCGCTTTGAAGCGTACAAACGCTCTGAGCAGCTAGGTGCAGGAGCTGCTCTGCTAATCCGGATGTATGCAGAAAAATAATGTGTGCAATCTAGACCAGTTAGAGGCTGCTCTGCAATCCGGACCAAAAGAGGCAACCGGTGTGCGCCTAGGTTGTGCAATCCTGTGTGCAAACAAAGCTGGAGGCCACGCAGCAATGTTAAGTATGAGTTTAATGTGCTAATCAGATCAGGCCAAATATTAGCTGCGTTTCAGATAAGTGTTTGTTTTCTCAGGCTTGCGCTGAAACTTCTATATAATCTGAATGGCGAAAAAAAATTCCGTGCAAATCCACAGTTAAAAAATGGAGACAGAGAACAATACCTATCACGGGCGGGTAAAAGAAGAGAGCTATCCAGTTCGGATTACGATGATTACTGGAAAGGTAAGATTACTGATAGGCGGTGCAGGTAGATGCCAGGCAATCCGAAACGGAAAGGATGAAAAATGTAAATCCAAATCCGAGACAGCTCCTTTAGCAGGGATGTCTGACAAGCAGAAATCCAAGGTGAATCTATTTTCTGCGCAATCCGGGGAGGGTGTCGATGGGTCCGTCGCCGGGGAAGGGGGCACGGACCGCCGTGTCCTCTGGCGCTAGTTCTGGATCCGAGACCTCATTCCCCCTTCCCCGGCGTCCACCTTCCCATCCACAGCACTCGAACCTAGATTGCTCGGGCCGCCGCCGCACCACCTGCTCTCCCGCGGCACTAGCGGGAAGGACCTGCCCAAGTCAGCCGGATCCGACGATCCCAGACTCTTAATCCCTCCCCCTGCCGCGTCTCCTCCTCTTGCCGCACCGGCGGCTCTCTTGCATATTGGCGGCGGGACAGAGCCGCCACCGGCGCCACGGGGGATGCGGACTGCTGCGCTGGCTCCTCCTTCCTTGGACCCCAGGGTATGGATCCAGTTTGATCTGGCGCTGCGCCGGTTCCTATGGCCACACTCTGGCAGTGCTGCAGCCTCCGCCTCTTACTAAACTGGGCCACGCGGCGGCCACTTTCCTTCCCGCCCCGCGGGCACGCTGCTGCCCTGCCCCCTAGCGGGAGCCGCCGCCGCGGCAACACCGCCTGGATCTTCCCTGCGAGAAAGGGGCCTGGGTGGGGCTCACGGCGGGAATATCAAACGCCAGTTGCCTGAAAAAGCCGGCGCCGGATTAATGCTTCCGCTGGAATCCTCTGATTTGACGCTCTGTAAGCTGCCTGCTCCAGCTTATCCTGGGTGCTTTTATTCAGTGATTCAAGGACCGGGGTTTGAAAGCCCTGCGCTCCAGAGGGGTCAGAGGACCTGGATCTGGAATAGATAGGATGAGAGTCAACACAGCTTCTTGGCATTTGGTGGGGAAAAAGAACTCTACGGACGCCCAGAGGCACTCCTGTGGTGTTCAGCTAATTTCAGGGCAGAAATTTCGAACGGAAATGCCCTAAGGAATAAGAGGCACAACTGTGTTGATTCTTCCATCTGCCTGGAACAGGTAGACAGAGTTTCAGCACACATTCACAAAATGGCAGAAAAGTCAGACATGGGCCTTTTTGCCAGCTTTTCTTGCTTCAGATTTACATCTCTGCCCAGGTGCTTCCTCCAGAAAGCTGGGCATAAGCTCAGATCCCAAAGGATACTCATGGAGGAAGATAGAAAATAAACCTTCAGAAAGTAATCCAGAAAGGGTTTGAGGGAATCATTCATGGCAGGACAGGATAGGCCCTGAAACTTGTGAAATGGTACAAAAAGTAACTTCCCAATCTTAACTGGTTCTACTCCTACATTAACACTACAGTTTGTGCTGTCAAATGGCTTAAACTGCATTGAAGAACTTCATCTTTTTAGAGTGCAATTTTGATGCATATTTAGTCAGAAAAAATGGCCTACAACTCCTAGCATCCTCTGGCCAGCTGAGCATGCTGGGAATTGTTAGACTTTTTAAATTCCATCCTTACTCATTACTCATCTTCCCTTGGCTTTTTGTGTCAAGATGAGCTACGACCTACAAGCGGTAGAGGACCAGTGTTCATCTCAAAGCCATCCTGCACCAGGTGTCCCCCAGATGTTTTGGCACAATTTTTATCATTACTGCCAGCATGGCCAGGTGAAGAAGGCCACTAGGAATGCTAGAGTTGGAAGGGATTCTCTGCCCTTTCTCCTTTGCTTCCTGTTGTCTCTGGAGTTGCTTTCATGATGCCAGTGTGACTGTTTCCATGAGGTTTTGGCTCAGTAGGCAATTTGTGCCCACCATATTTTCTGTGGGTACTGGGTGTATTCCCACAGTGCATCATTCAACATGCAGCCCTTGCTCCTTGGGGCAGCATTTATTACTCTTTCAACAGCTTCTTAGCTAGCCTTTGGCCAGCTTTAGGATTGCAACCAATATGAATAGGTAACAATACATATTTCTCTGGGCAGTAGAAAAGTGAACATAGTTTTTCTATGGGAGTAAATTTCATAAAGATATGAACACCTCTACTCCTATTTGCATAAATGGGACAAAGGGTTTTTTGTTGTTGTTAGTTGCAAAGTTGTGTCCGACCCATCGTGACCTCATGGACAACATTCCTCCAGGCCTTCCTGTCCACCACCATTTCCCAGAGTCCACTTAAGCTCCAGCCACCTCATTCTCTGCCGCCCCCTTCTTCTTTTGCCATCTATTGTTCCCAGCATTAGACTCTTCTCCTGGGAGTCCTTCCTTCTCATTAGGTGGCCAAAGTACTTGAGTTTCATCTTCAGTATCTGGCTTCTAAAGAGCAGTCAGGGTTGATCTCCTCTAGGACTGATCGGTTTGATCACCTTGCAGTCCAAGGGACTTGCAGGAGTCCCCTCCAGCACCACAATTCAAAGGCTTCAATTCTTCGGTACTCAGCCTTCCTTATGGTCCAACTTTTCACAGCCATACATTGCAACTGGGAACACCATAGCCTTGACTATACACACTTTTGTTGGCAGGGTGATGTCTCTGCTTTTTCGTTTGCTGTCTAGATTTGCCATAGCTTTCCTCCCCAGGAGCAAGCGTCTTTTAATTTCTTGGCTGCAGTGCCCATCTGCAGTGATCTTGGAGCCCAGGAAAATAAAATCTGTCACTACTTCTATTTCTTCTCCATCTATTTGCCAGGAAGTGACAGGACCAGATGCCATGATCTTAAGTTTTCTTAATGTTGAGTTGCAAGCTAACTTTTGCACTCCCTTCACCCGCATCAAGAGGCTCTTTAGTTCCTCTTCACTTTCTGCCATTAGAGTGGTATCATCTGCATATCTGAGGTTGCTGATATTTCTCCCAGCAATCTTAATTCCAACTTGTGATTCATCTAGCCCCGCCTTTCCCATGATGGGCTCTGCATACAAGTTAAATAGGCAGGGTGACAGTATACAGCCTTACCAAATTCATTTCTCAATTTTGGACCAATCAGTGGTTCCGTGGCCAGTTCTCACTATTGCTTCTTGACCCACATATAGACAAATAAGATGGTCTGGTACTCCCATCTTTTTAAGAACTTGCCACAATTTGTTGTGATCCACATGATCAAAAACTTTAGCATAGTCAATGAAGCAGAAGTAGATGTTTTTCTGGAACTCCCTAGCTTTCTCCACGATCCAGTGTATGTTGGCAATTTGATCTCTAGTTCCTCTGCCTCTTTGAAATCCTGCCTGTACTTCTGGTAGTTCTTGGTCCACATACTGCTGGAGTCTAGCTTGTAGGATTTTGAGCATAACTTTGCTAGCGTGTGAAATGAGTGCAATGGTGCGATAGTTTGAACATTCTTTGGCATTGCCCTTCTTTGGGATCGGAATGTAAACTGACCTTTTCCAATCCTGTGGCCACTGTTGAGTTTTCCAAATTTGCTGGCATATTGAGTGTAGCACTTCTACTGCATCGCCTTTTAAGATTTTGAATAGCTCAGCTGGAATACTGTCACCTCCACTAGCTTTGTTGTTGCTCAGACTTCCTAAGGCCCATTTCACACTCCAGGATGTCTGGCTGGAGGTCAGTGACCACCCCATCGTGCTTATCAGGGACATTAAGCTCTTTCTTGTATAGTTCCTCTGTGTAATCTTGCCACCTCTTCTTAATCTCTTCTGCCTTTGTTGGGTCCCTGCCATTTTGATCCTTTATCATGCCCATCTTTGCATGAAACGTTCCCTTCATATCTCCAATTTTCTCAAAGAGATCTCTGGTCCTTCCTATTCTATTGTTTTCTTCTATTTCTTTGCACTGTTCATTTAAGAAGGCATTCTTATCTCTTCTAGCTATTCTCCTGAAAAGGGTTGTTTACATATAGACTATAACTTTCTTTTAGGTGTCCAAAATCTGTAAGCCTGGAGAGCAGACAGGATGACATGTGCCATCTCTACCTTCAGCCACCTGCCCCCCCCTTCCATGGGTGGAGAAGAAGAGCTGTCACCACTCTCACCTGCAAATAGTTACAGTCCTCCATAGTGGTCCAGTGAGTTGCTGCCTTTCCTGTTGCCATTTCCCTTTTCTTTTGTTGCTGCTCTAGGGGTTGTTACTCCTGGGTTCCAGTGTGACCTACAGATTCATGGTACTATATGAAGTCATGGTGACTGGAGTGGTGCACCAGCAACTGAAAGAAGCAATTAAATGTGCATATGCGGAACAGGCAGGAGCAGTCATGACATAGTATTAGCAGGCATGATTGTGTTGCATGGCATTTCTAAAATCATAACAGAGTTAATTTAGTATGGGAAAAGGGTTAGAAAATTAAACATCATGTCCTCTGGCAGCAAGTTCATAGGCTAGGAAGGCGTTCATGTGCAGCATGGTGAGTGATGCAGCCATCACCCTGAAGAGTTTGTGGTCTGAACTAATCTAGTCATGGTTTTGCTTTTCCTCAGCTGAAGGACAGCAGCTGGTTAAGGAACAGCCTGGCAAGCACACAGCATTACAAAGGAGCTTTGCTTACTTCAGCAAACCTGCTGCGTAGAGCCTTCTTAGCTGCAGTTCTATGTGATTAATGAAATGCAGGGAATGCATGAGAAAGCTCCTGCTGTTCCCTTTTTCTTGTGGAATAGATGCTAGAGAAGCATTTAAGGGTCCTAGAAGTTCTGTACTAAGGGGATAAATGAAGACCAGAGAGAATGGCAAAAACTCAGTCCCTAATAAATGATGAATAAATGCCAGCACTGGTGAATGGGGTTGGGAAAATAAACGGTGTCACCAGGCACTTTCCACATAGTAACTAATCTGCTAAGGTCCTAGCTCCAAGCAAAATCCATTTTATCATGTAATTAAGAAGGAAATGAATAATTGAGCATTAGTTGCTGAAGATGAGGGAAGATGGAGAAATAAGCACAGTATTGAGGAATATAATAGCTGCTTCCTCTTTGCTGTTTGCAAGGGGAGCTGAGGCTGAATTGGCATTTCATTTGATTCCACAAAGGCAGTACACTGTGATCCAAAGAAGCTGCAGGGCAAGCTAGATAAGAATCCAGACTCAGATAACAAACCCAGAGACTATGATAATATAATCTGTGTTCTTGATATATCATGGCAAGAAAGTTAAAAATATCGGATGACAACTCTTAACTGTTCATTTTTGCTCACTTCCAAGTCATACAGAACACTTATCAGGAAGCTACTGAATTGGGCCAAATGCTCTGGCCCATGCAAAAAGTTGCATGCATGCAGAATTTGGAAAGATGTTTATACTTGGAAGTATCTGAAGTATCTCTAAATACAAAATGTGAAGCAGCCTTCCGTGTTCTTCTGGACTGGTTTTGCAGTGTCTGGATAGTCTTGCTTCTCTGTAAACATGAGACAGGCTGCAACTTAAATGTTAATTCTTGACAGAAGTGGAGCAGCTGCCTAAGGCCAATCTAGCAGTAGCTCCTTTGCTTGTGTCAAGGAGCAAGTAGAATCTAACAGTACAGAAAGAGGTTGTCCACGTAGATGGTTTCTGTTCTCTAATGATTACAATACCTATGTCCACTTGTATCTAGTAAAAGCTTGGTCTAAGTAAGGTTCAGAAAACGATTAATATGAAACAAGACATACATATTGACTTAACTTGATGACTGCTAAGTGGTGATTTTGCTGCTGATCCATTACTTGCTGTAATTTCTTTATGGGTTTTGGGAGATGGAGTTAAATAACCCAAAAACACTTGTTAGCCACCCCAGAAAGCTTCGGTTATTGGGTAGTACAGATGGGTCCGACATGCCCTTCAAGCTCAAGAAAGTGCACTGGGGAGACTGGTTATGCTTCCTTACTTCAGTCAGCATTTATTTCTTCTGTTTTTCTGACAGGTTCATGAGATTAAATGAAGACTGGTTTTTGTTCTTGTAGTATGCATCTTTTTCTGTTGCTCTTTGTGGCTTTCAGTCTAGGAAAATGCAGAAGTTACATAACGACAGGGGGCAGAGGAAGCCGGCAAAAATCACTTTAAGCCATCAGCTGTGAAGTCATTTCCATCTTAATAGGGCACACATAGGAGTTTCACTCAATTAAGCCCTGTGCAATTTGGTGATGAGGGACTGTGGGTGGCGCAGTGGTTTATAACTGCAGAGCTGCTGGGCTGGTTGATTGAAAGGTTGACAGTTCAAATCTGCAGGATGGGTTAGCTCCTGTGCTTTGTCCCAGCTTCTGCCAATCTTGCAGTTCGAAAGCATGTAAGTGCAAGTAGATAAATAGGTACCACTTCGGTGGGAAGGTAACAGCGTTCCGTGCACTTTGGTGTTCAGTCATGCCAGCCACATGACCACGGAAACTGTCTGTGGACAAACGCTGGCTCCCTTGGCTAGGAAACAAAGATGAGCACCACCCCCAAGAGTCAGAAATGACTGGACTTTAATGTCATGGGGAAACCTTTACCTTTTAATTTGGTGATGGCCAAAGAAAAGAATCACACAGATTTCACCAATTACCTCTAGTTCATTGCACAATCATGTTACAGGCTGCCTACCACAGCAGCCCCACTGCATTGATCCTCCCCATACTCCCTCCAGGAAAAAATGGTCAAGGGATACATGCTCATGGAAGACAGGGCAACCTTGGGCATGTTCCACCTAGTAGTACCCATAGAATCAAAACATACAGCTTATCAGCTTAATTAGTGGAACAACTCACATATATGAAATTTGCAGTACATGCCACCAAATTTCAGTTTTTTACTACCCTGGCAGCAGGTAAGTGAAAATGACTAAGAAGGCACCTAAAACATACATTATTTCTGAAGCAGGAATGGGTGATGTTGGCTGGTGTTCTGGCTGTTGCACTGTCAGCCTAATGGTGAATGTCTCCAGTGGTGCAGTGATAGATTTTTAAAGAGCACGCACTCATCATGACAAGTCCTCAAAGCCTTAGTCTTAAGGACAGTCCAAAAATGCATGCAGCTGGGTATATTTTGCCTTTTGTAGATATTCTGTAAAGGTAATGACCTTAATTACCTATTAAAGACCAGTCTACCCACAAATACTTTGTGTTATCACATGGATAAGTCATCACAATAATTAAGTATTGCTGATAAAATCCACATGAGGGGGAGGTAGGTGTAAAAGGCTAATTATATCCTAACCCATAGTAATAAAAAACTGTGTGTGTGTATGTAAACAAGGCAAATTATATCCTTGCCCACAGTAATAAAAACTGCCTGTGCTTCAACCTTGCAAGCCCTGGCCCCACTGTACTACTGATGTCTACACTGTTCCCATACAAGAACATCTGTCAGCAACATTATACAAATCCCTTGCATTCTACCCTTTAGCAGTTGTTGTGGTAAGTAGCTTGTCTCCTCAGTGTATCTCAGTGCCAGGACACATTCAAAGTCCCAGCTTCAATCCTTGCCAGGATTGAAAATGGATTGAAAAGACTAGAAAATGGGGGTGTAGGAGAGCCACTCTTAGGACATGTATTAGATTCATGCTGGGCTGGGCTGCCTCCGATGTTTTGGCCTGCAGTTACCATTATTGTTCACTATTGACCCTGCTGGCTGGAGCTGATTGGAGTTGTAGCACAAAATATCTGGAGGAACACTAGTTGACCACTCCCTGGATTAGCTAGAGGATTGGACTACTTTGGTACAAAACAGGTTCTGATGTTTCATTGCTTTTTGATACTACTTCCAGTAGGTTTGATATACTGGTTCCTTCACCTGTTTGTTGCAGACACTTTGATGCTGTGACTGGGTATCAGGAAGGTAGCTCATGGGCAGGAAAAAAGGAACATGAGGCTGCCAATCAGAGTGCAGTTGCAGCTGTCTCAGCAGTTGCTAAACAGAACAGGTCAGCAAAAAGTGGAGGCTGACGTGTCTGCTGGTGCTACAGCTGCTCTTGCTGTCAAACCTGATGGCAGAAATATGAAAATGGTATGAAAACATTGTTCTTCTTCATGGTCTTTGTGCATCACACATATGGGCTCTGTGCCTAGAAGGCTTTGTTGTCTGGAAGATTTGCTAGCTAGACTTGTTTTGGCAGGAGCCCCTCCCCTCCTGTGTATCCGGGAAAAGTTCCCACCCACTTTCTCAGTTCTTTTCCAACTGCCCTTGTGGGTGTCTGAGAAGCTTGCTAGTTGCCCATATATATGACGCAAAGACACCACAAAGAAGAAAGTCAGGATGCTTACCTTTCACGGTTGTTCTTTCAGTGACTATCTTTATATTTATAGCTCCACCTATCCCAAAGGGTCAGGGTAGCCTACAGCCTATTAGAAATAAAAAAGTAAATTTTAAATAAAATAGAATAAAATATTTTAAAAGACTTAGACATATTTAAGCATTTAACAGTGCAATCCTATAAATGTCTATTTAGATATAAGCCCCACAGGATTTAGTGGGGCACAGTCTCAGTTAAGTGAATGTAGGATTGTAACTTAGCTCTCCTCCCCCCCCACTCCAATATCTGGTACGGGTTTGGGTGAGGAGTGAGGAAAACAAAGGCTGCAGGTTGGTTACCAAGGTGCCAAAAGCAGAAAACCTCTTTTCAGCTCTTTGGACTAAAATGCATTGAAACACAGATGTTGCAACAAAATTAGCTGCAATTTTTCATTTAGTGCTGTTCTACTGGAAAGACTATTGTTAGAATAGCACTGCAAACTTTAGGAACATATTCGACTTCCATTAAGAGTTCTTCATTATAGCTTGGAGGTCAACTGCAGGCATCTTCTCTCTTCCTTTGCACTGCTGCTACAAGAGTTCAGCCTGCACTAGCACTACTATTAGGCTTATTTATTTAGCTTTGGGATGAAAAAAACCTACTAAAGGGTTACTGGGGAACACATGTTGCATCCATGATGTTGCCTTTTACATTTGTTTTTATAATCCAAAACATGTCTGAGGTAACAGAATGTCTCAAAATTTGCATAGGAATACTTCTGTGAGCATATTTTTGGACCACAAGCAGACACAAAAGGAGCTTAATTACAGGTCATCTTAGTCTTTTTTTGAAAGTCAAGAGATTGAGCTAAAACTTTAAGCAAACAGACTTAAAATCCATTCACGGAAAGCTTGTTTTTGTTGACCTGAAATGTGTAGACTAAACTGTTTTTATGTAGATCAAAGGTCAATAGACCAAGCATTGTTATGCAGATATCATTGGTATATATTGCAGCAAGAAAGATTAAACCCTAATTTATCTGTACTAGCCAAAGATAATTTTCAAAAATAAAATCCATGTTTATGCTGATTCAAGCCTCAGTGACATTCCATCAAAGGCCTTTCATATGCAGCATTTTCCTTGCCAGCTGTGCTTTTATCTGGGGTGACAAATTAATGCAAGGTTTAAATAACATTTCTTTGGGGGGGTGGGCAGGATGTAACAACTAAGTACCTTTTTGCATGAGCAAGCCAGCTCAAGATTTTTTTAAAGGCAGGTTTGGGTATATATACTCACCTAACACACCCTGTCCTGCACATTTCGTGGCACTTGAGCAAAACGTGTTGAGTCCTAACTTTTCACATGGCAGATGTACAGTCAACAGGTAACATAGACCACATGTGACAGAGTTTTACTGAAGCCCAGCCCATTGTACCTTTTTGCCCTAGTATTATTTTCCATATTTCTGCCTCCCATGTATAGCTTCATGTATGCCAGTATTTGAAGTGATGATAAAGATGCTAAGAGTATGTGTCATTTTACCAGCAGTACCAATGCTTATATTGCCTGTATTTACCTTCAGTTTGCACAGGTGACAATAGCTGAATGCTTAAATGAACGACCTTGAGTACCATTTTTTGTGGAAAAGCAGGGTATAACTTCAGTAAACAGCTACCATTAAAAGTTGCAACCAAGGCTATTCTCTAACTAGCCAAGGCATTATGTAGGTTACACTAGCCATATCATGGCGAATCCCCATACTTCTAAGAAGACATTACAAACTTGGGAATCTGAATAAGATAACTGTATAAAGATTGCTATTCATAATACATAGGCTGTTACTAAGAGTTGCATTTTATTTATACCATTTTAAAAATCAAATCTGTGTTCTTCCTCTTCTTAAACTCAATTTTTTCTTTTCTGTGTTCCTGGCAAAGTATGGGAGTTATTTTTAAGAAGAAATGACAGCAAGGTATAAAAAAACTGAAGTGCTTTTATGATCCAGAGGAAGTCATATTGTATACCCTGAAAGAGTCCAGCCAACAAGTATATGGTGCATAAAAAGCAGTGGCTTAATGGCCACAGCAGATTTCTGCAAAGTATCAACAGTAGTTCCAGCTACAGCTTAAATGTGCTTTTTAAAGACATTGAGAGGGGGACTTAAAGGCTGATCCTGCTACAAACACAAATGCATGACTCAGTGAGCTTAGTACTACTATTTGAGTAAGAATGATTCTCTCTTCTGAACACATGACCTGCTATTTAAGCCCAGAAAGGCAAAGTAAATCCCTCATGGAATCTGTCACACAATTCAAAAGAAGCCAAACTAACTGAAGAATGTCAGTCTCAGCATGTAAGACATTATATTAAATATATGTAATTCAGAAACTGTTTTTAAAAAGGTATTAGGGATACCTGTTCTCTGTAAAATAAACACTCCCATGAAGTAGTAAGGAATGAAGGCAATTGTCAGCTACAGCCAAATGCTGCTCACAACTGGAAGCACCTTGGGCAAAGGAGTTTATAATAGTGGTTTTTGTTGTAGTTTTAGAACAGAAGGAAAACAGCCCAGAACCATGTGCTCTTCTGAATTTGTGATGAGGGTCCAATGGAAGAGATTGCTTGGAACAAACATCCATTTAATTTAATGCTTCTCTCAACAAAGGAGAGGATTACAAGCTTATAGGCTAAAAAGACAAGAGCAAGCACAGGAGGGAAAGTTTGAGCTACGTAAATCCAGCTAAATGTACACACGCCCTGCCCAGCACAATTTGGCTGGACAAATACAGTTCCTCTGCAACATGCTGGGAGCCTTCTGCTTCCACTTTCAAGAGGAGATCTGCAGATTAAACCATGTCCAGCTGCTGTTACTTTTTCCCTGGTAAAAACAGCAGCAAAGTATATGACCTGTGTAGCGGCAGGTAGAACATGCCAGAGTCTGTAAGGCTACAAGGTCAGTGCAGCAACCGCTTTGGTTGTGACATTCAGTACACCGGAGGAAACAACTGGAATGTCTCTGGCAACTCTCTGAAAGGGAGGGATGTTGGGTCTTTCCAATGTGTCCAGGATGCCTGCAAGTGAGAAAAGTAAAAACTACAGTCAGTATTAAGCCTTGGGTAAATCTGTATCAGCATGAATATTTTCACTTCACGTTACTTAGGTCTTTTGCTGCTTCAGTATTAATCTTTGCATATGCATGTGCTTCTTCCCTTGGGTGTTTTTTTTCAATAAATGCCAAATATGTATAACTAGCACAGTGTGCCAGTGCAAGGGTAGGGACCAGAGATGCAGCTGTGAAGTAGCCAGGTACCTAAATCAGCATCTCACTTTCACAGACAAAAATACATACAGCAAAGACTATAATAATGAAGGAGGACTGAACTACGCAAGACTTCAGACCAAGCATACTAATATTCAGACCTTTTAAATGAAGAACACACACAGAGAGAGAGTTTCCTGTTAGACCAACCACTGCCATATATACATGTGTTTTTGCCAGTCGTGACAAATGTGCACACATTTTCCCTATAACTAAGTAGGAGTTGCATATGAAACAGCCCAGGGTTGAGAACGTGCTATTCTGATATTTCACAGGAAAGAAAGCTGTTTCTTAAAAGGCTTAGAAAATCCTTTGGGCAGATTTCTTAAAGGTCAAGCCTAGCTCTGAAGTCTTTTTATGGGCAAGTTAAAAAGCAGAGTATTTGGATGTCTGTTCCTGCAGAACTGAAAACTCACTGCCCCCTATGGCTTTTCTTACCTTCTACAACCTTGTGATAAGCAAAATGCAAATAGAGTAGGAACAGCATGTGGAGTGCGGCAAGTGCTCCACACAAAATGAGTCGTTGGGTATGGCCTACTGTGCGTGACACCAACACAGCAACCTAGGAAAGGCAAGAATTCATATTTTAAGATTGATAGACTGGAAGAATACTGAAGTACATATGCATGAAGATGGTAGTTCCTATGATGATCTTTTGTACAGAATCCTCTTCAGACTTTCACTCCTTTTAAATGTCAGATTTCCACCTGCACCAGAGGTTATAGCCATGCTTTGAAGTACAGTTGGCCTTCCAGATTTGCAGGGGTTAGGGGCATTGGACTCCTGAGAAACTGGAAAAACTGTGACTATCTTTACCTCCCCTCCAAACCTTAACTCTTAATACTGTTGACCATAAGTGTACTAGATTGCTTCTGAGTGTTAGTCTAAATTGTTGATATGTGCACCAGGTGGATGCTGGGGCATGGGTGACAGGTTGTGGGAGATGTGGCAGCTACCAGGATAGGATGTGTGTGTGTGTGGGGGGGGGTGCAGTAGACTGGACTTTCAGGCCACTTCCAGGAACTCAGCTTTCAGTATATGCAGGCATGTGAAAAGTCCCCCATGTTTATGACTTAGTAAACTTTGTTCTTCACATTTTCTAGTCTATGTGCCTCGTCTGTGATTTTCCACAGTAGGGCGCAAAACTCTTCCCCCAAAAATCCCAGTTAATTATTCATGGCAAATAATCAAATCCACACAAGTTAAACCCACAAAAGTCAAAATCCAATTGAACTGTAGGAGTTTGGGTATTTACATTAACTTCACGAATAAAGCTGAGGAAACTGTTATTGCCTGGTAATGGCAGCAGAGGAAATGCTGCATGAAATTAGCAAAGACCTTTGGGAATCCACACTTACCATCAAATAAGCCAAGATGTTTCAAGGCAGCTGTGATGTAAAATGCAGATCCTCAAGTTTCAAAACAGAACCTCTTTCTGATCCCTAGTAACCAACAGCCTAAACAGATCCAAACTTTAAATTTAGAGAGCACTTCCTGTCATTCCAATAGTGAGTGTCCTATACAGTAAAGGGATTCAAGGATGTGTCTGACAATTAAACTGACAATTAAAATAGCAACCAGGTAATATAGTTTAATGCTGTACAATGATTTCAACATATTTGGTATGGCAGGTGATGTATTAACTCTGAAAGCGGTAAAAATGGCTTTCAGTGTTTCAATACATTTCAATACAATGTATTGTACTAACGAGTTAATGTAATATTGTTTACCTGGTGTAAACACATACAATTTATTAGGCACTAATAGGGAGGGAAAAGGAAAAATACGCAACTACAGGTATTAATTCTTAGGTATATTTTCTGAAGCACTCCCAAAACCTGATCCTCACAGAGCTTCTATCTGACTGCAGATACTTACCATTCGTAATGTGGAGAGGCCACCAATCCCCAACCAGAAGATATAAAAAAGGGAATGAAAGTGGATATTGTAGGTTACAAAGAGGGTGATGCAATGCCCAAAAAGTCCATAACCCTGAAAAGAAGGAAGCACACCTGAGACTAATGTGAAGTCACCTGAAAACTCCCAGATGGAAATATATTCTTATTGCACAGTTATCTAGACACAGCCTAATGCTCCACTAGTTGCAGATTGATGAATTGCAGCCAAATGTCAAAATTATGCCAGACTATTAGAGCAATTAAAACAATGCCAGGTTATGCACCAGGAATGTATAACTAAATTATGGTTTAATCATCCCCCAGACTTGCAGAGCTGGCTTTATTTCTGCTGGAAGCTAGCACTAACAGGCTAATTTCACTGCCCTCTTCCCCATCTAACATGACCTGTTTAATTAAAGAAAAAACACCCACTACTGCTCTAGGATACATTAACAGCAACCTTAAGCAAGAGAAAGCTGCTCATCTACATGGTACAGATGCAAAGTCAGCCAGAAATGAAAGACACCCATGGACCTATCATTTGTTAGCTTTCCCTTGGTGCCATCCAGATGCGCTGCACTCCAACTTCAATCACTAAGGCTACAGACTCAGCCAGAGACAGCTAGTTTGCTGGAGGTCTGTCTTACCAGGAGTGACAACATTTGGACCATGGTGATCTGAGCATTGCACAAGTATGCCAGGAAGTAGATGAAAGAGGAGACACCTATCCAGTAACCAAAGCAGGTGCCAATTGCTGTACCCATCAGTGTGCCTTCTCTCTGTAGAAAAGAACAACCGAACACTAGATTAGAGTTGGGCAACCATAATCTGGTGGAAGGCAGAATGGCCATGCTATTTAGCCCTCAGACTGTATAATATCAGGGGTGCAGTAAGGCTACCCTGATATCAGAAGCAATGGGGAGATAACCAAGGGAATCCCCTCCCCGACCTCTTCTTCAAGCCTGTGATAGCCTCCAGGCCAGGAGCATGGTCCACGGGGGAGCCCAAGTCTCCACAAACCTGATGGGGTGATTCTGTGGGCTGGAAACTGTCCTTCACTGGACTAGAGGCACAAGCTGTAGAAACTGAAAAAGGGCTTTCAAGCATTATCTGGTACAGATATTCCACTGTAGTCAGGCCTGCAGCAGGCATTTCTTGCACCTCAAAACAGAATTTTCCCTTACCAGGGAATGTCCATGATACTTCAACACGCCTGGATAGAAAGTTTAAAAGGTAAATAGAATTTTGACTAGTAACTTGTCAGGAAATAAAGATCTCCTGCTTACAATTATAGTATCTGATGTCTTCATTCCATGCAGCAAGATAGCCACCAGTGTGAAGACCAGCATGAGAGGGCCATAAAGCTCACCAGCTATCTTCTGTAAAAGAAGAAAGGTATATTAATCCTGTATCAGCTTTCTGGGAAGTAAACTGTTTGGGTCAATCAGAATAAGTGTACAAAAGGCTCATACACTTATGTTGTTCAATGTGGAACATTCAAAGTAGTAAACAAACCAGCTATAGAAACCAATTATGCTCTTTTACAAATAGCAAGTATTGGTCCCTTTCTAGCAAATGGCTTTGAGCCTTCTTGGTTTACATGACATGCAATATGGAAACCCCTGGTGCACAGACATAAATGAAAGAGTGTAAGTTCACATGTTATATTCATGAAACTTGAAATTCTGATTCTAAGATCTCTAACAGTGCTGTTAACACTCACCTGCCAGACTAAAGGCAGGCCAGATGCTTTCCAACATTAAAGCACTCGTGCCAAAGCCATCAGCTGTGGCCTTGACTTCTTTCTGCTCACCCAAGGCCACTGTGATATCAGAGCAAATCAATCAATGGCAGAGGCAAAGTAAAGCACAGATGGAGGAGAAAGAAAAATGAGAAGGGGAGTACAGGACTCTGAATGATACTTAGCCACTGTCCTGGCATGCATGGACTCTGCTAAATAAGATAAACCAGCCTTCACCAAGCTGGTGGCCTTCAGAGGCAATTGAACTGTAATTCTCAGAATTCCTCCCAGCAAAGCCATTGACTGGGAATTCTGTGTGTTGTAGTCAGGAAGGCACAAGGTTGGGCAAGGCAGATATAAACTGTTTACTGAAGAAAAGAAGTAAAACTGAGGAACAACATTTGGAATGAAGACGCTATCAAACTTTAACAAAGAGCTATCCAACTCATTCATCATGAGGAAAATACTACTGTGCATCCATGATAAAAGGTATCATCACGCCACCTTGATAGGTAGAATAAATGAGGCAAAACAGAACCCAACAAGTATATTCATTATCATCACCTCCTCCTCCCAATATGACCCAGGAGCTTAAGCACTCTGGGTGGTTTACAATAATTCCTAAAACAGGACCATAATACAGTAAAACAAAATTTTCTGAAGTACAGTATTTTAACATTTTACAACTAAAACAATACCTAACATACAATAAACTTGTTAAACACCTGACCTGGGTGTCCCCATCAGGCCATTAAATAATGTCTTTAAGTTCCTTGATGCCAAAAGAAGAACAGAGTTAGTGCCTGGCAAGTCTGAGTGGGGAAACTTTTCCTCAGTGATGGACCCCCAACTGTAAAGACTTTATCCCTTGATGGCACTCCCTAAATTTCCTTCAAAGGTGTCACTTGGAGGAAGGCTTCAAGGTGTTAAGTGTAGTGTCCAGCTAGAGTAAGAGCTAGAGAACTTCAGCTGTTTGATGGACTAGCAATTAAATAAGTAAATTGCAGTTTGGGGAATCACTCCATCAGATATTTTCCTAAGTCTTAAGCCATGCCACAGGCAGGCAATGCAAGCAGGCCAGAACTGGTTGTAAACAGTCACATTTTCTACTCCTGGTTATTACTATAGATGTCACAATTTGTACAAGCTGCAACTTCTGAACAATCTTTACTGTAGTACTCTAGAATGCACCAGAGCATAGAGTACTGGAACCAAGCTATCCGTGTCCATGAAGAGACACAGCTGGGCCCTTTGTTAAGAAGATCCTTAACTCCTGGACATTCCCAACTCTGAGATATTAAACCAAAACTTCAACCTCCTATCTAATACACAAGCTCACCTGAGGAAAATTAATCATCTTTACAGGTATCATGGATTCCAGCAACCTGAATGAGAATAAAATGTTCAGGAGAGTGTTAAGAGCTAAGAACAGATGACTATCCCACTGAACAATTAAAAATTATCTGTTGGTCCATACTGAGCAAAATACAGGGCATACAATAAATTAATGCAACCTATGCAAGATCTGATGCTACAGAATCAGAACCTTGATGAGGAAATTAATGCTTCTCATTATATAATACATTATCCAGAGCAAGATTTCTCATTCTTCTCCTGTGTTCAAACCACAATAGTTAACAAAGGTTACAGAGGCCAGAAAATGAGACTTTATACCAGTTTGTGCCTCTCATCCGTACTGTGAGAACAGATTACTGAAATTCTAATTTGCACTCACTGGCTGGGACACATAAACTAAGAAATCTGCTGAAATGACACTCCATATCATTGTTTTGCTTGTGCGGATGCACCACAATTTTAAAAATGAAAAAGCTTGACATGTTCCATTTGCAGAATGAAATTACTGATGGGAAAACCCAATCTCCTTACAGTTGCCTTGCAAGCAAAAATGAGCAGTGTGGTACTTGTCCCTTTAATGTTTCTGGGATTAACCAGCTTATTTTAAATTCTTTATTTAAATTCTTTAGCCTTCTTTTTATTAATAACAGATATATGTTGAGTGGCAGTTAATGCCTTTCTCTTTAACTTGCAAAGAGTAGTCTTAGCCACTTACATGGCCGAGGAAAAGGCACCGAAGTGGGAGAACAGCTTGCCAATGCTGCTTACCTGTTCCGAACTTGGTTGGGCTCAACATCAAAGTAGGGCCTGAGGATATCAATGTTGGCATAAAGATTGAAGGCCTTTGAGGCTTGCCTTTTTCCAGCCTGCCACATCTAAAAAAAGAAAGAGGGAGGAATAAATCAATAAAACGGAACTCTCCTTTCTCACTCCTGCAGAAAGATTGGTTTCTTACAGTAGATCTAGAACTTCTGCACAAAGATTAACATTCATGTTAACTTTCAGGACAGAGTGGACCACGTGAGTAAACGTTATAGTTATAGAATCATAGAACAGTAGAGTTGGAAGGGGCCATAAGGCCATTGTGTCCAACCCTCTGCTCTTGCAGGACACTAAGTTACACCATTCCATTATGGAAGGTTACACTGCTATTAAAAGCCCAGACAATAGCTTGGAACTGGTGATAGCTATCTCTGCAAGTAAATACTGAGATACACTCTATCAGTGTAGAGGACTAAATTTCATTGATAATTTCTTGCACAGTACCCTAAGGCAGAAATACTTAAGGAGCCCAATTCAAGGTCATACAAACAGAAGAGGATGCTTCTGCTCTAGCTTAAGTTTCTCGGATCTAAAAGGGGAACAAGGAGGAACCCATATTTTTTCACACTGTTTTTATTTCTGGAGACCAAAAATAAGTAAATACAATTCTGGTTAATGGACTTTTTGTACCCCTAATACTGGCTGAACTGACTGTGTGTGGCAAGGTATGTGACACACATGAATGATGACCACCAGTTGTCCATTTAAGAAAGACAGGCATGAATGCAGGAGCGAAGACTGCACTAAAGGAATCATTCAACCACTGTTCCCAGAAGATTACAATCAGTCAGAAGCATACAGGAACTTGACCAAATCAGAGACGCAACCATAACAGAAGAGGACTCCACTTACCTGATCAGCTACTTGCCGGCCCAGCTGCCCCTTAAAGCCCTTCATCCCCAAAAACTCTCCATCTTCTTCATCTGCAGCAGCTGCTTCTGCATCCACTTCTTCTTCTTCTTTCATGCGTTGGTGCATCTCACCCATGTCTTCAAAGCTGGAGCCAGATGTATCATCCATGTTTTCCATGTCAATTACAGCAGAACCCCCACCCTGCCAATACGAAAATATGCAAACAGTTGAAGATTAGGCACCAATCATTTGCCTTTACTCAGAGGTGCTGCCCAAGCAGCAGACAGAAATTCCTTTTACCATTGAGTGTACAATTTTTTGGGCTTCAAGGGCCACATGTGGTATTGGGTTGAGGGATGTGTAGACATATGTCTACAGGGATCCCAGCAGCCTGATGAAAACTGCAGTTTCTCCACTGTTAGCAGCCACGAAGAAAGAGTAACCTGCATTAGGAAACTGATGGTGGTGGGGTCAAGAGGGATGCAGGTAAGGTCCCTGCCCAACTCTCAGGCCATGAGTTGTACTTCCCTATCTAACCAGATTCTACTTCGTGATAAGTTCACAGAAATTAGGGTAAGTATCATTCCTAAAAGTGTCTTCATGTTCAGTTATGCAACTAATAATGACCAGTCTGGAAGAAGTACCTTTGGGGTTGATGGGAACATTTGGAATTGTAAACATGTGTTATGGGCACTCTTACAAAATGACTGCTATGGGGACTGACCCATTCACTGAAGTGCAGCCATGATGGCTGTGGCCAGTCTCAAAATACCCATTTCCAAGTAGCCAAACTAGTGAGATTAATAGAAATATAACTTGCCCAAGAACCTAAGACCAAAAACAGGTTATGACCTCACACAGCCCAGGGAAGGCACCCTGGCAAAGCACACTGCACAAACACCCTTGTAAACCACCCCTGGGCAACTCTCTCTCTCTCTCTCTCTCACACACACACACACACACACACACAACCAAGGGAAACAAGCAAATACACGCACACCAAAAAACCCACTCATGCACGGAGGCCACAGACAAAGCACCTCCCCTTGCTCTTCATCGATCTGTATACCTTTTGTCCCCAGATACACACTACCGTGCCAGCTTGCTTACTACTTTTTTGTCTGAGTGGCTGGGCACACTTCAAAACAAAGCACAGCTGCTCGCTATTTTTTAGTTTTTAATAAAGACTCTGATGCACATGTGCATCTCAGAGGCACACTGGAAATCATATGGTGCTGGAGATGGCACTTTATAGTATGGCTGCCTTTATTTATTTATGGTAAATAAATAATAATATTTTTTTAAAAGAAAGATGGGCAGGGAGTTTGGCAAGCACCAAGGAATTAATCTCTAATACCATCACACTGTTGGCCACAGGCACCATGCTAGGAACCCCAGGAATAAGAGGAATGTTCTTCCAATCATACTGAGTCCACAATAAGCAGAAGCCATCACTGAACTTTATAAAGGGTGCTAATTATACATGCAAAAGTCATATGCACATAAAAGGAATTGGGTCTTTCCTCTCAAGGCCTCCAAAGAGCTTGGACAAAATGCAGTGGCAGCTATTTAAATACAAAACAAACCCTTCATACACAGCTCATCTAAAGTAGTAGGCTTCATTGCAAGAGAATGATCGCCACAGCAAGTTATCCATAGCCTTGCTGTGGCAATCAATGCTCTGGTAGCCTCCAGACCTAGATGGGTGAAATGTGTCATATATGGGTTTGCCTTTGATGATGGATTAGAAACTGATGTTGGTGTAGAACACAATTGTGAGATTACAGTCTGGAATGGTGCATTAGGAACATACCTCACCAGTGCTGTAAGAGGCCCACTGGCTCCAAGTCTTTCCTAGCCTAATTCAAGGTGCTGTTGCTGACTTCTGAAGCCCTTTGCGGCTTGCTATCTGGATGTATGAAGGAAGCTCCTCTCAACCTGTCCATTCACTTAAAAAACTCTATGGGCAGGAGTGGGCAGAAAATAGATATCCTAGTATTTGGTACTTCCAGTTCCTGGAATCCCCTGCCAGCATGGCCAATGGTCAGGAATGCTGGAAGATGAAGTCCAAAACTTCTGGAGATCTACTTTCTGTCCACCTCCAACTTACAGAAACCTTCCTTAAAGTGTGTGGGGAGCTTGGCACCAAGGGCAGAAGCAGGCACAACAGCCCAAACAAGTCTTTTAGTTTAACATACCTAGTCACAAGGTGAAATTTGCTTTCAGTGCTGCTGAAGATGTTTTAACCCTGGATTTTATACTGTTGAAACTTTTGCTGTTTTACATTTGTCAATTTGTATTTCTTGCTGTATTGAAATAGTAAACTACCCTAGAAATATTAAGTACTGAGCAGTGTGACCTAAATGCATAAACAAAAACAACCAAATACAGCAGAAAATCAAGTCGTTTAGGCATTAGCCCTAGAACCAGAAAAACTAGTAAACTGGAGCTCTTTACCCATAGACCCTTAGCCCAGGGGTCAGCGACCTGAGGCTCTGGAGCCACAAGTGGCTCTTGAATCCCCTTGCTGCGGCTCCATCGCTCAAAACACGTGCCAATTCACTGAGCTTTTCCCCCCGGTAGGCCATCCATGGATAAATTGAAGAAAAGAAAAGTTTCTGAAGAAAACCGAACGTTTAATGGTATGTGGGTAGGTTCATTTGCTTTTACTGCTGATGAACTTATGGGGTTTGCTGTTTAATGCATGCAGCCCTTTAGCACTGACTTTGACTCTGCAGGAAGCTGTTCTCCTATTCAAAATATATGAAAGGGGTCCTACTAGTTTATAATGTAAGATTAAAAATAAGTTTTTAGTGACTGAACAAGAGTTGCAGTTAAATCATAATGAAGATATAGATCTACTTCCTTGTTTTAAGAAGATTCTTATAAAAATTCCAGCAACATTATTACATTGGGAGAGGGATGTTTGCTCAATAGTTCAACAGACTATTATTTATATTTGTTGTATTGCAGAAACTACTTACTGTATGAAAGTATCAAATAGTCCTTTTTTTATTCAGTTGACAGCTGACTGCACCCTCCAGTACATGTAATAAAAGGATGAGGGCACACAGAAGCAGACAGCAGGTGGATAATTTAAGTTTGGCTTTTTATTTCATAAATATGAGGAGGACTCAAATAGACATTGAGTATTTTATTTGAAAGTAACCTTCAACCCAGCATCTTTTTTTTTCAGAGTTCAAAATGTTTTTGTTGCATGCAGAAATAAAAATTTGTTTTCTCTGTAGCAGTTCATTGATTTCATAAATGCAACACACTAGTTTTTTTATGCATAGCATAAAGGTAAAAAAATATATGCAGTGTTATCTTCATTTTAGATGTCAAAAGGGTTTTGTGGCTCCCAGTGGTTTTTTTTTCTGTGGGAAATGGGTCCAAATGGCTCTTTGAGTGTTAAAGGTTGCCGACCCCTGCCTTAGCCATTTATAAAGAAACCAATTAAGAGAAAATTGTTACTGCTCTATTCTGAAAAGATTTTCTCTCTTTTTGCCCCTCTCTCATTGCTCTCTGTGGAAGAGTTCTACTGCTATTAATTTAGTAACAGCAGACACATTAAAATGCAAGTTCACCGTTTTTCATGTCAACTCTTTCACTTGTGGAATCATAAAAAGGAGGCTGGAGCCAAGCAAACTGTACTCAACAGGATGCTATGTTTCCACAGGTTCTTCTTCTTGTGCACTTTTTTCTTAAAACATACTTCCCCCTTCTTGTTGATTCCAGTTTGCTTAAGTTTTAAGGAGGGCAGGCATTAACACCACAGCATACCTGCTTTTAATAATTACTTATGCAGTTCATTTTCTTTAGGAGTTCAGGACTCACTTGGCAGTTAACCCATTTTACTCTGACACCAACCCTGTGCAGTAGGTGAGGCTGACTGTGATTAGTTCTAATGGTCACCCACTGAAATTAAAAACTGGGTAGGAATTTAAACTCATGTCTTGCTACAAGATAAAAAAAGTTCTACACATAATGGCAATTGAATGGTTCAAGACTTCCAGTGCAGTGACTCTAATATGAAGGCTCCTCCTATGAACTCCAGCAGGTTTAGAAGTAAACAAATGCCCTTCTTAGCACATTCATCACCTTCCATGGGACTCAATACCAATTTTACCTGTCTCAACGACTTCCTACATCACTCCTACAGAAAATGAGTAACTGTCTTCCCCTACTTTTTAAAAGCACGATTCTGTGTTCGGTGTGAAGCGCAGGGAACCAAGGTTCAATTTGGATGCCAGGAAGTACTTCCTGACAGTTAGGACCCAGAGGGTATGGAATGGGCTTCCACCGGAGATGGTTGGGGGCCCATCGGTGCGGGTGTTCAAGGATAAGGTAGACATGCACATGGTGGGCATGTCGTGAGCGGAGCTGGGGGGTCAGACTAGATGGCCTGGGAAGCCCCTTCTGACTCGCGCTGTTTCTACTTTTCTATGTATTGCTGATGCTTTACTTGACGATGGGGAACCGGGAACGATGCGATTCCACAGATGTCGTTGGACTGCAACTCCCATCTTCCCTAACCGTCATAGTCAATTGTGAGAGAGGATAGAAGTTGTAGTCCAACTACATGGGGGAGGGGGGCATACGTTTCCTATCCCTTAACCCCAACCAGTAAGTTCAAGGAGGGTACCAGTTACTCCGGAAGAAGGTAACCACCTCGGAGCATACTGCTGGCCCTTGACAAGCCCAGAATGGGAGGCTCCGGGAAGCGCTTGGGCCTCTCCGTCCCCATACCTGCATATTGTCCTCGAAGGCTCCCCACTCCGCTGTCGCTCCAGCCCTCGCTCCTCCGGCTGCTGTTACCCCGGGGCTGGACATTTTCCCCCCACCGGTTGCAGTGGAGCAAATGCCCCCTTCTCCTCCCCTCCACTAGCGGAGGCTACAACAAACGGCGGCCCGTCAATAGGTGTGGAAAGAGAAGGACCCGGATGTCACAAAGCCAAAGCGTTCCCACTCCGTCGGTATGGGCTACTCCAGCCTCGCTGAGGACGTGGAGACTCAGGAGTTCTCGCGAAGTTTCAGAACATTCGGCCTGACCACTGCGCCATTTTAGTTGCTCCGGACAAGAACGTTTCAGTAAGGATATGTGAAGCGGCGGACCATGAAAGGCCGGCGGGGACAGCTCAGGATGCGGTATACTAACTTAAGATTCGTGTTTAATTGGCAGCTCTGTGGTAGCCGACATCAACGTTGTTCCTATCGGAGCGCCACACGCATCATGGCAGCTGAAGGCGACCAATGTTCTTAGATAAATCTATGAAGCCACTCTCGCCGCCGGAAGCCTCCTATCACGTGATAGACAGAGCCCACCCTTCCCCCCGAAAAAAGAAAACAGAAGCCTCTGCGCTTGCGTCGTGGTGGGAGGGGCGGTGATTGTAGCTTGTTTCGTCGGAGCACGTTGGTTGGAAGATGGCGGCGCCCGGCAGCGTGGAAGAGATGCGGAACCGAGTAGTGCTGGGAGAATTTGGGGTCCGCAATGTAAGTGGGACCATGGGTGCTCTAGTTGCGAAGTAGGTCTTGCTGGCAGTCTGAGCATGCGGCTTCTCAGGAGGGATAAACGCTATGTTTGTGTGAGCGGTGGCAACGCTTCTTCCGACTCAAGCGTGTGACTGCACTTCTTTCATCCCGCCTTTCCTTCGAGCTGAGGTCCAGGTCGAATTACAGAAGAACTTTAAAACCAGGGCAAAAGCCAGATTAAATCATAAGGATGCAGAAAATATCAATAAGAAATTATGTCGTGCACTGTAGGATGATTGAGAAGAAACCCTGGTCCTCTTTATATCACCTTATCAAGTCCTGGAAGGATGCTATCAGTCTTCTTTTCCCAAGGCTAAACATCCCTAATCCTTCCATTCCCTCTCCATAGGGCTTTGTTTCCAGCCCCCTGATCATCTTCACTGCTCTCCTCTGAATCTGTTCTCATTTATTTGCATCTTTCTTAAACTATGATGCCTAGAATTGAAGGCAGTACTCAAAATGAGGGCTGAGTAAAGGAACACTAGTACTTTGTGTGATTTAGAAATGATGCAGTCCAAAATAGTATATGGAATGCGCTCCCCAGAGAGGTCCGCCTGGCGCCATCGTTATTTGTTTTTTGGCGCCAGGCAAAGACCTTTTTATTCAAACGTTATTTTAATTGTTAATACTATTTATTTATTTTATTCTTTGGCCAGGGCAACTTAAATTATACAGTTTTATATTGTGTTTATTTATTTATCATTGTGAGCTGCCCCGAGGCTTCTGCGAATGGGGCGGCATAGAAGTTCTCTAAATAAATAAATAAAGTTTGTTTGTTTGTTTGCCTTTTTTGCAGACACATCAATTTGGTGAGTTGTTTTCACCTTGTGCCCTAAAATAATTCTTCGAAAAAATCATGGGAGTCATCCCACCAAGTTTCAGATACACCTATCAAGTCATATTCATGCTCCTATGTTAAGAGTTCAAGTTCATGATATTTGTTTCCTGTACTCTAGGCACTAGTATACAGACTTTGAAGCCTATGAGCTTTATAATCTAGCTTTCTTCTTATATTTTTAGAATATAGGAAGAGCCACTCTCTCTGTTATGGTGCATAAGTCTTGGTTCATTGTTTCCCCCTAGTTTACTTCTTCCCCAGTTGGGTTCAGTGTTAAGCACCCCTGTTGAGTTTCTTCATCCTGTGGCCAAACACATTCTTCCGAGTCATGTGAGGTGCAGCCTGGCCCTTGCCAGCAGTCCATCCTCCAGGAAGTGTAGCCCGTGGTTCCAGAATCTAAATCTCTCATGTCAGCAACACTTTTGTAGCCAGGCGTTCACCTGGAGTATTTCTCTTTCTCTTTCTGTTCCTCTTCTAAGTAATAGGAGGATGGATAAGAAAACTGTCTGGGCCCCAAAGTACCACTGCATCTCTAATATACTTTTAAAAATAGAGTGGCTTCCTGTATTTGGCTCAACAGATACTGACTGGTGCTTTACTGTATTGTTATGGTGATTTATTTTGACTTTTGCCCTGGATTTAAAATTCTAATATAATCTGTTGTGGACTTCAGCTGGATAGGAAAATAGTATATAAATCTTTTAAAGAAATGCACATGTGTATCACTTGAATATAGTTAAGGGTGAAATCCTATGCATATTTAGGCAGTCTTACAACTATCACACCGCAAGCCTAATAGGACTGTGGGAATTTTCTGTTGATGTTGTTCAGGTGACTTAAATTTGAACATTGCTATTTACCTGTTTTATTGCTTTTGAACATAGAAAACTATTGTGCTGTGTCAAAAGGTTGCTTCATCTAACTCTGCAGTCTCTACACCCTTTCAAATCTTAGGTATGCCTGGTACTAGCCCCGGAGTTGGGACTGCATGTGTGCATGCACGCACACCCTTCTCCATTTCCTCCCTCAGTGATCCTGATAGAATTTGCTCTTTCTTTGTCAGTAATGATGGGGAAAGAGGTACCTGTAAGAGGATTTCTGGGAGAGGCAGTGGAGAAATCAGTGAGGGATCTGGGCAACTTGTTGGAGGGTGGGTGCAGTAAAGGCTTTAGGTGGATGCAAGTTGTGTCCCCCTTTTCTGTCTGGTGTGTTAGGCAGAGGTCTTTCTATCCCTCTGCATGCAAAGCAAGTGCTGTATCATCAAGCTAGACCTTCTCCCTTTCCAGGTACATACAACAGACTTTCCGGGAAATTACTCAGGATATGATGATGTCTGGGATAAAAGGAAATTTGAAAAGGTGAGAGGTATGGGTTCCTTGAAAAATGATTTGGAGCCAAGGGCTGGTTCCTTTTTTGGGCTTTTGCACCCAGTCTTCTCCTTGATAGCAACTAGCAGTGTTGTAGAATGTCATGTCTTTCTTGGTGTTAGTTTCTTATCTGTGGCCTTATTCACAAACAACTAAAAACCTAGAAAGTCTATTCATATGGTGCTGGACTGAATCACCACCTTTCTACATAGGATGCATACATTAGTTGACCAGGTAGAATTTCATAGTAGCCTGAACGTCATTTTTCCCCTCCAGACAGATTGATCAAACAGACTTTTGGTTGTAAGGATTATTTGTCACATCTAATACTTTGCTAGTTAACACATTTTAGAATGATTAAGGAATTTTATACCTGCTGACTCTGCCTGTTGCTCTCTATCTTTTGCTGTCCCCTACAGAATTTTAGAGTAGATGTGATTCACATGGATGAAAGCACTTTGGAATTTGACATGGTGGGAATTGATGCTGCCATTGCTAATGCTTTCCGACGCATCTTGCTTGCAGAGGTATCAGTTTGTCTAACTCAAATTTGTTTAAATAAACAAATAATTGTTAAATTTCATTTCTAAAGCAGAGTGTTGTCTAACTAAGAAATAATTGTAGTATTTAATGAGTCATAAATGAGTTCTAGACATAAATATGGTCTCCCACTTACAGTGCAAATTTCAGATAATATGTTTTGGATAAAACTAGTTTATGAAACTCTTGACCCTGACAGTAGAAATATATCTGTCAAAATAATGTGCTAGATCAGTGTAATCTTGGATGATTGAGTATTGCCATTCAACCCCATTGAAGTTGCTTACATTCAAGCTCTACTGTGAGTATCTTGATTGCAATAAGGTTATTGGAGGATACAACATTTCATACTTCAAGCATAATGTGAGATCTTTTAAATCAGGAGATTGATGATACCTTCTAAGAAGTTGGACTTTAATCTTGGCTGTCAAGGTTCTGTGGTGGCCTTCCTCAGCCCTGGCTGTTTGGATTATAGCTCTCAATATTACTAACCAAAAGTCCAAAAGATTTGGAGGGCATCAGGCTGAGAGATATGCATGGCAGATACACTTTCTGATTTCAGCCTTAATGGGGCTAGGAACAGATCTTGACAAGTTTGACTCGATTGTTCAAGCATGACTTTCTTTGGGCCAATATAATTTTTGGCTTTGATCTTCTTATGATACAGTATGAATGAATAGTACTAGATCTTTAGAAACCAAAAAATAGGGCTCAAAATTGAGGACTAGTGCTTAGAAAAACAATGTGACCTGCAGCTCTCTCTGTAACAACAGTGTTCCCTTTCTTTCTGAGGTCCCAACCATGGCTGTAGAGAAGGTTTTTGTGTACAATAATACCTCCATTGTGCAGGATGAAATTCTGGCTCATCGCTTGGGATTGATTCCTATCTGTGCAGATCCTCGTCTCTTTGAATACAAGAGTGAAGGTGAGATTGTGTGGAGGGCATTTGTGGAAGAATGAACCTGACTAAACTTAAAAAGATCTGACTGCATCCTACTAAAGGAGAGGTCACTTGGGAAGCTTCAGCATGTTCTTCCTTTCATTTTGTAGAAGATGAATGTGATGAGATTAACACCCTGCAATTCCAGTTGAAAATAAAGTGTAGCAAGAATCCTCATGCGCCTCGGGAGTCGTCTGATCCTAATGAACTCTACATCAACCATAAAGGTAACATGTCTACTTTGGAGTAAGCGCTCTCTACTCTTCTGTATGCCCAGTTCCACTTCTGATTGTCATGACAGATTATTCCAAAACTTTCAGTCCATTCCATCTTGCATTCCATAGCCTCGCATAAAGATGGCTTAACCTGCATCACATGATTGATTACTTATGTCTTCCCTTCCATAACTTTTTTGCTTCTTTTCCTTGGTTGGTGGGAGAGATGAATCAAATGCCTGTCTAGTTACAGGCTCACATTTTCCGATGACCTTCTCTTTTTACAGTGTACAGCAAGCACATGGAATGGGTGCCGATGGGTTCCCAGGCTGACAACATGAATGCTAACTTCCGTCCTGTACATGATGACATCCTTATTGCCCAGTTGCGTCCTGGTCAAGAGATTGATGTACTTATGCACTGTGTAAAGGGCATTGGTGAGTCTGTTGGCATGTGGGGATGGAATTGGCAATTGTAACCTTTTAGAAATGAGAGGCAAAGGGCAGGCGGCATTGTTGTGTACCTGGTCTTTGCTTCTAGATACCAGAGAGCTAAAGGATAGTTGTACTGGTATCCTTTAAACTAGAGTATAGGATGCTTTGGGTTTGATTGAGGAAGTATTCAAGATGTTCAGTTTCATTGATAAGAATGATAAGATAACTTGGGAAAATACATATTTAAAACTAAATGGGCTAATTGGCTTCTCTAGTATTAGGATGTTTGTTTTATCAACAGGCGCTGTACTCTTTGTAAACCTGAACATTTCCATTATGTTCTGATGAAATGGGCATGGATGCTTATGCCAAAAGAAATAGATGAGTTTTAAAGGTGCTTCAAGACCCTATATGATGTAGAGACTAATATGGCTGCACCATATAGATTCCTTTAAAGGACAACATCCTTTTCGCAGCCAGGAAAAAAAAACCCATCTTGGGATCTTAACTTGTTTCCTGTGATAGCAGGAATGTAGCTTTTCCTCCCCCAGAGTTGTTAGCCACTCAACCTTGACATGCTTATGGATGCTTAGAAGGGAGTCGGGGTTTTTCTTGCCCTGGAGGTGACTGAGATGCCAGTCAGCCCTGTTGTCAGGCAGAGTGGCCAGGTAGAAATTGCATTCTTTTATGCGTTGAATTCTAAGTGACTCAATTGCTGAATGAACCCTTTGTAAACAGGATTAATGTGCCTGTATATTTAAACCCTGTGCCTCTGTTTGAACATTCTGCAGTGTCATATGCAACTGACAAATGGCAGTCAGGTATTAATAGGGTAGTCCAACTTATTTGAATAGCTAAGAACTAGTTGGGTGTGCCAACAAACCTTGCCTGCTCTTAGGTTTCCCTCATTCATTCATTCATTCATTCATTCATTCATTCATTCATTCATTCAGGGAACTTCTATGCTGCCCCATTCGCCGAAGCCTCGGGGCGGCTCACAAACATAAATAACATCATATAAAACAATATAATTTAACAGTATAAATTAAGTCGCCCTGGCCAAAGAATAAAATAAATAATATTAACAATTAAAATAACGTTTGAATAAAAAGGTCTTCGCCTGGCACCAAAAAACAACGATGGCACCAGGTGGACCTCTCTGGGGAGCACATTCCATAGATTGGGCACCACCGCAGAGAAAGCCCTCCTCCAAGTACTTACCCTCCTAATTTCCTTCACGGAGGGTTCCCGGAGAAGGGCCTCTCCTGCTTATCTCAAGGGGCGGGCGGGCATATATGGACATAAGTGCTCCTTCAGGAAACCAGGACCCAAGCCGTTAAGAGCTTTATAGGTCATCACAAACACCTTGAATTGGGCCCAGACTTCAATGGGAAGCCAGTGAAGCTGACGGAGAACTGGAGAAATGTGAACTTAACGCCCAGTCCGCGTCAGCAGCCTGGCAGCTCTATTTTGAACCAACTGAAGTATCCGGACCATCTTCAAGGGCAGCCCCACATAGAGCGCATTACAGAAGTCAAGTCGGGAAGTCACCAATGCATGTGCCACTGTCGCCAGGCAGTTGTTCTCCAGGTAGGGGCGCAGCTGATGGATCAGCCAAAGCTGAAAGAAAGCGCTCCTCGCCACCGCTGTCACCTGAGCTTCGAGTGAAAGCTCAGGGTCGAGGAGCACTCCCAAGCTGCAGACCTTGTCCCTAAGAGGGAGTGCAACCCCATTCAGGACTAGGTTCAGTTCACCTTCCCCGAAGTCCGATCCGCCAACCAACAGGACCTCCGTCTTGTCTGGATTGAGCTTCAGTTTATTGGCCCTCATCCAGCCCATTACCTCGGCCAGGCACCAGTCCAGCACAGCCACTGCCTCACCTGGATTGGTGGAGAATGAGAGGTAGAGCTGGGTATCTTCAGCGTACTGATGATTCCGCAGCCCACACCTCCTGATGACTTCTCCCAGCGGTTTCATGTAGACGTTAAACAGCAAAGGGGACAAAATGGATCCCTGCGGTACTCCATGGCATAGCTGCCATGGCGCAGAGCCATAGTCCCCCAGCACCACCTTCTGGAATCAGCCATTGAGATAGGAGCGGAACCATTGCAAAGCAGTGCCTCTGACCCCCAATCCCACTAGCCTATCCAGAAGGATACAATGGTCGATGGTATCGAAAGCCGCTGAGAGGTCCAGAAGAACCAACAGGGATGCACTCCCCGTCCTTCTCCCTGCACAAGTCATCGTACAGGGCAACCAAGGCAGATTCAGTACCGTACCCGGGTCTGAAGCTGGACTGAAATGGGTCCAGATAATCAGTTTCATCCAAGAGTGCTTGGAATTGTCCCACCACCACCCACTCCAACACCTTGCCCAGAAATGGGATGTTGGCCACAGGTCTATAATTAGTGGCCATCTCTGGATCCAGTGACGCTTTCTTCAGGACCGGTCGGACTACCGCCTCCTTTAAAGGGGCAGGTACCCGACCCTCCCTCAGAGAAGTGTTGACCACTTCCAAGATCCAGGTCCCAATCCCGTGCTTGGCGTTGTTTATTAACCAAGATGAGCAAAGGTCCAAAAGGCAAGTGGTGGGACGTACTCGTCCAAGCACCTTGTCCACATCATCAGGCCGCAATAACTGAAATTCATCCATTAATTAATCACTGCTTCTCTAACCAGCATCCCCATTTGTTTTGTTTCTATTCATTAGTTTCTTAAACTTCCTTTAGGTAAAGATCATGCCAAGTTTTCTCCAGTAGCCACAGCCAGCTATCGGCTGTTGCCGGAAATCACTCTGCTGCAGCCTGTTGAAGGGGAAGCAGCTGAGAAGCTACAGAAGTGCTTTTCTCCTGGAGTTATCGAGGTCCAAGAAATCAAAGGTATTTTTTTAGACTACAGAAAACCAAAAATGGATGTAATTTATAGAGACATGCATCATTACTACCAATGTTGTCTGTATGCTAATAGCATGTATGAATCTGTGGTGATCCCACTTCCTATAGCCTCTTCCCTCCATGCACATTCTATTTGGAATGTGGTCACAGAAAGAGAAATGTTGGGTCTGGGATTGAATTTCCCTCTCCATTTTCTATTGTTTGGCTATGCAATACTTTAGGGTGCCTTCCCTATTTAACTTTTAAAAAACGAAACAAAACTGAGGGTAAAGACTGTGAAAATCAAGCAGACATACATAGGATCAGAGTGTAATTAGCTTTTAGCCAAATTGGCAGGGATTTCATAAATGAATACATGCTACTCTGATATTCAGATCATTTCCTTGATCTGTTTTTTGTGAGGAAATGAGATTTTGTGTTTGGGATGCAGTGTTTGTTTGAAAGGAAATAGGGAGGGAAGAAACTGTAAATACACGCCTGTACCCTGGCTTTTAAACATTGGTTTCTTTCTTTAGGGAAAAAAGTGGCAAGAGTAGCCAATGCCCGACTGGACACATTTAGCAGAGAAATCTTCCGTCATGATGATTTGAAAAACCTTGTGCGCTTGGCTCGTGTGCGAGATCACTACATCTGTAAGTAATCCTTCAAATCCTTCTGTTGGTGGCCCTCTCTGTCACTTCTTACCATCAGGCAAACCCCTGTGTAGTATTGGAAATGTCATGGGTCAAAGGTCCTCTAGTTTTCCTTGCTTTCATGCTATAGTTTTATGTAAATGCTGTGACCTTATATTTATACACTGTTATGAAACTAAATGATGTCTCATTAGCTGATAAAGCCCCAAAGTTCAATTGTTAAACCAGGTCCTCAGTCATGCTTAGAAATATCAAAAGCATAACATAAGTTGGGTGATGCTTGTTTTGGGGCAAGGTACATTTGCAAAAGTCTAAATAATACAGCGTCTTCAATTTGGTGCCTTCCAAATGTTTTAGACAATAATCCCCATTATTCTTGATAATTAGCCATGCTGGCTGGGGCTGGTGGGTCTTGTAGCCCAAAACTTCTGGACTGTTGGAAAAGGCTGATCTAAATACATACAAAAGGAACAGAATTGTTTCTTTATCCAAATGTGGAAATTAAAATATTCTGAATTCTTAGGGATGGAAACAAGACTGTGAGATCATGCACATTACTTTTTTGGGTGCCAGTGAGGAAGTACATTGCTAGAGTTGTCTATAGAGGTAACTTGGCAATAAAATCACTGCTGGGAGTTTTTGTATGATAGCAGAGTTTACCCAAGTATCTGATAAATTCACCTCTATTTTTCCAGTTTCTGTGGAGTCAACAGGCATTTTGCCTCCAGATGTGCTGGTGAGTGAAGCAATCAAGGTATTAATGGGAAAATGTCAGCATTTCTTAGAGGAGCTGAAATCCATCCAGAAGAAATAAGTGGAGGAACTTAGCCCTTTATCACAGGTCTCTAATTAGTTGAGATCTCTGCAGATGAGTTTAAGAAGAGCGGCTTCAACCAAGTGTACTCAAGCTGGCAAGGGGATAACTATGTCTACAAATGATGTGCGTGCGACTGGAACTGGTTGCTCTGTACTTTCCTACTTTTGCTTGTCAGCTGAGCTATGGCTGAAATACAGAGGTATAGTGGAATGCCACTGTGCAGCTCTCTGCAAAGACTAACATACACTGATGGAGTTGAGGAAAAAATTATTTATTCCTTGACAAATATTCTAGAAAAGGATCCAAAGACTGTGTAAGCATATGAATGTGTAATCTGACAGTAATAAACTGCAAAGCTTCCTATATTGCCCTTTAAGTGTGCCAAGACTATTGACTCAAGAGCTGTTTTACAGACACCCCACCTCCTTGTCCCTGAATTGCCAGGTGTACAGCCACTTGACATTGGTTGGTGGCAATGTCTGATCAGCTCAGAGTTTTACAGAATAAAAGTTTAATGTTAATGCCCACGAGCCTTCTAAATCATAACGATTTACTTCTCTGGCCCTACTTATGAAAGAAGCTGAATCTCACCTTCCTTAAGGGTACAGCTTTTTTCTTCTTCAAGAGAATAGTGAGAATATGAAATAATTCAGGACCTCATGTCTGCTTAGATATGAAGATAAACTTTTGAGAAATTCCTCCTTATGTGGTCTTGTGTATTGTCTGGCTAAACTGTGTCAATTGCTTTTAGTATTTTAAATCTATATGGTTCATTCTAGAAACATAAAGAATTCCCGCATCATGGCTTTATTTGTACATTGATATCAGTGTGTTGGCTATTCCCTATATTGCTTTCTGATTTCACAGAGAATGCAACTTTTCACTTCTTTCTGGTTTCCCCTCCCCGCCCAGTCCAGGATTACTAGTGCGCACTACAGTACACTACCATAACATCTTAAGTTAAAACAAATACTGTTACACCTCCTTCCTCCCAGTTTGAATATAGTTTAAATTCACTCCTCAGGAAGACATGACAATACTTTGGAAGAAAGTGAACTATATAAGCAACAAAATTGTGCAGGCTGACACCTTGCTATATGATTTCTTACAGTTTATTGATTTTTTTCCTTGATGCAGTCATTTGTAAAAGGTTACTTTTCATTTCTTGGCAATTGGTCTCTTCTGTTAAGAAAATTTGGAACAATATTCCAAATTCCTTACTGGGTAAGGAGTCATGGAGATTCTGCACTTCCCTCCATGAGGGGTTTGACAGGGTTCAGCAAACTCAGAATACCCCAAAGGCTTCCAAGTTGTGCTCAGAGTTGATTACCTTACTACACAGCACTGCTTGTGTTCAAGTCTTTAATTCCTTACCTTCGGGTCTGACATGGTAGGCACACATCTCAAAAGGAGATTTTGAACTTAAATGATATGTGAGGCATCCAGTTTGAGAGTGGGTAGGGACCCATTGTTTCCTCCATTCAGTTCCCTGGCCTCCAGCCTACATTTTCTTTGCCCAAGCCCACTTCATGCTGAGTATGTCCAAGAGAAAGTGAGGCTGGTTTGCAAGGCCTTTGCTTGCATGCCCATTGTGCAAGCAGAGTTCAGCTTGCAGTCTACATAATTTGCATACATTGTGCAATGAAGGGACCTGCTAGTGCTTCTAGGTGTTCCTAGACTTCATCCCAACTCAGCTCACTTCCTGGCCAGAGGTGAGCATAGGAAAGAAGTTTAGGAGAGATTGATTCTGGCCAGATCTTTGCACTCCTATTCCAAATCCTTTGCACCACTCTCCTCCATCAGATTTTCTACATCAGGAAATGATTTCAGGCAAAGCTTGAGTGCTTGTTTCTGTGTTTTTCATTCACGTAACGGGAGATCCTAAAGCAAAACTGCTCCCATAAATGCTAACTAGTAACCTAAGAAGTCTGAGGACTATCTTTACAGAAAGATGATAAATACATGTGATCTAAGCAGAAGGCACATATTTCATTATGCTCTTTTAAAATCCAAACAGTTATATTGGTTATTGATATAACAATCAACTCCTGAAAAGTTTGATAATCAGATGTGCATTGTAATTAGTTTAAACCTATTTGCTTCACCTCAAATTCAGATGACTATCCCAGGTTATATTTAGCAAAATGCATTAACGCTGAAGATTGAATAGCTTTTTTTGAGCTTTCCAGTGCCATTCTAATTTTACAGTTGTTGCTGAGAAACGGTACTGCTAATTGAATGCAAGCACAGCATGAATTGCTGAACCCCAATGAAATATGACACTAAATAGGAATAAAAAGAGCAACAAGAATGTATGTATAAAACTGAAAGACCTTTACTGACATTCAGAAGTGTATCACAATTGATTTGAAGACTTCTTCAGATACAACATCCCTACAAAAAAACCCCCTCAAAATTATTTTAAATGTTTCTATCATGGCCACAGAAAGTTAAAAATATAATCAAGACACAATAAATACAATTAGGCTAGATTCCAAAGCTATTTTTCAGGGGACTTTTGTTTTAATAGAAGTTACATGGAGATCAAGACTAGAGGGTAAAGAGTATAGACGTCAGAGTGGAGTCAGGCTATTAGTGGAGATCCAAATACCATGTTAAGATCTGCTTTCCTCCATGTCACTAGATCTGTGCACTGGAAAGCCACAAAAACATGCCTCACTTCAGTTAAACATCCTTTTGCATTTCCAGTCAAACTACTACAGCAGTTAAGCTAAGACCTTCTAGTTAGCACAGAAAGACTGATTTTGTCAGATTCCAATTTTAAGTTCTAGCAGTGTTAAGTCAAGAAACCTATGTTATGCACCCTAACCCAACACTACTGTAAGGCCTGCTTTGGAGGCATTTTGTATCAACATCAGGTCCTACAGAGAATGGTCAGACCTCTGTTGCTGTACTCCGCATTTCAGCCTAGTTATTTCAGACCAGCAGAAAGAAGCTCTGGGCTCTTATCCAGAAAATGCAGGCTTCTGTTGTCTAAGCCCAGCTTGAGAGCTACAGTACGTGTTTTGATAATGTTTCCAGGACAGTATTTCAATTTAGGCTTCCAGAGACATGGCTGAGTGAAACTGACAACAAAATAAGCTTTTTACCAGGTCCTGAATGTTCCTTGGTTTGGCGGGATTCATAGCTAAGTGCTGCTTTTCAAGAGAAACACAACTTTCTCAATGTCAGCGGAGACCAGGAGGATGTAGCAACACTCAGTGTGAAGACTGTGTTACTTCAGGAAATTTGGGCCCTTTCAAAATGGAAGCAGAAGTAGTCCTCTGTTAGTGTCATACTGAGGCAGTCCACAGCGCAAGTATCCTGACAGAAGAGGGACAGATGTAATGGGGAGCTGGAAGCATGCTCTCTTCACTGGGAAAACGTTGTATGCATGTGTGGTGGCTAGTTCTGAAAGAACATGCCCAATGATAGTTTGGGTTGAATGGCTTGGCTCTTTCCCAAGATAACTCAATTGTGCAATAATGCTGCAACTGGAACTGGGAAAATCAGGCAAGGTACATTGAGTATGCCAGACTGAACTTTTAGTTCACACTCCATCTTCCAAGTAGAGAGAGGATGAGGCCAGTGAGAGCTGTAGCCAGGCTCAGGGAAGAGCAGAGAAAGTAAACAAATGGCTACTGTGAAGGAACACAAAGGGAGAACAGGGTAGTGGAAGTGACCCCCACTTATGGCTCAAAGAGTGCGACAAGGGCTCCATCTTCACTGTTATCCAACACATCTGTTTCTAGGGTTCCTTTCACTTTCTTGAAAAGAGAGGGAAGATTTCGGATATGAACTTCTTTCCTGAATTGCTCTCCTAGGGGCTTCTGTAAGGGACAAAACAGAACTAGATAAGGTAATAGAAGTAGTAGTATCCAAACATTTTAGCTTCTGATGAAATTGTAGCAAGTTGCTAGGACACATCATCATGATGTCACAGCCCTTCAGTTGTGGGAGAACACCTCGTTGCTCTAGGATGCTGGGCACATTTAAAATCTAATAGAGATGGCACAGCCACAGTGGGCTAAATCCATTGGAAGTGGCTGATAAGGCAATTTAAACCAGGCTATCATTCTTCCCCCAGTTCTGCTGAAAGTACAAAATGCCACATTCTCAAAAAACAAACAAACATACCAGGGGTCTCACAGAGGTCTTGCTAGAACTTGGAATTTGATGTTAGAGGACACTTTGAGCCTTGATCAGCATTGTACTTTCAAATTCTGACAACGCACAGAAGCGTGATACCTACCTATGCAGCCTACACATTTAAAAGAATCCCAGATTTTGCTCAGCAAACTCTCAAGCTATTTCAGTGTTGGGTGACTACTTCATGAGTAGTCAGAGGATGGTGTGACCTACTGTCAGGACTAATAGGCTTAAACAATAAGTGTGACACTGATCCAACTACAATCTAAGTAGGCAAAGAAGAGAGGAAAAGACTGCCAAATTTTCTGGGTGATGACAAGTCTCAGCTGCTCAATACCATGACCTACCCCTATGCAGCCTGCAATCAGGCGCTTAAAATGGTCCTTGCGGCGCTTATCTGCCACCTTCTGCAATGTTAGGTTCAGTAGCTTGGAATCAAACTGCTCCAGGGACTCTTGCTGAATTTCTGGAACCTGCTCCATCACTGCTTTCAGCTCAGCATAGCGGGGACGCTTCAAGTAGCAGAGAAGACAATCAACAGAGATCTTGGCCAAAACAGAAATTGCTGCCTTCCAAAAGGCAGTTAACAGTCTCCTCTCCCCAACCCCCAAAGAACAGATATGTTGGCTTAGTGGTCTTAGGTTGCCACTAAGCCTCAAAGACAGCAGCAGACTAACAAAAAATCTTTCTACCCCTGCACATCCTTACCAAAGCTTCATAGATCTGGAAAGCCAGGTGAACAAGAGCTGCCATACAGCCATCATGTTGCCCATGCACCTGTAGACCTGTCAGTACACTTGTGAAAAACCAGGTCACTGCCTCGGGGATCATCAAATTCCTTGTGAGCACCTGTGGAGGAGAGATCACATGAAGCAACATGATGACCAAGATTTCTGTCTCTTATCCCAGAAAAGGGGATGCCTAGCATGTCTTCATACTGGAAGTTCCCAAAGGGAAGTTCCCAAAGCCATATTCAACTTCACCACACTGTCCTGCCTGTTTGAGGAAGATGTACCTGTTTGAGGAGTGGCCAGCAGAGATGTGTGGTGGTTCTTTGGCAGGACAGGGTATCCTTCCAGGAAAGGGAAGTGAAGGCTGTAATCAGCAGAGCAGTGCACACATTCTGGAGAAAGAAAGGGAAGACTTGTTGCAAAAGTCCCTACATGACTTGTTATTGAAAGAAAGGGCATTTGAAAGCATGAATATTTGTGTAAATGTCAAAAGTCAAAAATATTCCAAACTGTCTTAGCTGTTAGCTCAATAAAACATTCAGAGCTTATTATGAGAAGGAATTTATAGGGATTTGGTTTGGATCATTCCCCAGTGTGTGCTGAAACAGATTTCTGCAGGGAACACTAAAAAAAAGTCCTGAATGATTCCAATTGAAATATTGGAACTAATAGTAAAGACAGTTTTAAATGCAGGGATGAGGAAGAGATCCTTGGCTCTGGAGGCAGATATAACTGACATACTAACATAAAAGAGGGGGAAAAAACCATGCTGTCCCCTTTTGTCCACAGAAGTGCCATCCAAGCACAATGGTTCTTTATGCTCCAAAACTAACCAACACAGAGGTGGCATAGTCATTTATGTTTTTATTTGTTTAAAAGATTTAAACTATGCTTTCCATGAAAGCCTTTTAATGTCTTATTTGTTGGTTTAGGAAGCAGATATGTGCCAACAGCCTGTGGCACATAACCTGCCTTTGGTCAGTCTCCTACATTTCTGCCTTCCATTGGTGGTGGGGAGGGGTTTGGTCAGTTGAAAAGTGGTGGGGGAAACCAGAGGCTTGAACTACAGTTAAGTCTCTGAGACTTCCAGAATCAACATCTCAGAACTAGGGTTCCTTCTCAGGTTTGGCTGGCTTAAAAAAAGGGCTAGCCAAGATATAGTACGAGTAGGAGCAGCAAATTATCCCCAGAAGAAAGGCACCATTAGGAGTGAGTTGCTCCCAGAAGTAGAGTTGCATTCTTTTAAGAATGTGTACTGAATCTTCCAATTCTGGTTCTTTGGAGGTCAATAATAAAGGAGGTTTGATTGTAGCATGTGCGTGTGCACAATAATAGGAAATGCTGAAGCTTGGTTTCCTTACCTCTTGCTTCATCAAACATTTGCCCAATTCAGTGAGCTCAGAGCTAGAAGGTGGAGTCACCTCTGTGGACATCATTTCATCATCTACCAATAAAATGGCAATGTGAGCACATTCTTCATGGCAAAATGGCTAGTCAATCAAATTGACTCCTACAATTAGACTGGAACACAAACATCCCACCTAGAAAGCATATTCCAGGAACAAGACACTGTCTCATACTAGCTCATTTTCCTGGTGATCACACATCTCTGTGAAATTAGTTCCTGTGTATTCTGAAGCCAAACTGCAGGAAGGAGGCGAAAATGTATAGAGGAACAAAAAACAAAATCACAACCCTCCCCCAAACTACATGTCTTTTGGAAGATTCATCTGAGATGGAACTGCAGTGAGTATTTCTTACTTCAGACACTCTGAAATCCCAAAGATGTGTACAAAGTGCAATAGAGTCTTTGAAATGCCATGACTAAGAATAACCAAGATCTCTGTATATGTGCGGGGCTAATTAATTCTTGGCAAACACAGCAGAAAGAACCATCAGTTCCTACTTACCATCTCCATCTGCAGCAACAGCGCTATTCTGCTCAGCACCTTTCTTGGAGACACAGCAAACTGCTGCAAATATATTACAGGAGGGAAGATGTGAAACATTACCCAAGAAAACTTGGTGTGGCATTACACATTTCCCTCAGAGCTATTCTGTTTGATTCCTTCTTTGCAATGCATGAAGTATAGCTTATGTGGTACAAAATCTCAAGCAATCTGGAAAGAAGGAATGAAGCCCAGCTTTGTGTGAATGTGATTCAGTCAAGTCTCATTTCTTCCAAGGCTACTTTGGAACCATCAAGACAGGAAGCTTCAGACAGACTAAACCTTGCATCTAAAGCATCTCGATCACTAGAACAAAACTACTGCACATTAACGTGGCTTGAAGGCAACAGTCAGGTGGTAAAGGAAAAGGATCAGGGTATAGGGAACTGTCTTGATTAACGGGTGGTATAGATATATAAATAAATAAATGGCTAAATTCCAATAAAGCTGGCTTTTAGGTAGGCCTGTGGTTTCCAGAAAGTCTTACTCAAGTTTCTGGGACCTCTCTGCTGAAGAAGCCCTGTACATCTGTTCCAGAACCTCTGTATATTACAACAGAAGCTGGGCCAAATCCTAGGACATATTTGCAGACTACACTTGGTGTCAAAAGGACAGTATAGCCTAGCTGTTACACTGAATGAACTCAGAATGTGCTGTCAAGCATGCCCAACAAACACTCTTCTATTGCTGTGCAGTTTGTCTGTCTGCCTTTTCCTAATAATCTCCTTTAGGAAATCAGAAGCTTCCAAGAACCACAGGTTGAAAACCATTCAGGTCTCTCTAATACTGTCTTAACAACTTGGTCACTGATAAAGCTTCGGGAAGGAGAATGGGAGCATTTTTGGAACACAAAACACAGATTGGGGCACCACAGTTGATTTTGCTCACCAATTAGATCCATGACTTCTCGTGTGAGCAGCCTAACCAGCTGTTCCTCCAACATCTCTTGGGATTCTGGGTTGTCGTCTGCTGTGTCCTCATCACTGTTGAATGGTAAGTGATGATTTTAGAACAGTAGAACAGAACTGAGGGACAGAATTGATGCTGAACATAATCACATCACCAAGATTGTTGGAAGGGGTTGATCTGACCTGTGTGATGTTCAGCCCATTCTAAAAGGACTCTCCCAAACGATCAGGTTTGCAGCTTGGGGGTGTTTTAAGTTCCAGCCCTTGTTTTAGATGCCAGGTGGCATCTGTTGGATAAAGCACCAACTTAAAACTGGCATGATGAATGCAATCCCGCCTGAACAGAAAGAGTCCAGCCACTGTTACTGAAAGTCTCATATCATCCAAGTTATTAGGGTCATTTGAGTGTGTCAGATGCAGGGCTACCTTTGAAGACTGAATTGCCATTTGTCCAAAATATAACTCCTAGGCTAGTAACTGGGACAAATCACTTGAGTTTTGAAAGCTCTTAACTTCCTTCTGGTCTATTTTCAAACATATTTCAAAATGCTGGATTTAACCTTTAAAACCCTAAACAATTTGTGGCCCAGGTATCTAAAGGACTTCTTGCCTCCAAATGAACCTGCTAGACAGATGAGATAGTCTGCCAAAGTCCTTCTCTAGATTCCCCTGCCACCATGAAAGGTTGCACAGGATGTATAACCAGGAACGGGAGCCATTCTGTTCTGGCAGGCTGATTTTGGAATGTTCTTCTCAATTAATTTCACCTTGTGCCAAACCCTTTGACTTTTCAGTGCCAGTTTAAAATTTTTCCATTTGTCACTATCTTTGATTCTGACTGCGCTATGTTGCTCTTGCTGCTGCTTTCAGGGCTGGTTATTTCAATTACTTCAGGAAAGAAGGGCAAGGGCAACCAGCACAATGAAGTTTCAAATAGCAGTTGTCTGCATATTGTTTAAGCCATCACACTTACCAAAGCAAACTTCGCTGGTTGATGACCTGCCACTTCTGAGACAGCCTCTGATGGAAAGAAAACAGAGCCAGCATGACATGAAGAAAATCAATTAAATACTCAGGGCTGGGCATACTCTGTATCAAAGTAAACCAAATTTTGTGTCAATAAAAGCTGAATCCTAAATCACACACATTGCCAAATCTGCACAATCCATTCTGCTTCTGTTATTACTAAAGATGAGGCTCCCTTCCCTGTGCAAGACATTCTGCATTTTTCATCCCCCTCTTCAGAGATTTCACCAGGCATTGGCCACACAGTCTGAAGCCTCCTAAAGAGCAAGCCAAAGCCAGTATGGAGTGATGGCCATAGGGGTGTCTTGGATGCTGAAAACCTGGTTAACATTTGTTCCTAGCTTTGTAGCTCAGCTTTATTTCATACTGAAACACAGGAGTATTTTCCAGAGTTCTTGAGGAGAAGGCAGGATGCAAAAGTAACAAATTTCTGCCCCAACAACAAAAATGGTGTAGAAGCCCTTAGCAGAGTAGTTAAGCCTGAAAAGCTGTACCCTTTCTGTTAGAAGTATGAAAGCTGACACACATACACTGACCCATATTAAACTTTATTTAGATTATGAAGCTCAGTAAGTAATGCAGTAATGGAAACAAACCTGTTCTGTTGTTTCAGTGACAGCTGACATATCCGGACAAAGCTTCCTACCAAGAGCCCTGAGAGGGAGGCATCAGGCAGGATGACTCTCTAGGAGTGTTACTAGTTGCTGTCCTGCTACACCAAATGTCTTTCCTCAGAACAAGTCTTTGTGCATTAGGTGGCTTTGGAGACAGCCTCAGAAGACCATACAGAATTTATTTATTGAAAGAATGAGCCACTGGGAGGGAGAAAATTCCTGCTTTTAGGCAGCAGCACTTCCCATACCAGCCCTAGGGAATGCACTCCACAATGAGTCTTGATCCATCCCAGAGCATACAACCCAAACGCCACAGTAGCGGCATTTACATAGAAACAGAGTCAGTCAGAAGGGGCCTCCCGGGCCATTTAGTCTGACCCCCGGCTCCAGCCGGTTCTGCTCACGACATGCCCACCGTGTGCATGTCCAGACGGCAAAGCATCTGGCTCATCATTTCATCTGAGCACAGGACACTTTCAAGCATGGTCCTCTTCGGAAAGTAATATCCAGTGTAGCAAAAATGCAGCCGTTTGAGCCTACATTTTGTACAATCCCTTACCATGTCTTACGTAAAACTGCTTTACATTTCTGCAGTGGATAGGTACCAATATGAAATTGCCTTTTTGGGTGAAATACTGCTGATGCTTGATTCCTCCTAGGCACTGCAGCTCTAACCCATCTTCCCTGATAACACCCCTTCTTGTGTGGAGGGTACTAGTATTTAACTCACAAACAGTTGCTGTAGGTAATTTAGCAGCTGCACTCCGTGAACTTGGCTCCCCATACAGTGCCAGTGGAGGTGCCAGACAGCAAGTTCTTGCTACCACTCTTCCCACAAGTTTCCTCCCAACAAGCATGGCAGGAGTTGGGCTGCAGTGCATCTGGGACCCTGGCTGAGAGAAGGAGGCTGTGAGAATGTGGGCACAGGTCTAGAGTGAAGCTGAACTAGCTACATTCTGGAGAAGCCCAAGAGTTCTTCTAGAACACCAGGCTTGTTTCCTGGTTTTCCATGCAGATGTTACTACAGGGTTATTCTCACCCCACACCCCATGCAGTCCAGGAAGAAGCTGCACAGGAAACCACAACAGACAGCAAGCTGCTGGGTGTCAAACTGTGCACTGTATTGTTCTATGGCAGGCTTCTACTATCCGGCAAGGCCAGAGGAATAGGATGTCTGCTTATATTGCTGGCAACAGCTTTCCCTTGAGCTACGCACAAAAAGTTAGGTACTGGCCCACAAAGAGCTGCAGCCTCCACACTGTGAGCATGACACACACTCCTGTCCGACCCAAAGCATGTCAAGACATGCGGAACCCCATACTGACTGCATAGACAATCTTTTCCTGTATGCCCAGGCTGCACAGGTTCTTGTCTCCACACTAACCATTCCTTTCTTTGCCTTGGTCTGTAATGCTTTAATTTTTCCCTTTCAGTTTGTTATTTTAATAGGAAAAGTAACACACACTCAGTTTGCCAGGTGTGCCTTGAAGGGCAGCTACAGACAGCAAAATGCAACATTTTTCTACCTAGGCATTCTGTAGGTGCCCTGGGCACCAAACCGGGGCTCTTGGGATGGTTCACTTTCATCACTGGAACCATGGTTGCCTGTTGACCCAGGGAAAGTATAGGCACTTGCCTAAAGCTTAAGATTGTCTTTGTTGCCTTAGGCACCGAGGTATGTTTATCTGCAACCCACCTTAGCACCCTACAGAAGCATCACCTTAACAGTGTCTTCCAGAAGAAAAGTAGGTTTTCGGCTGTTCTTACAACAGCAGCCACCCCAAACTGTTGGCTCAGTAAACATCTCTGTTGGTGTTACAATGTCTTGGTGTGGGGGGACGGACAGACTGGTATGGTGGTGAGGGTGGTGCAGCAGGGGAAGAGTCAGGAAGGAGGAAGGGTTCAGCAGAAAAAATGCTTGAGAAGTTGAGCTATGGGGCAGGAAGGAGGAAGAGTGAGCAAAAACTGCTTCCAATGCAGCCCCAGTTGCAAATATTAGCAAGGCAGTTCCAATTTCAGTTGGGCATTAAGCTTTGCAGTTGTTGGGGGTTCAGTTGGACATTAATATTTGGTGCTAATTTTAGGTCAGTGATGAATATAAAGCAATTTTTCAGGCTTAGTATTTCTCATTATTTAACAATAGTTTCTAGTGAACCACTATTTAAAGAAATGATACAAGATTTCATATTACACCATGCACATGCCTACTTGTTTTCTGATTTTTGCCTATGTGCAATTAAATTTTAACATCTACTTCTACTGGGATCTTACAATCATTACTGGGAACATTCTCTTGATGTGGAGAATATTTGTTTGTAACAAAGGCATATATATACATACTAATTTATTTAAGATAGGAGTAGATGAGGGGAACAGACCTATATAGGAAATGCTCAGGCAGTGTTACTAAATATCCATACAATGCGGATACTTTTAACACGAAGTTAACAATTTGGTCAGAATTCCTGGTTCTGTTATCCAGCCCATCTGCTACCTAGCTTCTTGCTATAATGACACAAGTCACAGACACAGAATAAAAAGCTTTTCTTTTTACCATATGTAAGTAGGTGAAAAGTGGCCCGAGTATAGGACAGAGAAGAGATTCATAGTGTTCCGGTGGGCAGGAGAGGACCAAGGGTTTCACGAACACACCTGTATGGAGCTAGTTAAAGAAATTAAGCAGCACACATAAGCCTCAACACTTTTTTCATTACTGGGCTACTGTGGCCAGAATGTGGCACATGGTTCTTTTTTTACTGCTGAAAAAACAGAGAAACCCTGTTACTAGAAATCTCAGCCAGGATCTGTAAGTGGCAGCTGCACGAAGAACCTTTTTAGCCTTCCCAGCCAGTAACAAAAGTTCCCCAAATCTGTGTTTTTCCCTTTCTCCCCAAACTGTTAATTAAATTACTCTGAAGGGCAGAAATAAAGGCTGGGAATCTACACCAGGCCTGAACAATGTGTTGACCACTAATCAAGATTCAGGACACCTTTTATATATGCCGGCCCACCACTGGGGCTTGATAAGCCTCTTTTACTGCCTGCAAAAACACAGAAGCTACTGAACTTATGGGACACATAATACATGGCTGATGGGCAGCCTCTGGCATGATGAGTCACAAATTCTGCAGGCCTTATCTAACTGGAGTAAGAATGTGGGTCTTAGCTGGAAGTAAGAAGAATGATTAGGGTCATTGTTGTGACTGTTCTGATGTGAAGACCTTATATTGGGAATCATACTGAAAATCTCCAACTTAAGTCACAGAGGAGTCAGCCAGCATCCAACCTTCTGAGTCATTCCTGCCCATATTGTTTGAAACCCTAATAGATGTTCTCCATGTACTTTTCCTGGTTACTCTCAAGATGCTTTTCCAGTTATTTTTCCAGGTAGTACACAAGTTACATGGTCAGTTGCAAGAATCAGGAATGCTCTTCAGTCAGATATAGATTCTCTGGTTCCCTCACTGGTGTTATTCCTGTGCCGTGGGCATAGCAAGGAAGCCAAAAGAATTCTGGAAGAACAACCTACCAGGAAACAATGGACAAAGGATACGAAGCATTGGACGTAGTCTGTAGTCAGGAATATTGTCAAGATTGATAAAAGCAGAGTTGAGTAGTTCAGTCGCTAGACCCTCAACTGTGTAGAAATCTTGCTGCATTGATGAGCCAGCACTTCCCAGAATGTGAAAACTGCAGTTCAAAAAGTATGGCTCAGTTTGACCAAGTCAGACAATAAACAGGAACATTGGAAGACACTCTACTCTGAAGAGATTTAATATATATCAAGTACAATTGCTACACTGAATCAGACTCAAGGCCAGAGTTCTGTCATCCTCCTAATTCCCTTGCAGCACCTGGTAAACCATTATCTGCTGCCTCTATACATGGATCTGCCATTTGTTACCACACTTAATTTTTATGCATTACTCTGCTGAATCCTTTCTGAAGCTGTTTAAAAAACTGGCTATTACTCTAACTTGTGTTAATTATGTAACTGAATTACGCAATCGCCATCTAGTCAAGGAACCTGCTTCATTCAGTGGCCAACCTGATGCTCAATGGGAAGCCCACAGTGACTCAGGCATTCTTCTCTGTGCCTGGTATAAGTCTATTCCAGAAGGGTGTTTTTTCAAAGTTTAAGTTATCTGTAAGCTGAGTAGCCATAGAACAATGCAATGCTATGGGAAATTAGTGAAGCTCTTACCAGTTGTCATACAAAGTACAGAAAAAGCCTTGCATCCTTTCCAACACTGTTTTATAAACAGGAGAATCATAAAGTTCCAGCAGAGGCTGAGGGAGGCCTAACAAAAGGGAAAGAGTATCAGTAAAGAGATTTATTCCCACATTAAAATGAAGTAGTAATGGAATAACCTTTCATCAGTGCTACTCACATGATTGCTTGGGGAGTGTTTATGGACCACCAAAAGCACATATACATTTGTGTAAGGTTAAGCTAGCTCAACTTGGAGCACAGGGTAACCAACCTTGTGTCCTTTGGATGTTTAAGGCTACAATTCCCATCAACTGTAAGCTCATGGACAGGGATTATGGGCACTGTAATTAAAAACATCTGAGAGGCAGTAGGTTGCCTACACCAAAAAGCTTAAAGAAAGGACAGAAAAAAATTCTAGTCCCGCTGCATCAAGATGAATTAGAAGAAATCTGTGGAAACAGCTTTTCTACATTTGCTTGGATTCTCTCATCATATACACTTCTACTTGTTTTCAGTACTGATCTTAAGATGCACTGAAATCTTCATATCCTTGTGTGTGAAAAGCATGTAGGAAATAATAAATAGCCTGGAGGGTATTTTGCAAAATATAAGTTTGTCCCAGACATGAAAGCACACAGTCTACATAGGTATAGTCTAGCCACTAGTAAGTTTTATATAAGTGCCCTCAAGGCAGAATCAGAACCCAGATCTGTATTATACTTATGCAGATGATCTATAAAATTATCTATACTTACAGAATGAGAGATGTCTGCTGTTATACAAAACTATTTTGTGATGTATGCCAGGAAGAATGAAATGAATAGCATCAGATCTAAGAATTTGGCAGCTTCAGCTGGCAAACTAATACACAGCTGAGGCAGGAAGAGGCAAGTACACCTTTCTTGGAAGGCAAGAGGCCATAAATCAGATAAATCAAAGGCAATAGGCTGAATAAATATGCTAATATTTGTATGTCTTTGGCTCTGCTGCAAACAATTTACATATCAGTGGTTTGAAAGACTGGGATAATCTTCCCTGCAAAGCTTTTTTGTCAGCAGACAAGAATGAGCAGAGCTACTAACAGGAAAGGTGTATTGAACTGAGTATAGGGAGTTTGGCTTCTACCTCTAAAAACCTTAAGAGATTGTGACATTCAAGATACTTGGGTAGAGTTCATTCAAAGACAACAGGGAAAGCCAACATCACCACTAAATTCCTCTGGTCTTCCAGTGTCCTGGCTGCAGGCAGAAAACTCTACAGAGGAAGATTAATGGCTCTGAAAGACCAACCATTTACACAAAACCAATTTGCTTAGCTCTGACATGAGCAATAGGAATCCATTAAGTCCCCCCTGTGAGCTGCAGGCAACATCACTACCAAGATTCTAACAGTGCAACCACATCTCTCTTCCTGCTTCTGGAAAATTGTTTGGTGTGTGTGTGTCACAAGATAAAAAATGGTAAAAGGGAGGCGAAATTATTCAGGAATTATCTAATCTTTGTTACATGAACCTGAAGTCAAAGAAGATGCCAATGTGTACCTTGTCAAACATAGCTAAGACAATATATGACACAATGCAATCTTGTTCTCTCCTGGGGCAGGGGAGAGGTTTAGGAAGGCACATCAAAAGGAAAGGGGAAAAGTGAAGGGACATGCCTCCCAACTAAATTTACAGATGCTCATGGAAATGAACTATGGGGGAGAAAAGGTTGCTATAATCCCAACATAAATTTGAGGCACTCTTGGGAGACTGGAGGCTTGCCTGTGCTTATAAACAGACACAGAAGGCGCAAGCTGGAGCACAAATCTCGGGCAGCAAGTGGTGTTTTCCTAGGGAGCATTCCTCAGATGCCTACTGGTCTAAAAAAATGCATTGGGTTGTTTTAAACCGAGATTCTAAATGCCGTTAATGAAATTATTTCTGAATTCTTTAACAAATGAAGTAGAGATAAAACAGAGGCAGCTACAGTATTATGAACAGAAAGCGCTACTTACCTAGGATGGCATTCTTTTCCACTTCCAGCATATCTAAGGCCTTTGCGAAGGTGTCCCCCAGTTTAGCCACCATCTCTGGCATATACAGGTTGTTGTGAGTCCTGAAAGAAAGCATGGAATTTCACAGTCACAACTTCCACCCAGTCGCCATCTGACCGTGGGAAACCACCTTCAGCTTGTGAACAGCTCCCGTGTCTGGCGATGAGGAAGGCGAGACCAAGCACTTGTGCATGGGATCCCCCTTCCTTTTCAAGAAAAACAGTCCTCTCTTGGGGATATGGAGAAGAGGGTACCAGGTGCTCTGCGCAACAGTTACCCTCAGTTCACCTCATCTTAGCCCTCTGAAATGCTGACTGCAATGACTCAAGACACACACTGCCCGCCTCAGGATGGATCACAGGTTCCTAGAATGGCAGGCGGCACTGGATGAATGCAGCAGCTTATTCATATGCTCACATGCTCTACGCAGCTGTGCGGCAGAGAGATGCCCCCCAGAAGGGAGAACAGCTCTGCACCAACCACACCATGCTGCCAGGGAGGGACCTCCGTTCAGCCAAGGGTGACGTCTCTCTTGCCATCCAGGCTAAACAGGCCCCTCACCAGCTAGATGAATCAACTGAGTGGGGGAAAAGGGTCTCTGTCTCACCTACCTCTCTCCTTTGAGACCTCAGACCTCCACTCAGGGCTTCAGCAACAGCACACAGCACAAATTCTGCAGCCAAACGGCCCAACAGCCTCCGCCAAAACTGCCACTGTACCTGCTGCTAGAGGTGATCAAGGGCAACTCAGTATCTCCCCCTAAGCAGCATTTCCTCAAAGTATGAGGGTGCAGGGGTACAAAGGACTAGGCCGCTGGGTGGCAGGGGCAGGCCTCTCAATTGCTTTCCAGAGTCTCAGCTTTCCTTTTTAAGAAGTCTCTAAAAGAAGTCTCTATATTTGTGAAGAAAACCTTCAAGAACGTGACCAAAGTGCAACCAATGCAGCGATGTCTGCCTGAGCTTTGCAGAGAGCCTGGAACAATAGTTCTGAGGTGTGAATTGCCCATTCATTTCAAAGGGTGCTAACAGAGGCTGCAAGAAAGGAGAAGCATCACATTATGAAGACAGAGTAACTACTTGTTTTGGCTAAGTCTCTATGCCACATGAGGGGCTTTACGGTTTAAGCATTTACTTTACCCATAAGTGGACTTGAATTCTGAAAAGTATAGGAAAATACTGCCCTAGACATCTTTTTCAGCCCAATACACCAACCAGAACCCCATTTTACCATGCCAAATGCCAACATTCACCAAGACATTGTTTCTACTTTTAAAAGAGCTTCTCCTTGCAGTTTTCTAACCTGCCATGTTTCCACCATTACTGCTACGTTACTGCTGTAGCTGAGGTGGCTTTTGATTTAAGGCTCCCTTGATTTAAGGTAAGCTTGGGTTTACCAAACTGAGGTAACTTGACCAACATTAGAATGGCAACATGGGATGTACGTATATAGAGTGAGCATAAAATGGGTGTGAACACCACAGCTTTACACAGTAACATCTGACTTGCTCTAAGTTGTACAGATGACACTGTCAACAGTAAGAAAAGGGAACTGTGAAGAGCCTAGCTGGATAGGCCAAGTATGGCTACAGACAGTAATTGTTTTATCTCTGGGATGGGCATACTGAAGAGTTTGGAAGGCTTTACCGCGTAACAGTCTATGGCTGAATGTTCTCATAATGTGACTTATTACAACTTGCCTAGGTCATTTTTTTAAACATATCCTGGCATGGAAATAGCACTAAAGCCAGCAAGCTTGTTCATCATCCATGAGGATGTTATTGTAAATGACAAGATCTAAATGTTTTAGTGCTGTTGTCAAAAATTAATGCCAAATGGAACCTGCAAACTGATATAATATTCAAAAAACACTGCACTAGGCACAAAAGTCTCAAGCATGGTTTATTTCAGTGCCTGACAGATTTCTGTTATTGCAGACAACATTCAAGCAGCACTAGAAACCAACATGGGTCTGTTTACTAGCACAGCTGAAAGTTTGTGTTTCTTTCTGTGTTTACTATCAAGTACAGCTATTTATCACCACATACCAGCAGTATCTTATTATCCTATCCATACTTCATGGCCCCTGTGCTGACTAGTACTCATGGGAACACCCATTAGATCTGTAGCAAGGCCATTTAACATGTGGCAAAGTCATTCATGCATAATTTAACTGATGTGTTTCAAAGTCCCCAGAATGATCCAAGATGGTGATAATTACTATGAAACTGTCAAGATGAATCTGGATGTAGAAACTGCTCACTAGAACCATATGAGCAACACAATCTTTAAATGTAATGAAAAATGACTTCACAATCACAAATGGAAACACAATCACCTGGAAGTCATGGACTCATTCCCTCCACAGCAACTTGTCTTCAGCATTTCCCCCAAGTTGCTGCCCACTGGCAAAATCCTCTAAAATACTCTCCCCCATCCCTTACCCATTTTCTCCCAGATTGCTCTTTTCCATTTTGTTTCTGCATTTTCACAGTATTAGGATGATAGCTGTAGGGAGGGGAAGCAGGAGAAGGAAGAGAGATGGCCACTGCAGGCTGCTTAATGAACAATCCCTTCATGGCAACCACAAACAGCCTTATCTGCGTACAGGGAAACTGGTTCTACTGCAGCATGTAAAGATCACACACGCCCAGAAGGAGATAGTGGGTGAGCACAGAGGATCTCATGAATGCTGTACAAAAGGACAGAGAGGACCATTATTCTGGTTTAGACTCTTCTAAAGACATAGAAACTATAACAGAACAAGAAAAGCTGAGAAGTGGTTAGAGAAACTGAAGTACAAAAATATAAGGGTAAGCATCCTGCATTCTGCAGGCAACAGAGCAAACTTAAGATACATCCAACAAAGTGCAAATGGGCAGCCAAATGGGTAGTTAGACCAAGAGCAAAGTTTACTGTACAGCATTGCATTTCTTGTATGGAAAAGCTTTCATACGTTTGAACTAGTTATTTGATGACTGTATATAATAAATGGGTAATTTCCCAAGGCCATAGCAAAGAAAGCTTTACACTCATAACTTACCTGTGTGCAGACTGTTAGCTGTATCCACAGCTTCATCTGTCACATACAGTACCGTGCAAGAAACCCAAAAAAAGAACAAGTGCAACCATTTACTTGACATTCTCAGCATTCTTAAAGCTGTGATAATTCATGGTAGCAATGCATTGTGGCCAGGCACTACCTATTCATATCCTGCCAAGAACAGGTAGTCACAACCCAAATTCTTTGGAACTATACTAGACTCAGATGAGTAGCACAGTAGCTTCTTTACAAGATATATACTCAGGCTTTGTCTGTGCATGAAAAGAGTTGATAACATAACACTGCAGAGGGCTGGGGAAACAATATTTGAATGTTTTCCCATGTAAAAACCTTGCATTTAAAAGTAGGACAGTTCTAGCCCAGCCCAGCACCTATTGGGCTAGTTCTGTACTTGCAGAGATTGTCTTATATGACTACAAAAATAGGTGATCTGTAGCTTGAAATAGTACAGCCTATTCTACCACGACTGGACTTCCCTCCTCAACCTGCTACATGTGTATACAACAGCTTGTATCCAATGGAGTCATTCCACCAGTGGAAGTGCTAGTGGAACAGATTTAACCTCCCCCTGGCACCTTCTCAGATGCCCCCAGTCTGCTCTGGAGGACTGAGGAAACCTCTGCAGCAGATCTGAGACTTGTGCAGTGGACTGCAAGGGGGAGGAGAAGATGTGGTAGACATAACTGCACAAGTGGATTTCAGTTGGGTGTGGGTTAGATCCAACACAAAGTTGTGCAGGAAAAACCTCTACCTTCTCCAGGATAAGACAGTCATATGCAGAAGATTTTCCAATTATTATTTTAAAATATATTTACTGCCTTTCTAGAAAAATAGCCCAAGGCAGTGCTTCAAATAAGGAGCTGTGCTTAAACATTCAAATGAAACAGCTGACTTCAAATACAGAGCTAGCACTCCAATAGCAGAACACTCTTGGGAAAAGACTTATAAGGTTCAAATGGCAAGGCTCATATCCACTGCAATAAAATAGCAACACATAAAGAAGGCCCTCCTCAATAACAAATTTGACTTTCCCACTTTTTTAAAAAATAAGGCAGAGATCACCTGAGAGTTGTTAATATACAAGAATGGAAGCTCTTGGCATTTTATCATAGTGATACCCAAAGACTATCCAAGCACAGACACATAACTGTCAGCTCAGGCTATGACAGGGTCCATTATATAGATAATGTGCATTGAGTGGTGTTCCTCTATTGCAAGTAGATGAATTGTAAATGTCTTGTGTCAAAAATAGTTGGCAAAGAACTCATGCAAGATCTGTAACATCTGCAAGCCTAAGGTAAATCTCTGTGTATGTAAACTGCTGATATGCCACCCTTCAATATAAAATATTTTCAAGAAGCAAACTAAGATAAAAAAGAAATTATCAGCACCCCTACTGGAAGCAGTTTTAACTTGGTTAACTATAAGCTTGCATTGGGCCTTTGGAAGGCACCATCACTGCCTTGCACTAATAATGTCACTTCATTTTTGAATACAACTACAAATGTTTTAGTTGTCTCTTAAGCCAGCCAGAGGTACATAGTGTATCCCCCATTTGTTGTTTGGCTTTGTGCTGCCTATCAGCACTCCCTCCATTTTCACCTGCCAACCCTTTTACCAGCAGCTTGTACTTTCACATTGTGGCCTAGAGCCAGGAAAATCAACCCCTTTAGCTTTTCATTTCTCCTTCCTAAGGAAGTTTGTTTTCAACACAAGCACATGCACACACACCCAGCAAGAAATATCAATACAGTTCATTATAAGGATGCCACCGTTTGACTAGAGCAATGTTGACCACGGAAGAATTACCTGGGAAAAGCATTTAGTTGCTCTGATTACCCCGGTGATCAACTGCTTGACCTCCAGTCTACCCACATCATTTTGTTGGACAGCCCAACCTAAGTAATGCCAGGGGAGTGATCTCATAGCTTGTGAGCAACTATTTATTTGTAAATTCATTTACTTGCAAAACTACCCTTTTAGTCCACCAAAGGGCTTTTCAAGGCAGATTGCATTAGCCTCACTCCACCACTTGCCCTCCAGTATTTTGCACCACAACTTTCCTCAGACCCAGATAATATGGCCAGTGGTCAGGAATAATAGGAATTGCAGTCCAAAATATCTAGAGGACACCAGACTGGGGAAGGGTGGCTTAATTCAATAAAAATGCAAAAATTGTGTGAAAATAAAAAAGAAGCTCAAACACACCACCATTAAAACATTCAAGCAGCAGAAAGATATTAACTGTCGCATCCTATCTGTGCCAAATCTGCAAATGGGTCCTAAAGCATTCAAGCATACTTGCTCTTGGGAAAGCATGTAACAGCATTGCAGTATCGAGTTAGATCAAACAAAGTGTTTGGCTTTTGCTTAAGAGCCAAAAGCAAGGGAATATCAATGGTTAAGTTTTTGCCTTCACACATCCCCCAGTAACGCACTACTTCACATCTTGTAGTTGACACTGGGATTCAAACAGAATCTCTCAGCAAGCTAACTGGTTGAGCATAATTGGTTACTTCTGGGCCTCCCTCACCCATCTGAAAGCCTTCTTACTCCACCTCTTATTTTATACAGAAGGCTTTATAGATTTCTATTTATTCTTAGCTCAAGGACTAATCTTAGTTCTCCTATTGGAAAATGCTCATGTACCCTAAGTATGAGAATAAGTATACAAAAAACCCCATGGAATTCATGGTCTTTTCACAGGCTTCCACATTTGGCAGTAACAGAAATGAGAACCCATTTGAGAATTGGAATGCACATATTTACACATTCTGAAGAGCTATCTGTTCTCTGCAAATTAGTTAAACAGCTTATATACTATGAGCCATCACTGCTGGTACTTAAAGCTTTCCCAATGCTGTTCTTAACCCGCATATGCCATGCCTATCAGTGTTGCTCTGCAGGTCAGTTTCTTAAGTCACACTGTCTTAGCAAGCAAGGGAGGACACGGTTCCTGCACGTTTAACTGTAGCACATAAGAGATTTCAGCTAGCATATGATAAAGAAAGAGACTGCTCTGAGCAGAAAGAGCCTCTGCAATTCTACCCCTGGGTATGTCTCCACGCTTCTAGAGACTGACTGTATAAGCTTAGTGCTTAATGTATAGAAACAAAGGGTAGAGGCAGCTTGATGGGGTAGAGGAATAGTAGGACTGCCTGGGTTTGATTTTACACTTAGGGAAATTGGGGCTGCGGGGAGAACCCTGTCAGACTTCCCATTCTGGAAAGGCAGGGTAAAGCTGAGAGTTTCCTTCTCCTTAGTTACTTCTTTACAAGGACTTCAGCTTGTATTGTCATTAGCTTCAACAGGAAAACATGCTTTCAGAGTGCTGGTCTATACAGCTGGTTCACTATGGAACTGGTGTCATGCAAAGTTGACCCACCTTATGAGAGCAAGCAAGTTGTCGAAAAGTTTCAGGACCTGCACAGAGCAGGGGTTACGGTAGATTGGATTGCCATTAGACATGTACCCAACCACAAAACCTCCAGCCTTTGCATCTTCCAAGGAAGTGGGCCAACGGGATCGTTTTACAACTCCCAGAATAGTGTACACACAAAAGCTTATCTGTAGAGAAATGAACAGACACAGTAGAAATTAGGTCTATGGAGGACCTCCATCCAGTCTGCCAGCTTCTTCTTCAGGTTCTGCCCCGCTCCCCTGGCAAGGACAATCTCTCATCTCTAAACCCCCGATACCTCCCTCAGCTGAATTTAAGCTTTTAAAAAGCCTAACTGTCCTGGAGGGCGGCATTTGGTGGTAGTGGTGGTGGGGTGTCACTGCTGAGCAGGCTTAGGGCTAGCTTTTTCTCCCTGAGCACTGTGCCCCTCACCTCAAAAAACACCCCTTCCATGCTGAAATTGAGCACTTAAAAGTTCCTTACTGGTGTTAATGGATGCATTCTTAAAATCCTCATTCCATGAACATGACATCTCTGGGAGCTGGGAGTGTTTGTGTAATTTGTCTGTGTGAATGAGAAGGGGGATCTCGACAACTGTATTGGGGGGGAACATGTTAGCAGTGGGGTGGCCCAACCCGCTTTGGAATATAACTCCACCCACTGCTGGCATGCACACTTGGCATGCCAAGAACATAATGTGCTTGTTTGGAGCCAATTTGGGCTGAAAAGGGTTTCCCCCACCATCTACACATTGCTCTGTGGTGATCACTTCTGATTTGAAAAAGAAAACAAATCATGTCTTTAACAAGACACCAATGGCCATATGTGATACAAATACATGAACTTGTACCACAAAGAAAAGTGGAAAGGTACATGGGCCTTCACCACACATGGTGGTTGCTACTGCACTCATGTACTACTGGTTGGCCACTGTGTCAACAGAATGCTAGACTAGATGGACCCTTGCTCTGGTCTAGCATAGATCTTGTGGTATTACGGATATGTACATGCTTTTTCCTGTTGTGTACTGACAGCCATATAAGAGAACTGTCATGCATGAAGCATCCACAAATAGCCTTCCCTTGTGTTTTCAGCCTTTTTTTAGCTATCACATTTCTGAAAAATCCCACATATTAGTACAGTATTTCTAAGGTTTCTTCTTCTCTTCAAAAATGCAACGCTATAGGAACCTTGTCACATCAAATGTGTAAGAAGTGGCTGTATTAATTTAATTGCAAAATGTCAGGATTATTTAAGGGATATTGTAAACTTTATGTTAAAAGGGCAGCTAATCTCTGCAAAAGTGCAACAAAATAGAACAAAGCAAAATGCACACCCAACAAATTTATTGTATTCAGAATTATTGTGTGCAAAATAAGAAAAGATGGGTGAGGGGGTGTGAAGCTAGAAACCTGGCTGTTACTGAATTTACATCTTAAGGTGACTCTTCTTGGACAGACACCTCCTGGTGCTGTGCAGGATGAAATGTGCAACTGATTCAGGATACAAACGCAGCATCTGGTTAGGCCTGCATATTTATAAGATCTTTTGCTGCAAGTCTAGTTAAAACTGTAAAAAATGAAGTTATCCTTGCCTAGTAGGGATGTGTAAACCCTAGATATTGCAATTTGTCTGTATTTACAGAAGATGGTATGTGCTCAAAGTACCCTGAAATATACACACTAAAATATATACTTAGATATACTTTGTGAGAAATCTGGAGCAATCTGTTTGCCAAATCTACCTACCTACTGAGAAAAGATAAGTATTCTACCATGTGGCCAAATCCCTTCTGTTCCCATTGCAAATTTCCAAGGCCTGCATTCTCTTCGTTAATCAGTACTTACTCTAGAACGGTTCAGGCCACAGGGATCTTCCATGACTGGATCTGTAATTCTATTATTGGCACCAACATAGCGGATAAAGTCTTCTGGATTCATCAAGACTCTGTCAGAGTGAGAGAAAAAAAGTCAGTCAAGGAGGTGTACAAATTTCCTTTGCTCCAAGCAATCAATTTGAATAAAAGAATTACTATGTTAAGCAGAAGCTTTGAACCATGGATTCTGTATTCTGTATAACTTCAATATTTGGATAAACTTTCTTTTTTGAAGAGATTGTTTTTAGGGCTAGTTCTTGTACCATTTCTCTGCCCTTCTATGCAGACAAAGAAAACAAGTTGCCAGAACATGATGTGCCTTAAACGAAGTTCCTGTGAATTGAGTGAGGTTTTTTATGGATAATGATAACCACAACACAAACACAAACCAGCAAGATTCTCCTACTCTGTATTTTATTATTAGCTGGCTTGAGTGCCACCTTTGGGAGGAAAGTGGGGATAAAGTTATATAAATAATTACTCCAAAGCCCAGAGTGGCTCTGTCACTACACTATATTAGAAGAACAATGGTCAAAGTTCTTGTACCTCTTCATATCCTCAGACAGCCACAGAGTAGCAACAGGAGACATGAGCTCTTCCAAGAAAGCCTTCTGGCGCTGGTAATCCTTGAATTGGTTGCTAATAAGGACTAAGGCTTCCATGAGTGCACACTTCTCCATCTGGGTCAGGAGCAGCTCATTAGACAGCAGTTGTTTCACATGGTTATACAGCATTTCAAAGTTTGGCTAAAAGACAGAGATTCAAGCAAGCATCAGTCAACTGAGACAGCCCTCAGGATGGCTTCTTGGATACATACTGTGTTCCTACATGGACTATTTAGAGATAAAAGACTGTTTCCAGACAAGGCAATTGCACACATTATGAATAGTACAAGAATACCAGCACTTCCTGCAGGAAACATCTTTAAACCATGCTTGTAATGAGTGAGACTACCCCGCACCAAAGTAGCTAGAGCAATGGAGCCACATTATGTACATATTCAAGTAAGTACCAGGACAAGCTGGGGGTAATCTCGGCACATCTTAATGATTGAAGAGCAAGCATGTCTTCTCACATTCTTCACTGCACGAGTTCTTGGGGCCTAGGAAAGCAAATAAGAAAAAAATCAGCAGGCTTAGTGCAAAACTGATATCCAAAATTCTTGCCATATTGACTTTTAGCCTAAGCGCCTCAGTTTCAACAGGTACAAGTAGGTTGGATGGCAGAGATAACTCTCCCTGTTTTTGGTTCACAGCAATGGGCTATAATCTAATCAAATGAGATCCTATTTTGCTATGTAGTTACATTAGGAAATTTCATCCATATCTTAGCATGGGATAGTTGACATCAACTTACCTTACTTTCCTCTACAACTTCAAAGGTAACAGAGGCAAAGAGCTAAGGGAACAAGAGCAAAAGTCAGTAATCACCAGTTTGTTCTTTTGCATGTGCTCTATACTTGTCACCAATTCATGAACAGCTGTACTAGGTCCACAAATGCTTTGTTTATAAAGTTAATTGTCTTGTACCAAAATAGAACCAGAAACAAGAATTTCATCAAGAAGGTGGTGTTCCTTAACAGTGACAAGACCAACCAGACCAAATTTTCAGAGTTTACAATGACACCCTAAGTACCACACCTCATTACAACAATTATCAAAACCCTACCCACTTTCACTTCTAAGTATTTAACAGAAATGGTCCACATATTTTTCCAAGTTTGCTTCTGCAACTGTGGGGTTCAGAACATGGTTATCTTCTCAATCGTTAGAAAACTATCTAATAATTTAAAGCATTCATATCCCACCTCATTCTATTCTCAAAGTGGCTTAAAATAAGAGCAATTGTAAAATGCAGCTTTAAAAAAGCACACATTTTGATAACATCCCAAACAAAAGCACTAAATATATATGTCACCCAACTACAGATAAAAACAGCCTTATGAATAACTATGTCTTACACTCTTTCCTAAACAGCATGAGGAATAACTCTCAGGGAATCTCTTCTGGCACCATTCCACAATCCTTGGGCTATCTGAAAAAGACCTGCTCCTTGCTTAGGTTGCCTTGATTTAATGCAGTGGAACAAGCCACCCTATGCAGATCTTAGTGGCTAGCGCAAGAGTGAGAACAGCCTGTTCTGTGGATCCTGGGCTATGAAGGCTTTTACAGATACCAGTATTGACTATCAGCCCAAAATTGGGTACATGTGCTCTCCATCCCCATGTCCTCTAGGATATGGTCAGTAGCAACATTTTATGCCAGCTGATGTTCTGAGTTGCTCAATGCGTTCAATGCACTTGCTCAGTACATGGGTCTGCACATATAATGCAGTGTAGAGCATGTTGCAATATTCAGTCTGAGAGGTCATGAAGTACAGATGAGGAGAGTAACAGCCTGCTGTCCTAAGGAAGAGTACAGATTGCATAAAATATTGAAAGGTGCTCCTGACCACAACTGCTATTTGTACTTCCAAGTTTAATGCTGGATTCAGAAGCACCCTCAGTGTATGAAACTGTTCCAGTGAACCAAAAGCAACCCCAATGACCACAGGTGAAACTGCATCTTCCAGGAAATCTGGTCTCTGCAGTTCATGAGTAAGGATATACATGGTATTACTTTTCAAAATTTAATCCATAAAGGTGACTACACAGTGGTATTTACCTTTGAAAGAACTTCTGGCAGATATTCTGGCCTGTATGTGACAAATGGAAAGAGCGCGGAGACATTAGAAAGGACACAGGACAAGATGAGGGGATCCTTTGTTTCAAAGCTGAGGACAAGCTGCAGCAATTCTATGCCATCAGACACAGGGATCTCCTGGCACAAGAGAAGGAGAAAAGAACAACACTCAATGGATTTCTGCTCTGTGCAATGTTTTGCTCAGGTAAATCAAAAAGTCTGAGTGCCTGCAGACTTGGATGAAATCTTGCAGAAATGTCATTTTAGTCTATTAACAAGCTTGCACAAAATATTATCTGGCAGAAAGCATAATATACATGGGTGAGAGGTAAAAATGACAGTTAAGCTATATGACAGGAAATGTTTGAAGTAATTGGGTTCATTAGGTTAGCTCATTATAACACGGACTTTATCATTCCCTTTTCTAGAACGCTTTTGGCAATATGGTTATATTTACCTTAAAGCTTTCCTTATGTTCTTAATTTGCATTAAATCAGACAATTTGGGCAAACTGATGCTGAAAGGCAGCTGTTGCACATGACCCACATGCTTTTAGGATGCCAGCTTGTGTAAATCAGCTGATTTTATGCAAATTTACTTCCTTTTGAAAATTTGCAAATCAAAGCCTTTTGTAGAAACAGAGGCGGGCAAGTTGACTCAATTCACACCATACCAAGTTGGTGCAACCATGGGGCTGGCAAACTGGATTCTGAGGGACTGAATCATAAACATCTGCCAAATTTGCAGCACTCCCTTTGATTCTTCATACATCCCTAGTCCAGAGAGTTTAGGCAATATTTGAATATACAGGCTTGAATTTGGAGCAGCTAAGCTGTGATGTCATGAATAGGACATTTCGGAGTGCTTTCAGTCATACAGTTGCTGTAAGTCAGAGAAAACTTGATGGTACATTAACAATGACAGCATGTTCTCGCTTGTAAATTTTGTTCCACTCATTATACTCATTTTTCTCTACAGACTAGTAACTGCTAAATCTTGCAACACATTAAGTTTAAATTTGGATCAGGACAAATAGATGCTGGGCAAGAGACTTGAATTGAATATAAATAATTCCAATTAACATGCTATCTCTATTGCAGAATTGGGGCTATAAAACTGCAGACTCCCAAGTTCAGTTCTCAAATTACATTGGTAATATATGGATGCTCTACAACATATAGGTAGCCCAATTTCTCAGGCATTTCCCAGGCCAGCAGTTCAAACAGAAGGGGATGTAGGCAAGTGAATATGAAAGTGAGGCAGAACATCTATTAATTACTGGAGGCATAAGTCTACTGGTAGGAAAGACAGTTTTGTAAGGGCAACCATGCAGCAAAAACATCATATGAACTGTTTATCTGTTATCCACCCATCCTGAAAGTTTCCATTTGCAGAACTGGAAAAGTAAACTATGTGACTATATTCTTTCCTAACTTGGATCTTCATTAAAATAGTAAGATTTGAAATATTTCCTTAAAACAGTATTTCCTAAGTGTGAAGAGCTATTTTAAATATAGACTTTGTAGGTGCCTCTTCCCACTGCATAGTCTTCAACACTGGCACAATTAGCCAACCAAAGGTGAAAGGCAACAGAAGATTTGGACTACATACTTCCTTATCCAGAGTGCGGAACATTGGGCTAATGACGCTTTCCAAGAAAAAGGTCATCGCATCCCACTGAACAAAGGCAGGAGAAAAGATGGAGCAGTGGCTTTCATTTGTTTTAGCTATAAGAAAAAGGAGAATATTAGAACAGTGGTGGACTAATACAATGTCTCACATTTTCTCTCTTGAATAAGGATTTACTTTCCCACACCAATTACAGTGAAAAGCCCAAATTCTTTCCCCTCCAGTTAAGGAAACTTACAATTCAAGGTTCCAATATCAACAGGAATGGATAGCTGGTATTTCAACCATTCCCCAGCCATTTGGAAGCCAGTCCGGGGATCCAGCCGACATGCCATTCTTATCACCTCTCCTTGTTGTGCACGGAAAGCTGCCAAAGAAATGAGACACTGTAGGCCTTGCTTGAAAATAGCAAAACATTTTCCTTTAGGAATGCTATACTTTTGCAAACCTTGAAATACCTACTGGTCATGTTCAAGAAGTTCAGTCATACAGAAGATGGCAGCAATGGCTACCTAAAAGGATGCTAAGATGGCGGCAGCAGCTGTTTGTAGCTCACAGTTCAGCATTTGGACACTAAATCATACATTAGAAATGAAGCATATGGCCTGCCAAACCAGAACTTTTTAGTGGATTATGGCGAGCTCCAAGTTCCTTGCTGGTCCTACAAATTTGCTGCTAAATTTGCAAGAACACAGATACTGAATGGTTTGGATATACACTAAATGAACATCCACACTCCTTTCAAAATCATTGTTTGCACGTGCCTAAAAGAATATAATAGCAACCCTGTTGGATCAGATTAATGGTTCATCTAGTTTATCTTCCTGTTTCCTTCAGAGGTCAGATGAGACAAGAGAGCGTTGTGTCATGGTGTCCCCAAGAAAGGAGGACTGTGAGGGATCACCCATGCACACAATGTGTTGTTCTATAAACAACCCATACTACTATTGGATGGGCTGTCTGAATGCAACTCCTTCTAAACCCAGAAGCTAATTTTAGCTAGCATGGTTGATAGGTGCTGAAAGTAGGAGGCATGCAAGAACCTTCTAAACTGCAGCATGTTTCTCTCCCTGAAAATGGCTGGCACTGAGTTTTTGTTAATGTCATTCAAACAGCATGTATGGAGAACTGTTCAATCTACTCAAAAGTGGCAGGTTTTACAGGAACAAAAGTAACTTACAGTTGAAGAAGCAATTAAAGTCTTCATCACTGTCAAAATCAAAGCGAGAATATTCACAACTGGGACTGTCTGTCTTGGAAGGAAAACCAACCTGTAAAAGGAAAAGGTGAGAGGTACAAAAAAGCATATAATGTACACTTCTAACTCTAAAAGATTTTAGACTGTGAAGAATGAGCTTAAAAATAGTAATTCTACACAGATCTCTCCCTAACTGAATACTCATGGTGTCACAGCAAATTGCCGTCAAGGACGCAGTTGCCTGAACCTTCCAAAATCAATTAGAGCAAAAAGATGGCCTTCCGGCACCTTTCCCCCATGTTTATTCTGGAAAGGTAAAAGCATTTAGAAGCATGCTACTGTTATTTATAGAAGAGAAAGCCTGGAAAAAAACCAGAAGGTTCTCCCTTTGGTCCCTAGCAGGGTGGTAAATACATAGCTCATATACTGTATTCACTGAAAGAGGCAGAAATTACTGGTATTCCATCCTCCAGCTAATGATACCACCACTGAAGAGAAGTGGCCAAGAAGGTATTTGCCCCTTGCCTTTCTCCTTCAATAGAGTCCCCCATATACCAGGGGATTCCTTCTTTACTCTCTGAAAATGATCACTTAAAAACAAGTATTGGCTTTTTGTGTTTTAAGTTTTTAAACTTTTATTTTGCATGCTATCTTGGGAGAATACTCCCGGGCTTACAAAACTTTTAAACAGCTATTAAACAACATAAATATTATTTTCAAAGATATGTCAGAGTTATGTAAATATATGGCAAATGCAGCAAGAATTACAAATGCTTCTACATGGAAAACAGCAGAATGTCCAAAAATTAAGGACTGGAAAAATAAATTGGGTGAGTATGCAGTGATGGCAAAATTAGCTAATTATGTATACAGAAGACCAATTGACAGAAAGATAGAAATTTTTGGTTTTTCTGGGAACTTGCAGGTTATGAACGTATGTATCATATTTGTGTAAGATCCCTTGGTATTATCTTTCTTTTACATTTATCTGTACTTTAAGAAAACAATAAAAAGCATAAACTAAGTAAATATCCTACAGTTGTTTTGTATAATCATAGCAACACCTTATCATGGCATTGCAGAATCAAACATTCTCATAACACGATACCTTAACTAGATTAGTCATAGATGCCCTCAAATAATTTGGGATAATAGCCAACAACAGAGGATCACGGGACAGGATTTCATGTCGAAAAAGAGCTCCCCATGTGATCTGGGTGGAAGACCGAAGGAACTAGAAAAAAGAAAGGGAGCTATTAGGTTAAAACTCTCTATCAGAAAACATGACAATGCTATATTCAAATGACAATGCTAGTCCACCGTATACACCCAACTTGCATTGGTTAATAGTGCAAGATCAACTGAAACTAGAGAAAAAATATTTCCGCACATGTCAAGACAACAGATTCAGAAACATTTGTACAATGTATTTGTCACATTTGCTATTGCAAGTCCTTGGTTCTTAATGAATGCTGAGTAGCAGAGAAAAACATACTTCCTATCATTTTCCAATACATCAGAGAAGGAAAGGACAGATTCAAATATGCAGTCACTTCCAACTGTTGTATAAATACAGACTTACTCCTTTATTCACCTACCTGACTAGGGTGGGTTGTGAAGGCTAGAAATGACTCAAGGTATTTTCCTAAGTTGACTGGTGTTTCCACATCTGAATCAGAGCCCTGATTGCAGGAGGGTAAAAATGAAGCAAACTTAGACCTAGCATGATTCAGAGGACAAGCACCCATGTGATTGCTACAGAAGAAATTACTTACTGCATGGAACTCCACAATTGTGGGTTTGTAACTGCACTCAGCCATACAATCAGAAGCAGTATTATCCCCCACCTTCCCTAACATACCACCTTAAATTTCAAAGGAGATGCAGATGAAATAGCAGCCCTGCACTCATGGAAAACTTCAGGCCATAGCCATCAACTTGTGAACTGCAGGATCTCCATGTTTTATTTTTGCCAATCAATGGGTGGCTGAAATTGAACAGTAACCACCCCCAGAATGGGGGAAAAAATAAGCATTACTATTTGAGAATCAAACAGAAAAACAGGGAGAACTGTAAAATGGCCACTGACAAATAATTGCATTTTCAGAATACTACGGGAGAAGCAATTTAGTAATACATAAATAATAATAATAAATGCCACAGAAATCTATAAGCAGGAGTGGGGAACGTCATTGTAGAACAGTCATATGCACAATGGAAGAGATGGAACATAACTGTATGTCCCTAAAAGCTTGCTTAACCACTGCTTTAATTCCTAAAATGACATCTGTCAGGGTTCTAGTAAGCCTAGAACACTTTCCCTCTTATTTGGAGGTACTGTTCCCTAATCCCAGAAGTACCAAAGTTTTCTGAAAGTAATGCATATTTCCAGAATCATGGTATTACTGTTCCCTACCCTCCAGGCTCAAGCTAGCTTTAACAACATATCGCAGTACTGAACCCAGTAACAGCTGTGCCCAACCCTTTAACACAACTTGCAAAGGCATCAGCAACTCAGCTGGTGATCTTTCCTTCAAATATGGCACTGGTGGGCCCAAACAATTTGCTGTCCCATGTACTGAAAGTTGGGCTACACCATTTCTCAGAGGAATGAACAATGTTTGCCTTCATGTGTATCACATGGAAATAATTAGTCTAACAGCTGTCATTGGCAACATGCTTACTGTTTTCTTCATGTTTACAGGAAAGATCTAGGAATTTTAAGAGCAGTTCAAACTGGGCATAAGGATTATATAATAGCCTCTGATGGAAAACTCACCACCAATGCACACAGTTGGCTGCCCAAAGAACACAAGACTTGGCAAAGTCTCTTCAAGAAAACATAGTGCTTCTCTACTAGGCCTTCACCGTCTGCAGTCCTGAAAAGTACAGGCAAAAGGGTAAAATTCATTTTTATTACAGTACACAACTAGGGAAGATCATAACTGCAAGTTAAATCTATTTTGATGATATGCTTCACTGGAAGTAAGGTATGATTCAGTTGCTGGTAGAATAAAATGATCACACTGGTTCTAAGTGTGATCCAGTTTGATGGGAAATCTAGTATCCAGCTGTATAGTCTGGAGGTGTAAATGCCAACACACACTATGTAAAGATGCATTGGAATAACAGATTTTTTTGATTGGGAAAATCATTTTGAGATCAAGAGTAGTAAGAGAATGAAGTCTGAATGTTTTCACATGGTGATTCCCTTTGAACTTTCACTCATCAGTTGAAAGGTATCTAACACCACAAAGAATACTTGCATTTGTTTATTATGACCCCCTCCTAATAAACACATTATTGTAACCTATTACCTCAAGGTAGTACAAAAGTCTTGTACTGCATTAAAAATGGTGAATTTGATCTCTTTCTTTTTAGCATAAGAAACTAAGCATTCTCCAATGCAGGAATGCCTGCATGAAACTTTAGTTTTTATTCAGCCTATCTTGCCTTCTCTGACTGAGATCTAAAGAATTACAATGTTTGAGACACAATATATTATTCCTGCTTGCTGCCAAAATGCTGCATTAAATCTGGTCTATACAATTGCTGTCAATCTGGATTTTCAGAAATTGATTTCTGCCCTGCTTTGGGAAGCTGCATTCAAAGACAGTTTGGAAGCTTCAGCTGGTACAGAATGAAGCTGTACACTTCCTTCTGGAGGCCAGGCAACTGAAGCATATGACACTAATTCTGTATGGGTTACACCAGTTGCCAGTGTGTATTCAAACAAGATTCAATGTGCTCATTGTTACCTTTAAGGCCCTGAACTGTTTGGAATCAGTGTGTCTAAAGACCACCTGCATTTGGCCAAGACTTCCAAAAGGCCAGAGGTCCTGGATGTTTGCCTACCAGCAAGACCCATCAAGCTGACAGGCAGGAGAAAGCAAACCTCAGTAGTGGCATCATCTGTTCTTTCAAGTTTCATTCGTTTCCCACACCACCTGGGTTTAAACACAGCCTTAAGACTTGATTATTTGAATCTGCTTTTAACTGAGCTATTTTAACTGCATGTCTGTACTTGAAGATCCATTTTAGTGGATGCTGTTATTTGACTGGAGCTTTCTTTATAATATTATTTTTGTCTCAGTTTGCTTTTAATTTTTAAACTGCCTTGAATGAAAACCCTGGAAAGGTAGTGTATGAATCCATCAAATAAATGAGCAGCTTGATGAGAACCATGCCTTTGGCAGCTTTCTCTATCCTTGAGCCAAAAGCATACAAGGGTTGTTGATGGATGAAATATGAGACTAATAAGAAAAAGTAGCTTATTGCCATCAGGAAGTCATCATGGGTTAACAGGAACTGACAGTACTACTCACTGGGCAGCAGAGAGAATGTAGTGCATAGCAACGTCCCCAAACAAAACCATCAATGGCTTGCGGTCCTCCAGTTTCCCCTACACAGAAAGCAAGGAAAATTTTGTCACAACGTATAAAATAGGCACTTCAAAAGCAACTAGAGGTTGGAAGTTTATTATCTATCACTAATACATGGAAGCTTCCTTTGCCTGTGTGTGCCATGCAAAAGACAAAAGATGCAGAACATGGTGATGGAGAAAATATAGAATTGACCAACTGCAAGAATGTCTCAGCAAAATATGTAAAAGCAGAGTGAGGCACAAAAACAGGATTCATCCAGCACACAAAGGGAAAGAGACAGCCCATCAAGGTGCCCACCGCCCCGGAAAGTGCTTTCTTCCTGAGCAACCAGCCCAACATAAGCTGGCAAGCAGGGAAAGTCAAGAATTCCAGGACAGCATCTCAGGCACAGCATTCCAGCATAAATCCTTAGTAGCCAAGATATGCCTCCACAGCCTTTTTCCGCTCAATCTTGTTTTATAATGATGCACATGGACTTCTGGGGAACTGAGAAGAGAAACTCACTTTCCTGCTGACTACAATCAGGAGGCACTCTGCAGCTCCCACTTGAAGTTCTGGTTCATTCAAGAGCAGGCAAAGCATCTCTAGGAGCTTGCAGTTATCTGCTGTGATGTGACTCATAGCTACCCAGTCAATGTAGCCAGCCAGAGTATTAAGCGCTGCTATTCCTACTCGACAATTTGCTTGTGCCTGTGGACAGACAACAATTGAGAGGTCAGACAACAATTAATTCTGTTATCTATCTTACATAGTCCCAATACTACTTTGGCACTATTAACATATCATACTGAAAGATTAATATAAATTGCCCTAATTTAAAACTTTGATAGGTTTTAGTTGCGGTGAATTTTCACTGCAGATACAGAGGAACTAAATATTATAAATAGAGTTATAGCATCTTATTGAAAGTACATACTTGTGAAAGATGGTGTGGAAAAATCCGATTAGGATGCATTTGTTTCCCCCTTTACCTTATCAACACTGCCTCCCTAAAGAAAGTTAAGTTTCCTTATGTTCTTTACAAATAGCCAGTTAAAGTTAAATGCTACTTTATTATTTATTTAGAATAAGACCTCCCTCATCCATGACTTAACAGTGGATGAGGCAGCCATGTATAACTGCGACCTGGGTGAATCAGTAGGGAGGCACTGGGCTCTCCTAGCTGTGCCCACCAGGGTACTTGGTACAGCAACAGGGGAGCCTCCAGGGCCAGTATGGGGAGAGGTGGTGGTGCGCGTGTGTGCATATTACACTCTATAGAAATTCTCTCTTTTTCTCCAGGATCCCTGTTTGTCCAACAGCGTGAAGAGTTTGCATCTTGTGTTGGGCCAGTGGGACGGAAGGGGGATTCTGCTGGTGCACTGTCCATGCCAGAAACCCTGCAGTCACTCTGAGCTGACAGAGGATGTCTTAGATACGACGTTGAGATCTCCCACACTGTTGGTCCTGGGAGATGTTAAAATCCATGCTGAGAGCACCCTATTTGGGGTAGCTCAGGATTACATAGACTCTATGACAACCAAGGGACCATCACAAGATGTGACTGGGCCAAGAAATGTAGCAAAGCACACTCAGGATTTGGTTTAAGTTGGAAATGACAATAATTATCTGAAATTTGGGGACCCTAGATCACCTCCTGTTGATATTTAGACTAAAGGTGAATTTTCTCCCTACAAGGATGAAATCTCTTGTATCTGTCAGGGCTTGGACTCCAATGTTACCACAGTAGAATCACAGGAGGTATCTAGAGTACAGCCTGATCTAGTTCTCTTGAATGAGTTCCAGTTAGCTCAGAGACATTGACATGGTGTTTGGACAGATTAGTCTAACCGTGACCATTTTGGATCCTTGCTCCTCTTGGCTACTAAAAGCTAGGAAAAAGGGAACAGCCAGCTGGACTGGGGAGATTATCAGTGCCCCTTTATGAGAGCAAGTGGTCCCATGCCACCCAGAACAACTGGTGGTGAGGCCTCTCCTGGAGAAATCCTCTTTGGACCCAGAAGATTTGCATAATTTTAGGCCTTTGGCAAACTTCTGAGCAATTTCCTTGGACTGGGTAGTAAACAACCACCTCCTGAGTTGAGACCAATGATCTGGATCCATTTCAGTCAGGGTTCAGGCCAGGTTTTGGAATCAGCTTTTGGTTGCTCTGTATGACGACCTATGCCAGGAAAAGGGGGGGGGGTGATCATTTTGGTACTCCTATGACCTCTCAGCATCTTTTTATACCATCAAGCATGGTATCCTTCTGGGGCAACTGGCTGAGTTGCAAGTAAGATGTGCTGCTCAGCAGGGATTCTGACCCTACTTGGATAGCTGGTTCCAGGAGGAGGTGCTTGGGGCTATTGTTCTGCCGCTTGGGCTCTCCAGTATGGAGTCACTCAGGGGTTGCTCTTGAGTCCCATGCTATTTAACATCTACATGAAACTGTTGAGCAGGGTCATCCAGAGTTTTGCATGCACACTTCATCAGTACACCAATGACACATAGCTCCATTTCTCCTTTTCATCTTCAGCATATGAAGCTGTAAATATGCTAAACCAGTGCCTGTCTGTGACAATGGAATGGATGAAGGGTAACAAACTGAGTATCAATCCAAACAAGACTAAGTGCTGTTAGTAGGTGGGTTCTTCTGACCAGATGGATGGAATTCAACCTGGCCCAGATGGGGCTCCACTCCCCCAGAGGAGCAGGTTCATAGCTTTGGGCACTCCTTGAATAATCATTGTCCCATCAGGCCCATGTGGCTTCAGTGGCATGTAGTGCCTTCTACCAGCTTCTGCTGGTGACCCAGACATGCTCCTATCTGGACAAAGAGAGTCTGGTTTCAGTGATCTGTACTTTGGTAATCTCTAATGAACTCTATGTGGGAGTGCCCTTGAGGACTGTTCAAAAGCTGCAGCTTGTACAAAACATGTCAGCTAGATTAATAGCAGGGACCAGGTCTGAACAAATAACATCAATTCTGACCTGCTTGCATTGGCTGCCTATATATTTCTGAGCCCAATTCAAGTTGGTGGTTTAACCTATAAAGCCCTAAATGGCTTTGGATCACAATTCCTAATGGAAAACCTCTCACAGCTGCAAGCTACCCATACACTATGATCAAGATCTGGTACCTGCCTCTGATTGTTATCTCCAAGGGAGGCTGCATTGGTGGCAATAAGAAGGGCCTTTTCATTGGCAGGTGTCCCCCCCCCCCACTCGTCATGGAACAAGCACCTGATTGTGGTTCTCCTGGCACCAATTTGGATAGCGTTTCGCTGCCTGGTTAAGACCCCTCCCCCCACATGAAAGGGTATTTAATGAGTTTTATATTCTACTGAGGAGTTATGTAAATGCTTAACAGCTTTAACATGGGTTTAAATTTGTTTTTTAAATTATATATTGTGTTTTTATTGTTATTGTATTTTGCATTTTATCTACCATTGTGAACCACTCAGAAAGCTTTGGATCTTACCCAGATGATACAGATGATGGATGATAATTTAAAATACCCAGTGAAATATCATCTTTCAGTAGCACAGTATTTAATGCTGATTTATATATGCAAATTTTAATTTTTGTTTCATAGGTATTTAAGCCACCCTGAGAACAATCTGTGTGGTGGGGAAAGACCAATGAATACATACAGGTGGAAGAGCCTATTTGACAATTAGCCCCAGAGGACTTTGAATAACAGAACACTGCTTCTCACTCTGGTTCTACTTACTTTTGATTCTTGAGCTACATCCATTTTCTGGAAAAAAAAGAATAAATAGTGGATGAGTTACTGAAATACACTTGGTTTCTTGCTCCTATTTTCCAGTCCCCTTTTTATTGTAGAGGACACAGTCATAGGAATGTTTCAATATGTTGCTCTTCTGTGAAGCAAACTGTATAGGACCAAATCAGCTATTAGGGTATGACAACTGCAATTTCATTTCAACTTATTTCCTCTATAATGGCTGAATAAGGTCAGGTGTGCTGAAAGAAAGTCAAAAGCATCTGCCAAAATCAGGGACTCACATGTCACCTCTCTTCTGTCTCAAGATGGGTAAACAGTATCTCAACATAGTTAAACCTATGATGGATGAAGCTTGCAATACTCACTTAGAAAGCTTAGGATCACTTTACAAATTGTGCATTTATCATGCAAATGCAGTACAAGCACTGAATTCACTCTGTGAGACAAGTGCATACTAGGAAAGATGTGCAAACTGATATGCAAGTCTGCCACAAAGCCAACAGTTGGTTAGGGCCCCAGACCATAGATACAGGCCTTCAAACACACACATCTTTCTCATATCCTTTGAAAGACTGGCTGCCTCCAGTGATCCATGAAAAAATTAACAGACTAAACTACACTGGAGTTCTTCAATCACACTGACAGGGCCTGTTTTTCCAGAATAGCAACGTCGTAAGCTCAACTTTATCAACAACCTCTCCAAACTCTGAGAGAGTAATTATAGTAAAATACTGTACCCAATACTATAGGTTTACAGCCTGCCTTTCTTCCTCTTGCAAGGAGTCCAAAGTGGCTTACAAGGTTCTCCTCTACTGTGTTATCTGCATAACAACAAACCTGAGATAGGTTTGACAGAGTGAGCTACTAGCCCAAACCCACTCAGAAAGCTTCAGGGCTGAGTGGGGACTAGAACCTCCATCTCCTAAGCAACCACACTGATGTCATTATATATTTCAGTATGAATAACATTTTTGCTTCTCCTCCCCCAAGAGCCTCTTACATATTTTAGATATACTACCCATAAATTACTGTACACTGAAAGTTTACAGAATCAGGATTAGTTACATCTGTATTAAAAAGTCAACTCCTGAGGTTTTCAAGAGTTGACAGAGAGGGCCAATGGTTTTCCCCTCTTATGCAACTATGAAGGACCTGCAGTTCTGTTACATGTTGAATATGGTGTTCCTATATTCAAGATGAGTTGAAGACTGGACCTTTAATCACCTTACATTTGCAAACATTTATAAGGTATTGATGCTGTATTCAATTAAACCAATGCTATGAGGTGGCATGGATTACAAATAGTAAGCATCTTGCAAAGACAGAAAGCCCACAACCTGTGTTCCTCGTTACATCAGTGGGTGGAACTTAGTTCTTAGTTCCATCTAAGGTTACATTCTCCAGGATGAAAAATAACCCTAGAAACAACCATTTTAATTTGAAACGAAATAAGAGATCCAAGTAATTTTTCAACTTTCCTGTATATTAACATACTACCATGATGAATTTCTGCTACAAGAGTTTACCTTTTCAAAGTGGAACCAGCACATATTTCAAGCATGAACTTTGTCCACCCCAACTGAAATGCATTACAAAGAACTCTTCACAGTAAGCGAACCCAGATTTGTGACAGGACAGAACCCCAAGTAATTACTTCACCATAAACACATTCGGCAATGGGTTAGTAGCAGAAAAACAACCTTCAAGGATTACCCTACACAAACAGAAAAGATATGCAACCTGTGGAAGAGAGAGGGCATCTTGTTCCTGAGCCACTCCACCTTGCCAATCAAGAGCAAAATAATTAGTGAAAGACCTGCAAGTCTCAGCATCAATTCATACCTCATTTTTGGAAGGCATTCAATCAAGGTTACAATCCTAAGCAAAATCACTGAAAATTACTTCTAAGTAAGCACACTTAGAGTCAAGCTAAGTGATGCAAGGACTCCCAGTGCACATTTTCCTTTTTGAATAAAGAATTACGAGAATGGAATGGTAAGGTCTGTATTTTAATGAATTTCCCAAGGGATCAAGGCTGATCTGTTCCTTTTTGCAAGTGGGTGGAACTCTTCCAGCACCGACTGCCTTATTCCAAACTTTAAACCAAAACAAGTTAGAAAAGGGAGGGAAATAAAGAAAATATCATGTGCCTGTGTCTACAGGTTTGTTACTATAGTGGCCTTGAAAGTTTACAAATCAGCATATCCATTCTGAGCACTTTACTCACTTCTGATTCCAAAGCACCAACATTTACAGGAATGATAGTATCACCCTCATTTTCAAGACAAAGGACCCAAATCCACTGCAGATTAGTGATGTTAAGGTCAATTAATGCAACCAAAAAGCTTCTGGCCAAAGTTCAGAATAGTTGTTTGCTCACAGCAAAATCCTCAAGGATAGTAATAATGCTGTCACACCCTGGACCTTGAAGATATCCAGTCAAAAGAGCCAACAGAAAGGACACTCTTACCATGCGTCTGTATTTGTTAACATTCTGCTGCAGAGTGTTGAGTAGGAAGCTAAAAATCTTCTCCATGTTCTGTGAGAGCGTTTGTTGAATATCCCGTCGTCGTTGGGCTGGCAGTGTCTGGAAAGTCACTACATCTTCTGCCAGACGTAGAAGGATAAACATCACCAACTCTGTCTGTGTCTCCTAGTGTGAAAAAAAAAACAGAACAAGCATTATAAACAACCCCCATAATTATGGGAGTAACCTTGAGATTGTCAGACAGTGTTTTTAGATTATACAGAAGAAGTATATGTACTATGCAAATATACTTTGATCCAATTTATCTCCAACAGAAGCAAGTTCAGAAGAGATGCAGCAATTTGACTGTAAAATGTATGGCATACCCCTTGTTTAGAGAGTGTGTCCAGCTCCTTTAACATATCAGGCCAGTGCTGGGGCCATTCACGCTTGATCATTTCTACTACAATGCGAGAAAGAACATCCTTAATGTGACTTTCTTCCTCTAAAATATTCTGGGTACCCTGTGAATAAAAAACTGAAGAGTTATAAGATGGAAGTCAGTAGTTTTAGATAATCCATTTCATACAGCTGGCTGTAGAGTCATAATCCAGGATGAAAGAAGTACAAATAAAGTTGTGTGAACACACATTCTGTGAATTATAACAGGTATGACTTTAATAAGACTATATCTTACAATGGAATTTCTATCTTGAGTGGAACAACTTACATTCAGACAACTTAGCAACCCTAAGGATAGTTTGAATTGCAGTATTAATTTTCCTCTAACGTATCAAACAACATTTTTGACAGAAGTGATAGCTGTACTACTGAGCTGAATGCTGTTCCAGAAGTAAGCCTCAAGCTGTGACCTTTGTTTGTGGGTGTTAGAAATACAAGCAGTTTCTGTTCCTTCTGCTGATAAGCACAGTTTCTCTTTTTGTCACAGGTAAGAAATCACTAATCAGTTATAAACAGACTAACTGCAACATCAGTTATAAACAGGCCAACAATTGAACTGAAGATGGTCTTATGGCAGGACACCCTTATTTCCCTGGAAAATGTTGCACCAGTAAAAATAATTTAATTTAGTTAATAGCCATACTCACACTGGATATGAGACCCATGACATTGTTCTTCAGATAGACTTTCTCAAGCCGACCCATAGTGTTCCATCGGAACCTGCCCAATAAAGCACAAAGGCATCAAACTCTAGATGAGACTGTAAGTAAAAGGCCTGGTGACTTTTGTTGGAATAGATAAGACACAAAAGAAGTTCTGTTTTTATGCTGCAATACTGGAACCTTTACAATAGAAGACACAAAGAGGAGAATATGTAAACCTAAATTATTGGGGATTTTTAGGGTGGTTTTTTTTAAAGATGACTAACTGTGCATTTCTATGTATGCCTTCTTAAAAGTTACAATAAAGTCAATGGGACTTGCTCCCACATAAGTGGATACTAGACTGCAGCATAAGGAGAAATATGATAAGTGTTTATAAATTCTGTGTTGCCTTGAGAACAGAGAAAATATCCCGTAACAGAATAATGAAAGTCATTGCTCATAGCTCCAAACCAGGCAATCCCCACAAAGTACTTGACACTACTTATAATGAATTTAAGGTATTAATCGCTATAAAATGTGGTGTTGGCCATCAACTCAGATTTAATCCCTCTTAAAAGGGGGTTAAACAAATTAATCAATTATAGGTCTATAGATTCTAAACAAATCATTGTCTATCATGACAGCTAAACGGAAACTCCTGGTTCAGAGGTTGCCACAGAAGATTAGGTGCTGGGTGGTAACAGCAATGGAGGGTTAACAAGCATCTTGCTGGTCATACAAGACACAGGATGTCAAATAGAAGCTTTGTACCGAACCAGCAAGATTCTTCTTTCATTCTTTGTCACTAACTAGTCCATTTGGAAGCAGTTTAATCGTTTCTAATTTAAGAGTGCATCAGTTAACTAACACATGAGCAGTTAACTGCTGGTATAGCAGTATACCTAAGACAACAGGTAAAATCTGTTACTATGCAAATAGGAAAATAATATGGTGCTGATAGCCAAGAGAAAGTGGAATCTCTAGTTAGTTTAGCAAAGAGAGCATTTCATTAATATAAAACTCCTTTCTCCAATTTGTCTCTGGATCTACTCTGCCATAAGCTAAAATGGAAAATTAGAGATGATGGCTAATTTTCTGCTAGAAAACTTTTTTAATAGCTCCAATATCATCACTCTGTTCAACTGAACTTTCTTACTTCACCACATGCTCCAGGATCTGAAGGCCAAAATGCCTGACAATAGCAGTCTGGGTTTTCTCGGCTAACTTCAGTCCACACGGAACACATACTGGACTCTTTTCTTTAAACTCTTCACAGAACTGAAAAGGAGTAAGAAAAGTCAGAGTTTTTTAAATGAACAAAAATATATTTTTTCCGCCAAGATAATGCAGTGATGGGGAAGCAGACACATAAGACCAGAACAAAGCTTTAAAAGAAAATATTAATTTGAAACACTTTCTGATACCTGCTCTGAATATCAGAAAGAAGACTACAGTCATTTTAGCCACAAACACACTTTTATTCCCCTCTCCATCCATAAGACATTCTTCATTTCAGCAACCTCACAGAATAGTAGAGTTGGAAGGCGCCATGAAGGCCATCGAGTGCAACCCCCTGCTGTTGCAGGACACCAAGTTACACCATCCCACTCAGATGGCTGTCCAATTTCTTTTTGGATGTCTCTAGTGTGGGAGAGCCCACCACCGCTCTAGGCAGCTGGTTCCACTGTTGGATTGCTGACAGTGAGGAAGCTTTTCTTGAAATCCAGTCTGAATCTGGGTTGTCATATCTTGAATGGATTATTCGTGTCCTACACTCTGGCATCAGCAAGAAGAGATCTTGACCTTCTTTGAGACAGCCTTGTCTGGTCTGGTCTATTTCATTTGTTGCTATTGTTAAACAACCGAGAGTCAGAAACCCTTATTATTCTGTTACAAAATCCCAGAGATCTCCCAGTTAATCTTGATCTACATAAGGACAATTACAATATTTACATTAAACAGACAACTTTCTCATTACTGGCCATCTCTCTGGCACTTTTTTCCTCTTGTCAGCTCATAATGCTTAGTGTAGTTAGTTGTCTCTTACTTATTTAGGGCACAGTCCTTTGTTGTCTGCCCTTAATGAACAAATGTATCCTTCTGTGCATTCTGTGTAAGGTGGTGGCAATCTTCACTGCCCCTTGCTTTGTACCCTGTACTTCACTAGATGCCTGTTTTCATCAAGGGGTGGGGAAGGAAGACAGGGGAGGATACAGATATGGCATCTTATTATTATATTACATTTTTATACTACCTGTAGCCAAAGCTCTCTGGGCAGAGAGCTTTGGCTACAGGTATTTGGTCACAATATTTAAGTCACCCATTCAGGTTTCAACCAAGCCCAACTCTACTTAGCTTCCAAAATTAGGCAGGATCAGGCACTCACCAACCCCAAGTCTTCTCCCCTCCCAGAACACACTCATAACCCTCTTTGAGGTAGGTTTCCTCTGAATAATCCTATGCTGGCTGCTCCTAAAACAATGTTGGGAAGGATTGCGTCCTATGAAAGTTTAGATGTAACAAAATTCTACAACATGCCTCAAACAGCCATATTAAAAATGCACAGGACTGCACCCTATTGGACTCTAATTTGATTACATAAACACATTGCTGTTTTCTATGTCAGTATCATGTTGCTAGATCTTACTGTCCACCATCTTTCTCATTAGAGTGTAATACCCACAAGTCCCAGTTTTTCTCACTGCTCTCTCCATTCTGTATTAGCTTGTGAGATGCTGGGCTACTTAATTCCTTTTCTACACCCCTTTTAGCTCCTCATTTCAAGCTAGCACCAATGCATCTTTCCTCTTCTGGATGAACACTTCAGCGCCACCATTTTAACAATGCCTTCCCAGGACTATTACAATGGGAAGACAATGAACATGTTGTAAATGTGTAAAAGCTGTCTTGCTGCCTCCTTTTATTGTAGCAGGGTTCCTCTGCGCACATTGATGTTATACAAGCAGAAATTCGACTGTTACCGCTTAACCTGACCTTAAAGATTTCCATCTGTTGATTTATTTTTTGGTTGGGGCGCCGGCCCTAACCAGCTAGGGTGAAAATAACAATCCTAACTGTACAGGCACTACTTATTTCTTAAGGTGCTTTCTCTTCCCTCCCGTTTGTGTAGCACATTCCAGGTCACATACAGAGGGCACCTTCCCACAAGTTACGGGTAGGTGCAGAGCCTTCAGCCTGGAGCCCGAAAAGGCTGCAGGGAAAAGGCCAGTGGCTTCGCTCCTGGCACGTTTCATCGCTATGGGAAGTCGGCCATGCGGACTGCTCCACCTGCAATGGAGACAACCAGCCACGTGGACGAGTCTGGGGTTATGTGCTCTCGAACCCGGGTCGACGGTCTAATAGGTCGATTCTTTTTGTGTTTGGTAAAGAGAAGGGGCAGAACGAAGAAACGTCTGAAGAGACAGCCACAGACGCAGGAGGAGGAGCCGCCTTCCACGCCCACGCTTGCTGCCCATGTGTCTGTCCGGATCGCCCGGCCCGAAGTGGTCCACAGCGGCAGGAGGCGGCTCCCCTCCAGCACCACAAAAGTTTGCCCAGCGCGAGAGCCGCTGCGTGCAGAAGAGACAGAAGCACAACATGCCCCCCCACACCCCAAACGGCACCTTGAGGGCCTCCAGACGGTATCGCTGAGTCGAGGCCGGGTCCATCATCACTGTGACCGCCTTCACCAGCTGCTCGCAGAGGGTGCTCACCGGGTCCCAGGACATGGTGCTGGTGCTGGGGAGCGGGGTCTATGTCGGACTGGGGGTGGGGAGAGGGAAGGAGGAGGTGGAGGAGGAAAGGTGCCGTTGCCTAGGGTAACCAAGCGCGGGGAGATGAAAAGAGCAATGCCGCGCCGGGTCCGACGACCGAAGGGACGTAGTGCGCAGGCGCAGGCGGCCAGGTGACCTTTCGCGCTCAGGGTTTTCGGGATGCCGGCTGTAGATATTATAGACTTCCCCCAACTCTCTGAAATGTAGGTGTAGCTCTATGATCGATACATAGAGTTAAATATTATATAGAACAACAGGCTCCAGTACCTGATACGAAACTTTCGGGTTCTTTCAGGCTCTTTTACCCACCCCACTTTCAGGGCGGAAGTAAGAGATGCCTCTAAAAATCCATTTCAGTTTATATAAATTGACAGCGAGTTAAAAGTTATTGAAGTTCTGCCCCTGGCTCGGTGTGTGGCTGGATAGATTCACAGCATTGTTAAGACACAATCCTATGCATATTTAGAAAGAAAAGGGCCCTAAAAATTGACTTTTTTGTGTCGGGTGATTTCCTGTCAAAACAAACATAGAATTGTACTCTTATACGAGTTCAGCATGTTTTTGTGGCCAATGGAGATATGCAGTAATTTAAATTATTTGGTTTCTTTTCCTTTTAAAAGCAAATTTTGTATAAGTCTTGGTTCGGATAATTCCTGTCTCGTGCCTGACTGTGTAGAAGGACATTTTTTACATGTATTGTAGGAGATGTTTGACTGGACATTGCCTTTGAAACTGCTCATCCTACATAGCTCTGACCTGTGATGCGTACAGTGGTGTGGACTAAATTAGAGAGGTGTTGTATGCTATTCTGAGCTGCAGTTTTCCCCAGGCTACAATAATTTAAATTTAATTTAATTAAAACATGTATGGAGATAATGGTTTGCATTGGTGTTAGGACAGATTGTAGGAACATTTTAAAACCAACAACATTTTCTACACAAAATAAGATTATGTGAAAAAACATGAACCCTGCTCTTTGCTGCTCTGTATTATTTGCGATAGGACAGAAGGCCAATGTCCAATCAGTTCTAAAATCATGTTCTGTTGTTGTGTGTTGTTGTTTTCTACTTCTGTCCCTAAAAACAGCTTCTAAAAGCCCTAGAAATTAATCATATTTCCAGTGCTTTTTTTGTCATAGAATGCACTGGAATGGAGTTCTGACACCTTTTTTTGACAGATTTTCCAAGTTTTAAAAGTAACTTCTGAAAATTTGATATTTGGTCCATGTAGATTTGAATCACCCTGTCGAGTGTAGCAGGTCGGAGGCAAAATCATTAAAATGGTGCATGTGGGCTGCTTGTGTGCCGACTCTGATGCATGCATACTTCATCTGTACTGGCTGTGATGGTGCTGTTTGGCTTGTGATTGGTCGTGTGGTTACGCGCTGAGTGCTTACTGTGGGCGACAACCGTTATGTTTCGTTACACAATTGACGTGTGTGGGTGTGTGTACAGTGATTGACTACATGCAAAAGGTAAATAATTTCATGAGTTCCGGCACCTTTTTTCCTACAAAAAAAGCGCTGCATATTTCCAGGCTTCATGAAAATAACTAGGCCTAAATCTTACTGCAATTGGCAAAAGTAAATACATGCAAGGGAAAATAAACCTGTGTGATAATTATTTCTTGCAATCTGAATCCACTCAAATAAAAACACTTTGGCTTTAACATGAATTAATAAACTTTTAAAGGTATATGTGTAAAGACTCTGAATTAAAATGAAGCTTTCACCTTGTCACAGACTTTTCTCTTTTAAACAAAGGAATGAAGATCTTACAATTTCACAGCAATCATAGGAGTAAAACCTCCGGGTAATTCTCAATAAACCTGGGGGGTCCAGGGGAACAGTCTGAATACCACGGGTTTAGAAAACAGACCCTGTTAACAAATTGGGATTCTTGTGTTATATGTATATCCAACTACTTAATTATGCTAATATGTGTACTATAAGGTATTATTTTGGAGACCTGTATCATGAGAGCCAGTGTGGTGTAATAGCTTGAGTGTTGTACTGAGACTCGGGAGATCTAAGTCCGAGTTCCCACTTTACCATGAAACTCACTTTGGGACAGTGAGGAAATAGCTCTCAGTCAATTCGGCCGACAAATTGCCTCTCTATAAAGACTACATTTCCCAAGAAGCATTGCAGCACACTATGCGCTTTTCTCCCTTCGTCTGAGGAGAGTAGGAAGCTATTGCGTATGCTGGGAAGTGTGTCTTCTCTCTTTGCCCCCACGGTTGACTGGCGCGAAGGCGGGAATTTAGCGGCAGAGGAAGAAGAGTTGTGCCCGTCCGGGCTTCGAGCTGGGGCCTCTCAGATCTCGGCCTCCCGCGTAACCGCCCTTATCGCTTTTTGTCCCTCCGTAGACCGCGATGTCCCTTGGGCGGGAGCGAGTGGTGGCGTTGGCGGACATGGACTGTTTCTACATACAGGTGGAGCAGCGCCTGGATCCCCGTCTGCGTGGAAAGCCGTGCGCCGTGGTGCAGTACAAGACGTGGAAAGGCGGCGGGTATGGAGCCGGGTCTCTCCGGCCTGGTCTGCGAAAGTAGCGGGATGAGGGGGTGGGAGAACAACAAGACTGGCCCTCTAGATGAGTTGGACTCCAACTCCCGCAATCCCCAGCCAGGTGTAGGGTGTTGTAGTCCAACACATGCGGAGGACACCGGGTTGGGGTAAGCAGTGGCAGAATGGGTCATTCTACTGCAGAGTACAACTGAGAAGTGCTGTTTCTAAATGCTTCTTTCTCTCCATCAAAAGTAAGAGAGACCTCCCTAAAACTACCGCCAGCTGGCACATTCAGGAGGAAAAATGTGGGCTTAGCTTGCTCTTGTGCTAATTTTCTAACAGAGTTTCTTATGTTTTAAAATTGTGATGAGTCTTCCTTCAGTTTGAAATAGCACTTTCTGTTTTTGCACCTCATTTTGCTGTTAGACCCACCCTATGAATGCAATAAAATGGTGTGTATTTATTTCGCTGATGCACTTCAGTAGCTCCGTAATTTCAAAAAGTAAATGTTCTCACCAGACCTGCTCTTAGATCATTGCTCTGACTTGTTTTTTGAACCAGTAACCTGCTTGTTTTTATCTCCAGCTCTCAATTCATATTGCTGTTCATCCCTAGCCTAAAATGTATTCTTGTTGTTAGGATTGGGACATTAAATCTAGCATAATGGGATAGGAGTAAAGGAAGATGCCTATATTGAGTCAGATCATGGACCATTTATCCATCTAGCCCAGTATTATAAATAATGACTGGCAGTGGCTCTCCTGAATTTAAAGGATTGAATTTGGCGCTTCCTGTGTGCAAAACAAGCACTTTACCACTGAACTACAGCACCTGCTCCTTTGCAGATCTGCTGCAGCCAAATGATTTTCCCTGCCCTGGTTTGATCCTAGTGTTAAGCTTTTCCCCAAGTAATGGCAATACATGGTCTTCCTGGTGTCCTTTAATATCTCCTCCAAATCTTTTGGGTGAGTTTTTCTCCATAAGGTGGCTAAATAATTATGATGTGGAAAGAAAATTGTCATCTCTCTTTATCTGTGATATTTGTTTTAACATACAGTGATTTTCAAAGAAAGGTAAAGGTTTCCCCTTGACATTAAGTCCAGTCATATCTGACTCTGGGAGGTGGTGCTCATCTCTGAGATTTGCAAAGTCTTTGTTAATTAGTGCTAAATTGAGGGAAAAATCTTGTTTGGACTGGTGTGTGTTTTCACTTGATACAATTTGCACACAACCGTGGCAAATCATGAGTCAATTAAAAATTAGTCTCAGTGTGTGTTGCATGAGCTCCTCTGTCTTTTAATATTCACTCTCCGGTTGTGTTGATTGGGGGGTTGCTATGTGACTTCCACGTCCTGACAGTATAGGTTGAACAATTCATACTTGACTATTAATAAGTGGTAATCCACAGTTTGTCTTTATAAACTTGACCATTATGGCTAATATTTCCCCTTATCTGTCTCAGGATAATTGCTGTAAGCTATGAAGCTCGCACTTTTGGAGTTACCAGGAACATGTGGGCTAATGATGCCAAGAAACTCTGCCCAGATTTGCTGCTCGCTCGAGTGCCGGAGGCCCATGGCAAAGCAGACCTCACCAAGTAAGCTTGGGATTGACAAGTCACTACAACAGCTTTTCCTCGGTAGTAATGATGATTGTATTTTGTCTTAGGTGATTGAGAAGTTCTTTGGAATTAATTTTTTATTGCATTTCTATACCACTCCCATAGTCCACAGGCTTCTCTGGGCAATTTAAATAATGGTGATTTACAAGAAAATAACATAAAACAATAGGACATTAATTATATAAACAACATCTATGAATAAGACATAACAATAAAACACTTTAGTAAAACAATAAAACACATCATAAGCCTCATACCTGAACAGCACTGAATGGGCACCAAATAAGAGTACTATTGATAAATTCTTGGAGTTCAGTCTTTTTGACAAATTTTAGGGAATCCCCCCTCCCCCATTTTTCCTAACTTGGATACAGCATTTTGTTCTTCTGGAAGCAATCATTCTAGGATTAAAATGTACAGTTCTGTGTACTTTTTCTTATATTGAACAGAGTCTGCTTCAATCTTATCCAAGTATATATGCAGTGGGTGAGATACTCCTGCTAACAGCATGGACTCAAAAACCCTCCTACTGTTAATTTAGTGCTTTTGGCAGTTGGTTAACCAACTATTCCAGATTGCTTTAATATTGCCATTACGTCTTCTTTATCATTGTTTGGCCCTTCTTATGCAGGTACCGAGAAGCCAGCATGGAGGTGATGGAGGTGATGTCGCGCTTTGCTGTGATCGAGCGAGCTAGCATTGATGAGGCCTACATGGACTTAACTAGTGCTGTGAAGGAAAGGCTTAAAAAGATGAAGAGGCAGCCTGTTGAAGCGGAGCAGTTGCCAACTACTTACATCCAAGGATTGCCAGATGGTCTTGCAGGAGAAGAGAATATGGATAACAAAGGTGCAGCTTAGTTCCTAACATGCTACTTCACTGCTCAGCTTTGTTTTTCCTTATTCTTAGCTTTGCTTGGAATAAATTCTTTATAGGTGGGTATCAGTTTGCAATGTTTGTGCTTACTGGAATGCACAGTGCAGGTTTTTGAAAAGAATTCACAAATCCCAGATAGGTTTTTCTCAGTGTGTGTAAAGGATAGCACTGTATTGACTGGAAACATTTACACTGAGAAATATGGAACCATTTTAATTCTCCTACCCTCAGGACTTTCATTGTTCGCCATGCAGGTTCTATGAAAGTATTTGTTTATATGCTAAGATACTGCATTTGAAATTCAGAAAAAAGCATTGGCTTATTTGATCAACAATACAGCTATGTTTTCTGGTTTCTTTCTGTTTTCATCATTTGTAGATTCTTTATTGCATCATGTGTGTTTTGTAGCTCTCCTGTCCTGTCACTTTCATGAAAGTTGCTGCTCCAAAAAGATGTTCTTGAGTTGCTATGTTTTTCTTTTTAGAAGAGTTGCGGAAGCTTGGTTTGCACCAGTGGCTTGAAACATTACCTTCTGAAGATCCCAGTAGTCCAGAACTGCAGCTAACAATAGGGGCAGTCATTATGGAAGAAATGAGGGTAACTGTGGAATCTGTCACTGGATTTAGGTGTTCTGTTGGCATTTCTCACAACAAGGTATGTATAAGCTGCGCTTGTGTTTTGGTTTGAGTTTAGGATTACTGAAGATATGAAATTCTTGGTCTGTGTTTCATGGATGTTTGGGCCAAATGGGTTACTTCCATGCATGTCTTAGGAAACAAAAGGAAGAATGAGGGTAGGGTGAGATTTATTTATAGGAATGTGGTGATTTTTTTTGTGGAATTTTTTTTATCAACAACTAGTCTTAAGAAAGTAAGATAGAAGGTGTGAAAATGACTTAGTTTGTAAGTAAAGATAAACAAGTGCTACTGCTGATCCTTTGGAAGATTAGGGGAGAGGTCAAGTAAGATGAAGATGATCTTGACTTATGATTTTAGGCATTTCTGACTATTTGTGCAATATTTAGATGATAGCTAGTGGCACAGTTGACAGCCAGGATATTGACCATGTGAGAGTAAAAAATGTTGCAGCCTGGATCTTCCAAATAGACCAGATTTAGACAGTTCACACTCAGCAAATCTACTCTTGTATAATCCAAACTTGGCAGGTTCACATAATAGCCTCAGTGGGTTTTGCAGGTTCAAAATGGCAGCCACACATGCCCTGCACCACAGCAACAGAGGCTGTTTCATTATTTAACCTATAGTGAGGCTGTAGCTGGGGCATATGTAGTTGTCATTTTGAACATGCAACACCAACTCAGGTGTTGACATGTCATGTGAATCTGGCATGTGTGGATTATGCAGGCTGCAGTATTTCCTAATTGCAAGTGTTAGATATCCTGGTTATCAACAAGATGTTATAACTTAAATAGTACTAATTACAGAAACAGTCTTGGCATAGTTCTTAAGTAACATGATGGGCTGTCATTTCATGCTGTCAGCCCAATAATTGTTTTTCTGCAGAAAGCTAAACTACAGACTCTATAGAAATTGGAGGTACTGCTTGTTATACCTGATACACCTCTGACTTTGTGTCCCAGTTATAAACCAAATTGTACTTGTTTGTTTTTAGCTGGAGGACTTGTAATAAAATCAAATATTTTACTGTAATGAGAATGAAAGAGCAATAGAATATAAAAAGAAATCCCCATGTGGAGCACTGTTCATAATATAACACTTGCTTTTAATTAAGAGAGTCTGTGGAATACAACTCTTCTTTTGAGTAGAACAGTTAAAACAGGTGCGTTGAACGTCAGGTCTGCATAAGAAACCTGGCAGTGGCTCCTTTCCCTAGCCCCCAATCATTAGAGGAATTCTTGGCTTTTGTGCAGTTCTCCCAACCCCCACTTTTGTCTTTGGCCCCAGCTACCACTGGAATGCAGCCCATGAGAACTGAAAGAGGGTCAACACCCATGACATGAAACATCTCCCTCACTCTCTCATGTTTTAGCACTATCAACTCAGACTTGCTCTGTCTAGTTTAATATAATTAGAAGAATTTCTTAGAATACTGAGAATGGTTTATAAATGAAAATAATCATTGTCTTTAACTTTGGAAACAGGATCTACAAAATATTTGCAGTTTTGGCAAAATCCTACGTGCTCTATGTTCTGATTTTTCTCTTAGATTATAAACTGATAAACCAGATAGGTGTAGGGAAAAATATATAACTTGAAAGCAAGTCTCCTAAACTAAATCCTTTCTTTATTCTAGGTATTAGCAAAACTAGCCTGTGGCCTCAACAAGCCTAATCGTCAGACTCTTGTGTCACATGCTTCCATTGCACAGCTCTTTAACAAGATGCCGATCAGTCACATGTATGTACATCAGGGAGCAGCTTCTGTAAACACACCTGCATGAATTCCAGAGCTACATTTTTCTTTTGCATCTTACTGCTTGAAAGTATTTGGATATCTTCTGTTTGTGTTGTAAGCCAAGTGATAGTAATCAAGCTGGAGATTGAAGAATCTTGGCAACAGACATCAGCAGGGCTGGAAAAATCCTTAGCTGTCAGAACCAAGACTTTGGGCAGCCAAAGTAATTTCTTTAGCCCTCCTCACTTTATTTAAAACTTTTATATGCTGTCCCTTATACAATGGCATCTCAGGACAGCTTACAACAGAAATTGACACAATTTCTATCGTCTCCTCTCCTTTCCCCTCCTCTTTCTGGCAATACTTGCTTCAGATTTTAGGCATTGAGTTGCCATTCAAACCTAGTTGCCAAAAAAAAAAAAAAAAAAGAATTCTACAGAATGTGTGATGCCGATACCTTTTTATCTATAGATTTCCAATTATAATCTTTGTATGTTCATACTAGTAAACATTTGTTAAGTACTTGTCTCATGGAACCAAATTTTACATCTCTTTTTCTCATCTGTATAGCTTTGATAAATTGGACCTGCTATATAAAAACTACTCCCTTTTCCATTTCTCCTGTAGTCGTAACCTTGGAGGGAAGCTTGGTGCCTCTGTCACTGAACTTCTAGGAGTGGAATATGTGGGGCAGCTGATCCAGTTCAGTGAATCACAGCTTCAAGCACACTTTGGAGAGAAGAATGGGTAAATGACATATTTGAGTTTTAACCTGTCTATAGACTTAGGTTCCTTCTGTGTTTGCTTATGCTTGAGAAGTCTGCTTGGGCTAGAATTTTTCTTGAACTCTCACAGTCGCATTTCTACTGAGGAGAAAATCAGAAGTCATGAAATCACAATGTCTGCCATAGATATGTGAATGCCTCAGGGAGAAAACTCTGGAAAAAATCTGATTTTTTCCCTCTTCATTCTCTACCATAAACCATAGAACATTTGACATGAGACCATCTTTAGTATTATAGATACATTCTTGTATTCATGCCCAAAGTTGTTAGTGTGTTGTAGTGGTTAAGAGTGTTGGGCTAGGACTTGAAGGCCTGGGTTCTAATCCCCATTCAACCATGAAACTCACTGGGTGTCTTTGGGCCAGTCACTGACTCCCAGCTTCATAGGTTGCTTTGAGGATAAAATGGAAAGGAGGAGAACTTTGTGAGCTGCTTTGGGTTCCTTGCAAGAGGAACAAGGGTAGGGTATAAATGTCACATAATGATAATGATGATGGGCTATTCAGATTTGCTGCTATTCTCTGTTATTCTGTTTAAAGGATACTTTTTTCTGTTGACAACAAAATGTGAGGTTTCTGTTGTCAGTTATTTTTTCTTACTTCCAAGATGGCAAAAACTAAGAGGCATATGCCTGGGAAACATAGGAGGCACCAGCTTGTTGCTCACTCATGCTCTCTTTATTTATTTATTTATTTATTTATAACATTTTTATGCCGCATCCATAGCAGAAGCCTCGGGGCGGCTTACAAAGAGAATAAATAAACATAGAATAACATTAAAAATTCAGAGTATCTCGACCGCAATTTAAAAAACAATAAAAACAACCAATTAACAGTTAAAATACCATTTAAATAAAAAGGTCTTGGCCTGGTGCTGAAAAACAAATAAAGACAGTGCCAGGTGGACCTCTCTGGGGAGCGCATTCCATAGGTGGGACGCCACTGCAGAGAAGGCCCTCCTCTGGGTACTCATCCTCCTAATATCCTTCACAGAGGGCTCCTGGAGAAGAGCCTCATCCGCCAATCTCAGGGGGCGGGAGGGCAAATATGGACGTAAGCGCTCCTTTAGATAACCAGGTCCCAAGCCGTTGAGGGCTTTATAGGCGATAACCAACAGCTTGAATTGGGCTCGGACTTCAATGGGGAGCCAGTGAAGCTGACAGAGGACTGGGGTCATACGAGAACAATGCCCAGTCCCTGTCAGCAACCAGTTGAAGTATCCGGTCCGTCTTCAATGGCAGCCCCACGTAGAGCGCGTTACAGAAACCTAATTGGGAAGTTACTGATGCATGTGTCACAGTCACCAGGCAGTCGTTCTCCAGGTAGGGACGCAGCTGATGGATCAGCCAAAGCTGAAGGAAGGCACTCCTCGCCACCACTGTTACTTGAGCTACTCTTGAGTGCGCACTCTCTCTCATACTGCACATATTCACAGGTTTGTACAAAATTAAGGTATTTAGTTTTGAGGCTGCAGGTCTTTCTGTGTATACTACTCAGAGTAGAGTGACATTTTATGCCATAATTAATATCTTTATTTTTAAATGCCACACAACTATACTTCAGTAACATTTTTACTATAAAACTGTTTCCATTTAGTCCCTTATGGCAGGAAACTAATTAATTGAACTTATTTACTTCTAACTTTTTCAGCTGGTGCAGCAAATAAAGAGTGTGAGGATTTTCCTTCCAGGATGGAAAAGACCACCTTTGGCTTTCTAGTCTGAGAATGGCCATCTAGTAAGACAGTTTGTTGCTTTCATAGACTCATGAAATCATAGACTCATAGAATAGTTAGAAGGGACTGATTAGGTGATGGTTGTAAATCTCCCAGAGAGCTTCAGCTATGGGACAATACAGAGATGAGATAATGATAATGTTCATAATAATAAGAATCAGGGCCACCCTCTGCTCAAGGCAGGATGTTAAGTTAAAGCATCCCACTCAGATGTCTGTCCAGTTGCATCTTGAATGTCTCCAGTGTGAGAGTCCCCACAACCTTCCTAGGTAATTGATTCCATTTTGTATTTCTCAATGTCCAGACAGAATCTGGCTTCCTGTAACTTGAGCCCATTATTCTGTGTCCTGCATTCTGGGATGACTCAGAAGAAATTCAGGCCTTCCTCTGTGTGACAGCCTTTCTAGTACTGGAAGGGTCCTTTGGTATCTACCCTTAGTTTTCTCTTCTCAAGGCTAAGCATGCACCTTTTTTCATTCTCTTTCCATAGGGCTAATCAGGATATTGTGGAGCACTGTATCAAAAACTCTGCGGAAATCAAAATGTATTACATCCCCACAGTTCACCAGGGAGGTTACCTGATCAAAACAAGAGAGATCAATTAGTCTGACAGAATTTGATAAGTCCATCTTGGGTTCTAGTCATCACAACATTGTTTCAAGGTTCTTGTAGATTGAGTGCTTTAGGAGCTGCTTTGGAATTTTTCCAGGAAGGGATATTGGGCTGACTGGTCTGTAGTGCCTGGTGTCCTCCTTTTTCCCTCCTTTTTGAAGACAGACAGCATTAGTCCTCCTTCCAGTCATCTGTGGAGAGCCAGTGTGGCATAGTAGTTGGAATGTTGGACTGGGGAATTATGTGTTCCTTGACCATTTGCCTTTTGATCTCAAATTGTAATCCTGCCCTTCAGATTGTACTTCACTCTTGTCAGGGAGGATGTAGACCCTGTTTTGGGAGAAGACAGAGCCACAACAGGAATTGAGTACTTCCTCATTTGTTATCTGAGAGCCTTATGGCTAATGGGGCAGGATAAAAATTAATAAATAAATTTTCCCATTCTCATTGAGTAAATGAACCACCAATTCTTTATTCTTTTTTTACTTTATATGTGAAGTAGACTTTTTTTGGTAATTTTCAGCATCCCTCACTAACATTGCGTCATTCTCACCTTTCTGCCATCATCCCTGCAAGTCTGTGCTACCTTCTTGTATTCTTCCTTTGTAACCTGGCCTTTCTTCCACCTCCTATGCGTGTCCTTTTTGTTTTAAGGACATCCCTAAGCTTTTTGTTATTTTTCTGTTCTCTACATTTTTTCCCTGTTGGAATTGTTTGTAGTTGCGCCTTTAACAATTCTTTTAAGAACTCCCACCTTTTTGGATTTTTCTTGTTAGAGTTGCCCATCATGGCAACTTAATAGCCATTGTTCTGAGTTTATTAAAATTGGCTTTCCTAAAACCAGGGTTACACACTTGGCTACACTTGGCTTTTGCTTTCTTTAGAATCAACAATTCAAGTGATCTGGTCACTTTTATCCAGAGTTCCTTCCTATAATCTTCCTGAGACTGTTTAGGGTTTAGCTGTGCATTCATGCTTTGTAGACTACAGTCTTTCTTAATTGCTACTCAGTGTGGTTTGTACAGCAGTACCCTTTCAAGTATGATATTATTAGGAATCTATAACTGATAGAGCGGTTTATGAAGGGAACTCTTGCTTTTCCTTGAATGCAAACACTTTAACATCTAACTCTCTGACTTATTCCTGTTCTAAAATATTTCATAAGCAGCTGCCAAATATTTTGGATTTTTCTAAGTAAATAATTTAGAAGCCCCAAGGTTAAGAACATTTATTGAATGAACTCAGGTTTCCATATGATTTTCAGGTCCTGGTTGTATGACTTGTGCAGAGGGATTGATCATGAGCCTGTGAAACCTAGACAATTGCCAAAGTCCATTGGCTGCAGTAAACATTTCCTTGGCAAAGCAGCTTTGGTAACTCAGAATCAGGTGAGAAGTTGCATAAAGAACAGAACTAATTCTGTTCTGAAGACAGGAGTAATAGAAAAGGTGGGAAATGCTGTGTATATTGTTTCCTTTCTCTGGTTTAAACCTGCTAAGGTCATTGTCTTGCTGTGTTAAATTTCCTCTGAAATGCTCAGTAAAGAGATTGTTGGATAACTGCATTGGAAAGTACCTTCAATAGACAGGGAGTAACTTATCACTTACTACTTGCTTGCCCTCTTTCATCCTATTTATCTGTTTGCCCACTGACAAATGCATTTTTCTGGGCAGATCACAAATAGTTGAAAGAATTATACCAATTCATATACCTAAACAATAAAACACCGTGTAAAACAACAAACTGCCTAGAACTAAATATATACCAAGCCTCTCCAGAATTCAGTTTGCAGCTGGCTGTCAAACTTCATTCAGTGCTTGTCCCTCATTAAAGAAGCAAGCCAGGTGTAGAAGTCCTGTGAGTATTCGAGGATCCCCCCAGTTGCACATTCAGGAACATTCCCTGCCACCTGGTGGCCATCCCTCTTCTCTGCTCACTGGTGGGGACAAGGAAGAACAGCATTGCTTGCTCAGTGGGCTTGGTTCCTGGCAAGTACCCCATGAATCCTGGGCATGCTTTCCAGGAAATCAGACTCTGGTGGGCCAGTCTGGAAAGCTGAAATTCAGCAGATTTTCCATCTTTTTGGCATTTAACAAAATATACTGTCCTTCGGAGATTTCGTAAGTCTATTTTGTAGCTTGTCTATGAAATATAATTGTTCCATAACAATGTTGATGACTGAGGGAACTGAAAGGTTTTCTGGTTAGTGTTGGCTTCCATATGATTGTAAAGTCCCATGAATGATCCTTCCATGTTTTTGTTTTATAGTAGTAGCATACTGAGCAGTTTCCTAGAAGAATAAATTCTGCACTAATAATATTTGTAGGTGCAACATTGGCTTTTGCAGCTGGCCTTGGACCTGGAGGAGAGACTGAACAAGGACAGAGACCAAGTGAGTAGTGGGAGGCCTTCCTTTTCCTTGAGAACTCTGATTTGGAGGAGAAGTGTGTATGACTTGGAATGAAAGGTATGCAGCAGTCTCCACTGCTATGTTCTTTGCTTTCCCCTCCAGCTCTCTTATATGTGACATGGTTATGATCTGAAATACATAAATATCTCCAGCAAATTCAGAAATTGAAAGGAAGTGGACCAAGGCTACAATCCTGTGCAGGTTTAGACAAAAAAGTCTTACAGCTCCTAGCTGCCAGTTGTATTTTTTTTGTCTAAACTTTCATAGAATTGTGCCTTAATCTTATGTAACAATGGAGTAGATTCCTGGAGCTGTTCATACTACTCATGCTTGGCTCTGCATAGTCCTCCTAGGGAGCTTTATGGATTACTTTTTCACCTGGCTCAAGTGTTCTGGAGCTTGAGTCCAACAGCTGGAAGCAATGGATTCCTTATTTCTTCTTGAGAACATGCTTTGTGACAAGAAACTAGTTTAGAACATGGGCAGGGCCCTCTCTGTGCAAGCTGTTAAAATTTCTTTGCAGTGTGAACAGCTCAGTCACTTTGCTTTTGGTGAAAGTTGGGAGAATTCCTTAATTTCTCTACATTTTTTAAAAGTAGACTGAGGTGAAGATCTGTTGTGTTACAGAATGGATTGGAACAAATAGATTAATCCAGCCTGATAATTGCTGCCCTGTACAAATTAATCTCTTGATGTCTCAGTTACAGCTTCACAGGATTTCTGTTTTTCTTCCAACAGAACAATCGGATAGCGAAGCAGCTGTATATTGGGATCCGTATGCAGGGTGATAAACAGAAGAGTGGCATCTCCCGCTGCTGTGCCTTAGCCCACTATGATGCCCATAAAATCAGCAGAGATGCCTTTGCAGTAATCCAGAATTGCAGTACAGCAGGAGGCCAGCAGGCTGCATGGTGAGGACATTTCTTCCTGAATTCTAGGATATGCTATTGCAGAGGTGAAAGATAGTGTCTTCCCAGCAAGAGCAGAGATCAAAGGAGGTGGATGGCCCGTGTACGCAAGGCAGAAGTTGTTGTATCATTTGAAAAAGGCTATTAGAACTGAAATAAGGGTGTTGTGCTGCCCCTCCTCCCCCAGCAACCAAAACAGAAGAGAGGGTAGTAAACAAGATGTTTGTAACTGATAGTATAGTGTGAAAAGAACTCTTGTAATAGAGGCTGGGGAAGAATAAAGTCAGTGGGGTCTAGCTATCAAACAGGATCTAGTGTGAATAGTTGCCTCATAGTATATAGTTAAATTTGAGCTAATGCTTAAAAAAGGAAAGTATCCTTTGTCTTTAAAGGCAAAATCTCTATTCAATGTTTAAAAGTATTTTTTCCTCTTGAACTGTTTGCTAACTTGTCTGTTTATAGGTCTCCTGTCACTCTTCTCCAGCTCTCAGCAACCAAGTTTGTAGAGGCTCATACAGCATCTTCTGTGAACCTTACTGCCTTCCTGACTAGTGACAGCCAGTGTACCCAGGCCACTAGCACCTGTGCAGTCAGCCAGAATATCAGGTCCCTTGGAAGTCCAAAAAAGGAGGCCAGCAAGAAGACAGTGAATGCTATTCAGAAGTTATTTCAGAGGGTAGTGGAAAAGAAGCATGCCCAGGCTAGAGCAAGATCCTCTCTTCCTGAGATAACCAATGAAAAGACAGTAGCATCAGCGCTAGAGCTTGCTGTGTGTCCTGGAAAAGGACAGCTCCAGATCAGCAGCCAGATTTTAAAAGATGCTCTGGAACAAAGTACCAATAATTACAACCCAAACTCTATGCAGAAGCAGCTGTCTATAGAACAATCTATATCAAGCTCCAAAACAGAGCTGCTGGATACCCCTTTGACTAGTAGTGATTACACAGCACCTTTAGAAATGGAAAAACCTACATTCTCTTTAGAGCTCCCTGCTCAGTCAAAAGAGGAACAAATGCAATCCACTACTGGACTTCTGCAGGAAGGAGCCGGTAATTGGATTTCTCCCTCCTGTACAGATGACTGGATGTTGTGTGAAAAATGTAACCAACAAGTGTTGGCATGGGAGTTCGCAGAACATTTAGACTATCACTTTGCTGTGGAGCTGCAGAATTCTTTGTCAAGATCCAGTCCTTTAAGTCCATCTGTACTAGTTGGCAGTCCTCCAAATAAAAAGGGCAAAGGCAAATGCAGGACACATGCAACTACTGGTGCCAAACGGCCAAGGCAAGACTCAAACAGGACTTTGGATTCTTTTTTCAAGAGAGTACCTCCTTAGGTTGCAGTTCACCTGAGTAGCTGAAAAATTTATCTAAGAGAAAATTGCAGCTTTTTAAACTAACTGTTTGCAGTAAAATTGTTTGCAGTTATTCTTAAGAGGAACTATTCTGGTGCAGGGGACAGAGGAGATGTTTTTTACAGCTCATTTTGTTACTTCAATTGCAACTTAATATGACAGAGATGTAGTGTGAAGATGCCACTCAACTGATGGGAAATGGAGTCTAGCATTATCTGAAGGATCATTGTTTCCCATCTCAGCATCACTACTTTGGTTATAAAGCAAGCATTCTAATTTAGTGTCTTTTCCTTGTTTTTGTGTGACCCACTCCTTGCTAGCAATCAGCCAGTACGGTTTGAGAATAATTGTGTAGTTGTGCACAGAGGCTTTTCAACCTCTTACTACCAATATGCATAACTGAACATAAGCTTCCTTACATAGAATCGGTCTATCCAGTGTATACTTGTCTGAGCTTGTAGGGAAGTGCAGGCAAGCAATTTCCCCCCAGTCTGCCCCATACAACTGAAGATAACAGTGACTCAGGGGTTGGGGGATATTTGGAATTTGGAAATTTGAGGTGTTCACTTGATAGCTGCCACAGAGCAGAGTGGGGACTTGCCCGTTCATACAATGGCTTGCCATGGTGAACGTGTCCAGTCACAAAACACTCCCTAGAAGGCAGCCTGGTAAGACTTGCATTTGGTTCAAACATGCTCAGATTAGTGTGGATGAAGTAACCCATCTTTTTCACACATGACCACCTTTTTTTCAGTATATAAGCCCCATGCTTGGGGCTGCAATGTATCATGCAAATTGGTTTACTATTATTATGATTATTCAAGAATTTAGAAACTATGTAATCCTGCTACTAACGGAGGGTTATTTAATCACTCATATAACACACAATGGTCAGACTCACTTTACTACAAAGCAACTTTAGTTAATTTTAATTGCCTGAAAGGTACCCGCTGTTGAAACAGATGTTGCACTTTACAGTTGTGGTTATACAACAGAAATAGTCCCATACTTAGGTATAACAGACAGGTATGGATCACTTTCAATGGAAATTATCGGAAAATAATTGTATAGTACTGTTTTTGCCTTGTAACAAAGCAAACTCAGTAACTGTAGAAAATTCTGGTAGATTTGAAGCCCCTGGACAGAAATTGAAGCCTTTCGGGCAGTAGAATTCAAATCTCTTGTAATTGACCACAATAGACAGGCTGAACAAAGGCTTCATCCCACTAGAGGAGTTAGAATAAAGAAACGTAATAGCCAGGGTTTTTTTTTGGGATGTTATGAAAGTGGCAAAGAAGTCAAGAGCAATGTCTTCAGGAGGCTAGGATAGTCTCCCTACGGTGGTCTCCTAGCCTTGCGACCCAAGGCAGAATGGTCAAGGCTCAGACAACAGCCTAAGGGGCATCCACTCTTCAGGAATAATCACATCAACAAAAAATAATGGATCTCATTAATGGTGATGAGGGCTGATGATCTGAAAGGCAGCTACTGGGCAGCAGTGGTAATTGAGGGCAACATTGTTGGAGGATCCTTAAAGAACAATGGCAGTGATGTCCAAACTAACTCTGGTTAGTACTGTGTGGAAGAAGACAATCGTAAACCAATGGAGTAAGGCATTTTTATGTTTACTTACCTTGAAAATGAAGAATCAAATATTGTAGGAAAATTTGGCCTGGGGGTAAGAAATGAAGCAGGAGAATAACTTGTAGAATTTTGTGAAGCCAACAACCTATTTATTGCAAACACGTTCTTCAAGCAACTGCTCAGATGACTGTATACACGGACTTCACCAGATGGCCAATACAAAATCAACTACATTATGTAACTGGAAGGAGAAGATAGAGACGCTGTATTCTTGCTGCTAAAACAAGGCCAGGAGCAGACTGCAGTAGTGACCATCAACTCTCAATTTCAAAAATCAGTCAAGCTAAAAAAGGAATAAAGCTCCCAGAGTAGATCGCATTCCTATAAAGCTGTTCCAAACTTCAGAGGCTGAATTGGTTGAGATCCTAGCAAAAATATGTTGTCAAATATGGAAAAGAAAACAGTGGTCCACAGACTGGACACAATCAATATACATTCCAATCCCAAAGGAATGAGAGGCAAAAGAATTCAGCAATGTTAGGACTATTGCCTTAAGCTCCCATGGAACCAAAGAGATGCTCAAAGTGTTGCAACAAAAAATAGTACTCGGTATTGAGCAAAAGATGCTGGATGCCCAGATTGGATTCTGAAAAGGCACTAGAGGTCATATTGCAAATACATGTCAACTACTGGAGCCCAATCAAAAAATTCAGAAAAAGATCAGTGGTTCCCAAACTGTGTTCCATGGAATCCTAGGGTTTGCAAAAGCCTCATAAGGGATCCGTGGAAAATCTCTCAAATCAAATTTAAAACAGACTTTAAAATGAAACCACCTGAGGCCAACTATTTGATTGTCAACTGGCATCCTAGCAGCAAACAAGGAAATGCACAATGTCATTTGGTTTCTAAGACTCTATTGCATAGTGTTGGGAATAACTGGAAGAATTCATTTGGGATATTACCATATTATCATGGTAAATATTTATTCATAAATATTTTATTTCCAAACCTACAATGTTATGAAAAGTACTCAGGCAATAGGAGCAAATGAAAGAAGGAAGAACGTTGTGGATTCAGAATGCTTAGTAAAAATCAGGGCTAGTGTTCCATGGGGAAAAATGGCTTCAGAAAGGTTCCATGACTGAAAGGATTTAGGAACCGCTAGTTTAGACTACAGTAAAGCCTTTGACTGTGTGAATCATGAGAATCTACAAATAGTCATGAAAGAAATGGGTGTGCCTCAGCACTTATTGTCCTCATGTATAACCCATGTCATGAACAAAAAGCTACAGTTGGAATAGAACATGGGAGAAACAGAATGGTTTCTCACAAAGTTGTCAAACAAGGATCTGCGTTTTTTCCCTATCTGTTCAGTCTGCACAAAGAACATAGTGTAAGGAAAGATGGATTAGAATCAGAGAAAGGAGTGAAAATTGGTGGAAGAAACATCACTACTTTTAGAGATGCAGCTGATACCATCTTACTGACCAAAAGCAGCAATGACTCAAAATGACACCTGATGAAAATGAAAGTAGTACAAAAGCAGCACTGCAGCTAAATATTAAGAAAACAAAAATCCTGTTTGCAGAATAATTATACAGTTACTGTTATCTGTTGTCACCCTTTCAATAGATAACTGAGCTGATAACAGCCAAGAAAATCAAAGATGACAGACTTGAACTAACAATGATCATCAAGTGTAAGGACATTTTACTGGAGACCATGGTCAAGATCATCCAAACTATTCCCTCTCATTATGTATGAGTGCGAAAGCTGGATAGCAAAGAAAGCAGAGAGGAAGAAAATGGCTATGTTCAAAACATGGTGCTGAAGGAGAGCTTTGTGAATACCCTGGACTGACAAAAGACGAATGAGTTGGTCCTAGATCAACCAGAACTTTCCACAGAAGCAAAAAGGCAAAACCTGAGGCATTCATATTTTTGGACACATCATGAGAAGGCAAGAGTAATTGGAGAAGACAATGGTGTTAGGGAAAGTTGAAGTTAGAAGACAGAAGGGAAACCCAGTATGAAATGGATGGAATTCATAAATGAAGCCACCATTGAATTTGGACAAGCTGAATGGAATTGTCATGGATGTTTTGGAGGGCTTTCATTCATAGGGTTGCCATAAGTCAGGGACAACTTGAAAGTACATAACTCAAAACCTGCCAGAAAATGATATCAGCCCAAGCGTTATTTTGCTTCATGACTTTTTGAAGAATTAATTTCATACCATGGCATGGCACCATTGTTTCACAGTGGTTATGGTGCTGGACAGCAACTTGGGAGATTTGGGTTTTAACATCATTGGGGTGTGAAGCTCAATGGGTAACTTTGAGCTCATCGCTGAATCTTAGCCTAACCTACCTTACAAGGTTGTGAAAATAAAATGAAAAAGAGGAAGAGGATCATATAAGCAGCTTTCGGTTTCTTGTAATTAGCAGATAAAAAGTAGCAACTATAGTAGACTAGCTCTAGAAACAATTGATTCTATACCCAAAACTGCTGTGGTCAGGTTGATAGGGCTGTCAGCACATCCTGAGTTAAGTCAGATAAACATGAACTACTTCCTTGTAAACCTGAGTAGACATACATTCTTTCCTTGTCAGGCAATGGGTAATTTACAGTAGGCTGGGCACAAGGTGAAGGCTTGTTAAATTTCAAGGACTAGGCATTTTACTTCATTCAACTTAAATACAACACAGCTTTATTTTTTCAATAAAACATCTTTATTTGTACATATTTATATATGTAGAGAGGTGAAAACATCTCCCTATTTTAAAGAATCCACTAACAGTGAATATGAAAAGCATGGCACCGAGAACACACACAACAAAAGGTAAGGGAATAAGTCAACCAAATGTCAAAAGGTAAGAGTGGAAAAAGCACCCTTGAATGTATTTTAAATGGAGTCAACTTTGCCATCATTGTAAATTGTAGCAAATGCATTTATTCCTTCCATAGGTAAACATGCAACACACCTCTCAGTGTAGTGGAAGGCTAATCTTCCTTATATTTTCTAAAACAGGTGATTCTAAAATGCTTTACCAATCCAAATTATTAAGGGGAGGTTGGGAGATAAACCTTTACATCAGAAAACAGTCATAATTAGACCAAGTTTATTAGTGCTTTATAGCAACTGTCCACTGTATTAGAGAAAGGATTGAGCTAAGATCATGGGTTCTGCTTAAAAACACCATAACTTTCTGTATAGCTATACAGATTTAACAGAAGCACATTAAATCCCAAGAGCAGTTGCTTTGAATAATCTAAAACTTGTAGGACAGATGAAACAGCACAGGGGAAGGGTTTTTGGCAGATAAAATAGGTCAGCCTATTAGCTAACCATGTTGGTTCAGGTATTTGGACCCTTAATGCACTAGTAGTTAAGATAGAGGAATAGTTGCGCAAAAATTGTGTTGCCAACTTTTACAATAAATTTTATTTCAAGAAAATTAAAAATGGATCCCTCAGCACCTGAGAATGTCCTATCCTTGCCAACTCAGGAAACAACTATACTTTCAAAGTTTCAACCTTATAAAGATTGATTTCTGTAAAAGACCAGTAATATATACAAATTACTGCAGTTGGCAAAGCTGGACAGAATCTGTAATTGTAACATTTCCAATTTTCTTGTGATGACAAAACAACCCTTGTGGATTTGACCATGGGAAATTAAGGCATATTTTCCCAAGGAACACGTTGGACTGGAATATCAGTGCACTCATCAGGAAAGTCAAACTGGACAGACAATCAAGACCAACATCACCAGCTTAGCTCAGGAAGTATCTAGCAAATGTACTGAGAGGTGTTTGAAGGCTATTTTGAGCCAGCTCTGCAACAGGATGCCAGGTCACATAAAGGGCACCTACTTTGCTGAGCAAGAAATGGTCAGGTGCCTGCAAATACATGACAGGAACTACAGGACCCATCTCATGCTATTCAAGAGAAAGAAGTGTTAATTTCAGGGCATGTCCATTTTCTTTTGCCCCCCACTCCCATGAGACTCTGACATTAGCTGATAAAAGTCAGGTAGCCAATGTGTGTGGAGAGGGACTGGAGGAGTGCTTAGATTAAAATGAAATTAATAATAAGTAAATGAAACAGCATGAGCTGTACTGTGGGCAATGCAAAACTTCCAGCTGTAGCTTCTACTCATGGTTCTTCATTTTTCATAGGCAGCCTGCAAAACCAGGTAGCTGGACAACCAAGCAACTGAGCCTTGTAGGCAGATAGAGATTCACAACTGTGGCCTCAAAGGTGGCAGAATCCCCAACGTACAACACACCAAGAGTTTTGTCCTCTACCTGGGAATAATTTCCCAACAAAAGCCAACAGAACAGGAATTGCCAGCCCAGGCAAAAATGCAGCCATTCTCTTGTCTATTCCAGGAAGGACAGAGGTTTGGAAGCAGCAGATGATGTCAAACAACATGCTTAACTTGCTTCAGGAAGGGCACGCAAACTAAGCAGTGAGTCTGGCTTCCAAAGTGCAGAAGAGTTATGTGCCTATGTAAATTTACTGGCCAGCAGCAGCTCTGCACTGTGAGGCGATATCCTTCCTTTCCCCTATGCCAGCTTTAGATTTGGTATGGGTCAGAAACTCACAAGCTCAGAATCCAGGCTCTGTTCCAGGCTATTCTCTCCAGTGGTAATAGCTTGAATGTAAGTGACGTGTCCAATACCTTTGGTAACTCCTTCACGGAACAAAAGTTTGGCTCCTATCTTCAAATATTCCGGATGTTTAATGAATCGGAAACAAACCACGGCCTTTTCTCCTGTTCGCAGCTTGTCCTAAATGAGAGGAGATGGCATTGTTAAAAGATGAGTAGCTATTCAGCTTAAGGATTCTAGAAAGGTGACCAAGAAGAACTCTTAGTCTCAATATGCTCTGCAACTCATTGGGTTTCACTATGCAAGATCCCTTGGTAGTGAAGGGATCTCAGCTGGAAGCCTAAAACAACTGATAGAGGATGTGAATGAGAAGGTAATCATGCAACTCCTTGAGCAGATAGGAGAGCATCGCTCCTCTCAACGCTCTTCTCATTAGCTGGAAACCTACCTTCCCATGGATCTTCTCCATGACTGCTGTTTGCCGCACATTGCCAACATGCACTGTTACTTGGAATCCCTTCCGGAAAGTCGTAGCGTGGAAGAGCAGAACAATTTCAGCTTCAAACACTGAACAAATGGTGGGGTTCATCTCTGGGCTCACCATCACCATGCCCTAGATGACAGCAAGACTGTTGGAACAATTCTCCTTTCACCAGCTTTCCTCTTCCCACAATGCATTCACAGTAAGTGGAGATTCCTTCCAGAAATGTCTACAGTACTCCAGTTATGTGAGTTTGATCCCTTCTCAGAAAGCCAAAGAATGGTGGAGGGACAGATAAGAAAGTATGTGTATATGCTAAAAACAACTTGGCAAACTATAAGGATGTAAAGGAAAAAAATGTATTTCCTCACTTCTGCTCTGTGGCTTTTAGCCTTTCACTGTTCAAATTTTTCTGAAGCTCAACATAACCCCAAAGCCATGAATTCCATCATTCCCATCCTTTGGACCTGAAGCAAAATGCCTATCTGTAAGGTATGAGTGGGTCAGTGTTTACTGTTGATAGCATTTCAATGTGCCTTCTAAAGCAGAGGTTGCAGAGGAACTACAGTAAGCAACCCCTCAAACTATCCTCTCAATATCCTTGGGCAGGTTCTCATGACATGGCAAGCCATGGTGGTTTCTTCTGAAAGATGGTCTGTCATGTCATCTCAACACTGTCACAATATTTCAGCATGGCACACTGGGTTTTTAGAAACCATTATAAGAAACAGTCTGGACTGTGGTTTCCAACTTCACCATGGCTCTTTTCAGCTGTTGTGGTTTTCACAGTCCTGGTATACCAACTACCAGGGAGTTCCCTAGAAATAGCAGCAGGTACAGGAGCTGCTCCCAGCCATCCAGCATGGGACTGATTTTCAGGCACGGTGGCTGGTGGGATACCTGCCAACAGCAAGAGGATTGAATGAGAAGGGTGGAAACCATGCTAATGTAGAAACCACATGGATCATCTATCAGGCAATCCAAGGACAAAACTGTACACTGGGAACCAAGCAGGGTTGCTTCCTGTGATCTGTGAACCCAACCAAGTTTTCCAATATAGTGAGAGGAAAGGGGTTTTAAAACCACAGCTCCAGAGACAGGGGATGGGACTCACTTTACGCAGGAGTGAGCGGTCAAAATGTCCAAGAGCCAGAGTGGCAGCCTGCCCAGCACGAAGTACACGGCACGCTGAACGATTTCGCTGGATGCTGCACACTTTCAGCTGGATGAACTTGCCATCATCAGTTGGCCCAACCACCAGGTTCTCTCCCTCTTTACATATCCCACTGACAGAAGCACAAAATTAGGAGACTGTATGAGTCAACAATGTGATGTGACTGCAAAAAGGGCAAATGCTATTTCAGGCTGCATTAGCAGAAGCATCACTTCCAAATCCCATGAAATACTAGTTCCCCTTTACTCAGCACTGGTTTGGCCTCATCTGAGTTACTGTGTCCAGTTCTGGGCACCATAGTTTAAGAAAGATGCAGACAAGCTGCAAAGGGTTCACAGAGGAGGGCAACAAGGATGATCCAGGGACTGGAAATAAAGCCTTACAAGAAGAGGTTGAAAGAACTGTTTCATGTTTAGCCTGGAGAAGAGAAGACTGAGGGGAAATATAATAGCACTCTACCAGTACTTGAAAGGCAGAAAGAGGAAGGACAGGATCTCTTCTTGATCATCCCAGAGTGTAGGGCATGGAATAATGGGCTCAAGTTACAGGAAACCAGCTTCTAGCTAGATATCAGGAAAAAATTCCTGACTGTTAGCGTAGTGCCACCATGGAACTAATTACCTAGGGAGGTTGTGGGTTCTTGCACAGTTGAAGCATTCAAGATGCCACTGGACAGCCATCTGAGAAGGATGGCTTAACTAGCTGTCCTGCACTGAGTAGGGGGTTGAACCCAATACACTTCTGGCCTCTTCCAACTGTACCATCCTATGATTCTATTTAGTTCTCAGAAGGCAAAGAAAGCCTTTATTCAGTGCACACTTAGGACACATATCCTAAAGTCACTTCTTCAAATATAAGATGTGAAAAGGACTAAGGGACAATTATCTGTCCTCTCTGCCTACAGAAAAGCGGAGAAGTCCTTTTGAGGATATTATTGCTTCTATTTTAAGTTACCTCTGCTGAAATGAAATTTGTTCTTGACACATTAGGTAAGATATTCAGTTGTATACTTCCACATGTGCAGTATTGTTTAGCCTACATGTAGAAGGGAATGTTAAACCATAGTGCCGTATTTCCCAGGATAACAGAAGCCCTCTGCTTCCCATCTATACCCCTCTTCTGGCTTCATGCATGGAGCAGCACTTACCTTGACAGAGTTCCTCCAACAACAGTGCCCACCTCAGGTACAGTATAGATTTCATCTACCTGCAGCAAGACAAGAACAGGAGCTGCATGTCTGCTACTATGCTGGGACTACGGTGCCTCAGAGTCAACTGGCCCATTTTCAAGAGTTCCAGTACAGGCCCTTCTCCAAGGCTTCCAACCCCATCCTTGAACAGTTTCATCCATATATGAGTTCTCAGCCCCTAGTGCACCAGATCTCAGTGAATGGTCATCTTACTGCAGGCATTTCCCATCTGTATCTACACAGATGAAAAAAAATATGTATTTAGGATATTTGTATGCCGTCCTTTGCAAGAGCCTCAGGACTGCTTAGACAAATAAAATACAAATATCTAACATAACATAAATTAATTAATGACCCATTCTGGCTGCAATTAGAATATGATGATAAAATTCAATATTAAAACTTATTAAAATATTGATTAAATAAAAAGGTCTTAACCTGGCACCGAAAAACATAATGACGGCGCCAGGCGGACCTCTCTGGGGAGTGCATTCCATAGACGGGGCGCCACCGCAGAGAAGGTCTCAAATAACCTTGAGAGCAACTAAATGACAATGGGGACATTAATCTTTTCCTGTATAAAAGCTAACCATGATCTCAGGAGGATGTCAGCACTTAAGTGCAAAGGATCCAAGAGGCTCTTGCTCTCAATACACTATAGAGGTAGTACAGTGGTACCTTGGCTCACCAACTTAATCTGTTCCGTGATTCTGGTTGCGAGCCAAATTGGTCATAAGCCAAGTCAAATTTTCCCATAAGGTTCAATGTAAATAAGGTTAATCTGTACTGTAAATAATTTTTTAATCATAGGGAAGACAGGCACGGTCGTGGGCACGCTCGGGGAGCAGGGGAGATGGGTGTGATCGTGGCCATCTCCCCCCACCGAGCAATCATGCCTGTGCAGGGAAGACAACATGATTGCAATCATCACCTGATGCAGAGTTCGTAACCTGAGGAATTATTTTCTGAAAGTTCTTTCGCAACCCTATTTGGTCGTGACCTGAGGAGTTCGTGAGCTGAAGTACCACTGTACTCTGAGACACTCAATAAACAACAAGAGATGTCTGCATACCTGAAATTCAGTCAGCTGTTGCATCAACTCCTCCTGTTCTTTGCTATTTGTCAGAGGTGGGAGGATGTTGAGAAACACTTTCAGGAGATCCAGATTCTCTCCAGAAACGCTGGACAAGGTGAAGATAGGTGTGATACTGCCAAGACACATGTAAGAAATAAACTGGTGATCTGCAGGTCTATGCAGTGTTAGCAGTGAAGATGGTGGGAGTGGTCATCGCTTCCAACATGTCTCCTGCTTGTTATGTCAACAACTGGACCTGATCTTATCCACTCTTTTTCCATTGTATTCATTTATGTTGTTTATATGCATTGCATACAACAAATTATCTGGGTGGCTTACAATAAAAATTGCATTGCAATGAAAGCAGCAAACCAGAAAAGCAAGACATAAAGCCACAAAACCAAGTTAATTAAAAACAGAACATGCTGCTTATTCTTCCTTGCCAGGGGTTCCAATGGGTACTACAGCCTGGTTATACATGCAATCATATCTGAGATTCATGCATACCGTTAGAAGAGGGACTTTGCTGCTCTCTAGTTGCAGTATTCTGCACCATGAAGCCTAGCAAATACCAACCAGCTTAGTCAGAGTGAAGGAGTTCATCAAGGTGGAATACAGAAAGAACAACAGTCACTTTGCATGTTCTACAGGCCTAACCCCCACCCTTCTCCTTAAATCACTGATTCTTCTAATTAGTTAAAGTTGCGTGCATGTCAGCAAATGATCTTTCCTCCCATTCCAAAAAGGACCAGTGATTCTTACTTGGGAGACTGGGCAAACTGCTGTGCTGCTGTGACCGCATCATCATCTGATGTTACTAACAGGGGAAGCTTGTTGCAGCCGGGCTGCTTCAAGATCCGTTCCAGCTGCTTCACTGTCCGCTCCACAGTGGCTTTTGAGCACAAGTCCACTTTGCTAATGACAATGAAGAATGGAACTTTGAGGGCCATTGCCAAGCCAAGATGCTCTCGTGTTGTACCTGCTAGAGGCGACAGAAGGTGGGGAAACCAAGTTAAGACAGAAACACCACTGCAGTATACCAGCATGACTCTAGGATCATCCTACAAAATGTATGAAATGGCTATAAGTATTTATATGCTATAAGAGATAATGTTTTCAGTTTTTCCCAGTCATTTTACTAGCTATCTATCTTTCACCTTCATGAGTTATGTCAGTCTTCTAAAGCTCCAAAGGAGGATTAATTCAGACCATGCAACATACACTTACCAATTCCAGTATTGGCGCTCACCACCAGCATTGCAAAGTCTGGACAGTAACTTGTGAGTCCAAAAATGGTGGTTTTCAGATACTTGTGGTGGCCAGCTAAGTCAATGAAAGTGATCATCTTGGAGGAACTCTCACAGATCTCTTCAGCTGTCCGTGAATCACTATAGTTCACCACCTAGAAAGCAGAAGATACAACCATTGCTCACCAATAAAGCATTAGGGGAAGTGAAGATCCTAAAACTGCAAACCAAGAGTGCACCCCCACAAGACCCATACCTCTCCTTTGCTGTTGAAGCCAAGGATTTCAAAGCTGATGCTAGATGTTCTCCCAGACTGAATCTCATGAAGGTGTCGGAAGAGGTTGAGACGAGCCCTACCTCGCCCATTATCCAGTTCTCCTTGAGTCAAGACACCTAAGAGAGTTGACTTGCCTGAATCCACATTCCCGAGCACAGCCACTCGCAGATCTAGAAACTTAAGGAAAAAAGGGAGAGCTACAGAAATTTGTTTCTAAACAAGATGAACTGATTGGGAAAGTTTCTGAAGAGCAAGCTAAGATTTAGAATTTGAATGCCCTACACTCTAATGCACCAAGAGATCAGGAAGGCATAATTACCAGGCATTTTGGCCTGTAAAAACTGAGCAAGGTTGGAATCTAGCACTCACAAATTGAAAGGCTTTAGGAGACTCTCTCTGTCCTAGCCATCAAGAATTCACTGTGGCAATTCTCCAACGTGAAATCAGTGTATCGTATAAAAATATGCCTTCATTGGACTAGCTTCCATTTCATTTCTAAATGCAACTAGGATAGGAAGTCCCTACAAACAATGCCATGGGCATATAAAGAGAAGTGGGTTGTCACCTGTTGATTATCTGGAACCTTTCGAACAAGAACCTCTGTTATCTTTCTGGGGATATCACTGTCATAATCTACTTCTCTTTCCCGTAACACAGTGATGTCAGCTCCAACTCTGCAAATTGCAAAACAGAAAACAGTCAGGTGTTGGTGCACCATCTGCAAAGAATTCCCAACAGGCTAAGGACCAGGACTGTCTTGCAATGCTTTTCAGAAAGTTTTTCTCTTGGGTGCAACCTACAAGTACATGGGCAAACTTGCCAGTGTTAGTGGTACCTGTTACCAGTTATTTTGTTTGCCATCTTTCTGGGGTACCATTCACACATGGGGCATTTTGGCATGGATGTCAAAACCAGTTTTCTCATTAAAAGGTTTGTGAGGATTTTGATAATACTTAGTTCATGACACTAGACATGGTAACAGATAACACTTTCACCAAATGGGTTAAAATAAGATTTTAAAGTATAGCAGGTTTCTGTATCTATAAGATGAATACTGACTGCCAGTACCAATTTACCAGAAACCAGACAGATGTGACTTCCTTTCCAGCACAAATAAGGATCAATTATGCAAAGAAAAGATTAGACACACTCCTATTCCAGTTGTGACATACCAACAGGCACATATAGTAAAATAAGTCAATATGATCATCTCTTATGAGCTTAAGGATTGAACAGGTTTGTACTGGGGGAGGCAATAATGCCATGCTGCTTGCTCCCAAGCTGTTTGGGGCTTTATATACCATCAGCAGGACCTTGTACTTGATTTGCTGGCTAATTGATGGCCACTTCAGTCACTTCAAAGGAAAAGGTGTTGCTAACAAGGCAAGCTGAAGTGGAGGATGAAATTGACAAGATACTGACAAGTGTCCAACATCAGTATATTGGGTTAATAGTAACAGGCAATCTGTACAAGACCCCATTTTTAAAATAAATATTTTAAGTAAAGATCACATATTTGCTATATTTTTAAACATAAATGCATCCATAAGTGCTCCAAAAAGTAATTCTGATTGGTGATCTGATGTGGGGGCAGCAGGGGGCTGGGTTCCCTCAGAAACTGGGAACACCAGCAGACCAACAGCAGATAGGGTGCTGATGTAGAGACCAAGAAAATAAGGAGTTTTGCAGCAAAGGCAGTTGGGATGTGTGCCAGGAATCCACAGGAAAAATGAGGGGGAAAGCAAGCTGTAGACTTTTCAATCCTTTGTTGGTTTAATGAGTGAACAACCAATCAGGCTGCCTTATTCTGAAGGCAGTTTAGCATGATGTACAAACTTTCCCATTATTTTTAAAGGGTTTGTGTTTCATCAAATTTTATTTTATGCTTTAATTTTTGTGAAGTGCCCAGAGAACTTTGGCTATTGGGAGGCATAGAAACCTAATAAAAATAAATTTCTGGACGTAATGGAGCACATAGTTCAATTGGTTCTGGACAGAAGACAAATGCACATACTTCTCAGCCATCCGTCGCAGTGTTTTGAGAGAGGCACGCATCTCCTCTTCTGACAGTCCTACTAGCAGCCCATTATCTTCTACACCAATCTGGTACACTGCCTCGCCACGGCCTTCTTGCAGACGCCACTTCATCTGTGTTACTAGGTGTTCAAAGCGGTACTGGGACGGATTAACTAGCTTCAGCTGCAAAAAGAGTGATTTGAATCAACACATGAGAAGATCTGATAAGGGAAAGCAATTTACTTTTTTAGGTGACAGAGATTCTTTAGGTAGAATATTGTCTTTTTTACAAAAGGTGTAGCTTGGGTTAAAGGAATTCTACTTTTCATCATTTGAGAATTATTATTCTGAGTGATTCTTCTGAGCCTGGATACAGCAGCTATACTCCTTGCAACTAAAGATTTCACTTGGCAATGCTTCTGAGAATTTCTCACAGAGAACCTATAATAAATAAGGAGGCTCCTTGTTATTTGCTAATTAACATGTAATTTTTAGAGAGGAATTTTCTGATTCAGATATTTATGTACAAGAAATCTAACACAACTGTAAACAAAACATTGGCAAGAATCTTATTTTGCATTGCATTTTTTTAAAATTTCCTTGCAACAACACACTTACGTGTGTGGTTACAGTGTGACTCATAGCATAAGTTGGCTTGCAGTTCTTAGACTTTAGAATCTAGTCTTGTATAACTGAATTACCTTGTATTCTATGTTCCCATCTTCTGCCTAAAGGAAAGAAGAAAATATGACAAGTTAGTGAACTACATACTGCTCAACATTTAATATACACTTCTTGTCATCCCATTTGACAGTTCAGTGAAACCAGCACAAAGTGATTACTAGTTTGGACAGAATCAGTTACACCAGGAATTGCTGAACACTTTATAAAATGGATGAAATTGCAATGAAATTAATAGATATACCTCCCCTAGCTCAGTTCTAGAACCACCCCTGCATGGCTCTCCATTGTTTGTTCTGAAAACAAAGCAACTAGTAGACTATTCTGAATGCTAAAAGGGTTGAATAGGAGGTTTAGTAATGTATTTAGCAAAATATTTGCAGCGATTATAGCAGGTCAAAAAATGAAAAAGACTCCAAAATTGTGGTCTTCAGAAGAAGACATCTGCTTCAAGTCCTTCAGAGCATCTCTGTCTTCAGAATACCTGCTGATATATGTGTGTTTGCTGCCACCTTTGGTATCCTTCACTGGTATGAACTCATGAGTTCAGTTTGTATAACTCATTAGAACAACTTTGGTTAACCAATGTTCTATAAAAACCCGCATAGTAAAAACTGCATGGAAGATCCAACAATTGCCATCTAGGTTCCACAGCAATCCGGAAGGTTAGAACAAAGAAATCAGGGTAAGCAGCTACACACTTCAGTTATCAATAGCCAGGTTTTGCACCCATATGGACTGCCTGGGACTTGAAGCTATCTAACTCTTCCTCACTCTCTGCCCCAAGATATTGCAAAATTCATTAGCCAAGATTTCTCATATTGGGCACAAACATTTATGACCTGAGAAGATGAATGCGACTGACAGTAAAGGGAGAAGTAATTGGAAATCAGCTTGTAAAACAAGCTACTCAGTGTCATGGAAGATCCACAAGGAGAACAAGAATTCTGACCTTCTGTAAAATAGGCAATCAGGTGCTTTACTTCTCTAAAGCATCCCTCTATTTAGCTTGATATCAATAACTAGTAGATTCTAATCAAGACTCGAAACAACCTCTAAAAACAAGTAAGTGACACTAAATTATACATACCCTGCTGATCTTGCTCTAGGTCTAGGGGTTGCCCTTGAAACAGGACTGAATGCAAGAGCTCAAATGAAAGACAAGAAATCAAACAGACATCAGCCAGAAAACTAATCTTAATTTCTTCCCCAAATCTCTCTTTTTTAGAGGTAAGCATCACCCTCTTTTCCAGCATGTTTTCCTGACTAACAGCAAATCTGAAGTTCTTTCCACACATGCTCACTTGTTTTCTAGCTCAAATGCTGACTACAGCAGAAAAGTGTTAGTGATTGGTGAAATAATTTGCACACAGTATCCTGGACTCAACCATCTGTACCATGGAGCGTAGATGATGGGGTTTTCATTCACCCATCCAAACAATCTTCTAGGTCTTATTTTATTTATGAAGCATATATTTTATAAGTCACCTTTCCATTTCACCAGCTTAAATTCAGAGTGTGTTAAGAAATCATTGCTTATAATATAAATGCTGCATTCCTAACTATGCCTTCCAAGGAGCAACAATTTGTGGATGCTATCCACTGAGGTTGCTACAGAAGTAATTCAGAAAAGTGGACATGTTCAGACATGCCCACAAATAATTCACAAAAATTATGCGAGGGCAGAAAAGCAGTGACACTGGGATATCAGAGGTCATCACAGAGAAAAATTGTGCTACCTTGGGGATGGCTCTTTACATTAAAACAAAAGGCCGAGCACAGGATAACAACAGCCACCTTCACATCTTACATGGTTTTTAACACACAGACTGCACTTGCTAAGAACATGGTCAGATCAAATACTACTACTACAAAAAAACCCAGACTTTACATATATGCACAAACATTAACAAGAATAAAATGAACTAAGGTTAGCAGGACTATATGCAGATTTATTAACACTTGAGTCTGTAGTATCTATCTTCATAAAGTCTCAGTTCAAGCTTATCTTTCACTACCATGCATGAGGTTCTAGTTCTCATTTCAGTACTAAACCTGTGTTTACAATTTCAGATAGCAAATGCACTCGTCCCTCTACCCCACCCCCCCCCCAAAAAAACCCCATGCACATACAAAACTAGATATCAGGAAGCCGGATAGGCTAAAACCTTCTGACATTTGTTTTTCTGTGTGCAGACTTAAGTTAAATGGAGATTCATGCAATTCATGTAAACTTCAAAGAGCAGTCTAAAACAGACACAGATTAAACTCAAAAAACAAAACAAAACACAACCTTAACTACACATAAAATCTCATTATACTGAATCAAACCACTGTCCCATTGAGCCCAGTATTAACTGTTCCGTTTGGCAGTGGCTGTCCAAGGTCTCAGGCTTCAAATGCCTCTCATTACAGCTACCTGACCCTTTTAACTGGAGAACTAGGAATGAGAACTAAGCCATACTTTCCATAGGAACAATTCAGAATGGTTATTGCAACCAAGAAACCAGGATATACAAAATACATTTTCTAGTAACATCAACTGAAATCAGTTTTCCTGGCCCTTCCAAATCTAATTGGATGACTACATTTCAAGTAAGAGCTCAGCTGCATGAGCCAACTTAAGTGCAACTTCGGTGACTCATAACAACAGCAACCTGCAAGGGAAAATAAAGCTAGTAGAAGTAAACAAAAACGGAATGGGATTCACTCTTACCATTCAACAAATTTACAGTCTCACATCTACATTTATAGATCTCTAACCTACAGTTATTTATTGCTGGAGGGAAAGTCAAAAGAAGCTTCAAAGTAGTTCTAATACTCAGCGGAGTTTAATGTACGTAGAGGGAGAGAGAAGAGTTCTATCGTCAAACTACCCACAGCTTCCAGAACCACTATGAGGAAGCAACAGGAAAACAAACACCACCAGGACGGCAAATTTCAGGACGATGCTGGCAGCAAATAGTTTCAAAATCAAGTTGTCTTATTGGGTAGGACTAGCAGCTTTGGCAGATTTTTCTGTCCTTTCCTCTAAACACACTTCCAGAAGGAGCCCTAATACCTCCCCCCACTCCATAGGACACTTGTAGCTATAGAAATGTTAACTTCGGGGGCAAGCATCTTCCCCGAAGCCAGGGAACTGGAACGTGGGGTTTAATAGGACTGTAACCCTGAGGATACTTTCCAGAGCCAACAGAGACGAATTCAGAGAGAAGGCGGGAGACCTTCCGCTGGCAGGTTCAACATTCCTCCAACACCGCCGATAACGCGACAGTCTCCACAAGGCGTCCTCTAGAACGGTTAGTCTCGCCAAGCCCACCGCCGCAGCACTACCTCGCTCACCTCCGGTGGCAAGTAGGGCGGGTTGTTGGCCTTGGCCCCCCGGTGTCGCCCGTTCTTCTTTCTCCCCTTGGAAGCGCCGCCGCCGGAGCCGCTGGCAGCACGGCCTCGCAGAGCCCCGCCGTTGCCGCCTCCCACAGGCCGGCAGCAGCCCCCAAACAGCTCCGACACCCGCGAGTCCATCCTGGACCAGCCTGGCACTGGGCCCTCTCCAGCCCGCTCTCGGCAGCCGCTTCCCAGCCCCGGGCTTGGCTTCTGACGGCTAATCTTCCTGGCGTCAGAAAAGAACCGCAGGGCACCACGGGAAACAGGGCCTCGGCAGCCACATCACTGGACTACTACTCCCAGCGCCCTCCTTGCTGAGCATACCTAGTTCAGAACTATACTATGCCACATAAGGCTCACGGTTAAATAAAGGAACAAGGTATCGAGTTATTATCCCGCAATTTCTGGGCCGATGAACACAACTGAAGACCTTTAGTAGAAGCTGACCATCTAATGGAATAAAATAAAGAACTCATTATGCCTGCGTTAATTCTATGGTCCACCTGGGCAGAAAGACCATCCCCAGGACTTGATTAAGCTTAACATCTTTTACCGGAACTCCAAGGTTCGGTACAAGTAATTATATTCATAGTCAGCTTTTTGGCCAAGAGTGGCCCCCAAAGCTTCTTACAAAAATAGCATTAATATAAAAAGTCCTTTAAATCATGGCACAAAATACCAGAAGGGATATTAGGGACACATCTTTGTATGCTCCTGTGTCTCACATCTGAATTTTAAAATTGCCTCCAAGATCTATGTTTTTTATGTTGTCGTTCAGAAGTTAGTTGATTAATTTTCATAAAAGAATGCAAAAAGTTAGGGAATACAAATAAAACAAGCTTTAACATTTCCATTGCATAATAGAACTGAGGACTGCATTAAAAACATTGGCTTTAAATGGAGTTTAAAATAGTTGATCTAACCCTATTTGTTGACCTGACCCTATTTGACCCATAGTCTGATGGGACCTGACCCCTACTGATTGCCCTGCATCAAAGTATTAAAATTTCTCTTAGGCACTCATAAAATCAAAGCAGAGACATAACAAATTTTGAGCTAGCTTAGCTCACAGTTAAAGTGAAAAAACCATGCAGTACTTAGATGCAGTTTTTACAAAAAAATGTTCACTGGGATAATATTTTTGAAACATCTAGATGTTTAACATTATTATAAGCAGACATTTTCTTTTTCTCATTTCTGTGTAATGTCATTCATCTCAGAACCATACTGTAAATAAGTGATACATTTTTAAATACTTCCACACAATATAATTTTAAAGCAACAGGTTAACTACAGCATCCTGGATAGAGAAGCAAGCCCTATGGAGTTTAATGGACTTGCATAATTATACCATACACAGTGGTGTAAGATTGCTGGTAGTTAAAGCGAGTAAACTACAGGCCATGCCATGCAGTCAAAACAGATGCAGTGAGTCCCTTCCACCCACTATTATCAGGCAGCTTTGTTTTCAAACACAGCCACCTATTTCCTTCAGGAACTTCCTCAGTATTAGGCAACAGCTAATTGTAACACATAGTCTCAGTTGGGAGAGATTGCTCTGTTTAAAAATTGCTTTAAGATTGCATTAGAGTATAAAGCTTGCACTGTACAGGTCAGCTGTTCATGATAAGAATACTCCCATTCAGGAATCTCTGGAAGCATCATTGCTGTCTTGAAATAAATTCCTTAAAAATTAAAATGCTATATATCTTGTTATGCTTGCCAGTGACCTGAACTGCTAAATGTATTTTATAGCACAACCCTATGCATGTGTTTACACTCAAAATCCTACATTATGCTCAAAATCCTACAAGCAGTATGTGGACTGAGAACTACCAGAAGTACAGGCAGGATTTCGAAGAGGCAGAGGAACTAGAGATCAAATTGCCAACATATGCTGGATCATGGAGAAAGCTAGGGAGTTCCAGAAAAACATCTACTTCTGCTTCATTGACTATGCTAAAGCCTTTGATTGTGTGGATCACAAGAAATTGTGGCAAGTTCTTAAAGAGATGGGAGTACCAGACCATCTTATTTGTCTCTTGAGAAACCTATATACGGTCAAGAAGCAACAGTGAGAACTGGACACGGAACCACTGATTGGTTCAAAATTGAGAAAGGAGTTCAGCAAGGCTGTATACTGTCGCCCTGCCTATTTAACTTATATGCAGAGCACATCATGAGAAAGACGGGCCTAGATGAATCACCAGATGGAATTAAGATTGTAGATATTTCTCCTAGCAACCTCAGATATGCAGATGATACCACTCTTATGGCAGAAAGTGAAGAGGAACTAAAGAGCCTCTTGATGCAGGTGAAGGAGCAGAGTGCAAAAGCTGGCTTGAAACTCAACATTAAGAAAACTAAGATCATGGCATCTGGCCCTCTCACTTCCCGGCAAATAGATGGGGAAGAAATGGAGGTAGTGACAGATTTTATTTTCCTGGGCTCCAAGATCACCGCAGATGGGGACTGCAGCCGAGAAATTAAAAGATGCTTACTCCTGGGGAGGAAAGCTATGGCAAATCTAGACAGCATACTAAAAAGCAGAGACATCACCCTTCCAACCAAAGTGCGTATAGTCAAGGCTATGGTTTTCCCAGTTGCAATGCATGGCTGTGAAAGCTGGACCATAAGGAAGGCTGAGCGCCGAAGAACTGAGTCCTTTGAATTGTGGTGCTGGAGGAGACTCCTGTGAGTCCCTTGGACCGCAAGGCGATCAAACTGGTCAGTCCCAGAGGAGATCAACCCTGACTGCTCCTTAGAAGGCCGGATACTGAAGATGAAACTCAAATACTTTGGCCACCTAATGAGAAGGAAGGACTCCCTGGAGAAGAACCTAATGCTGGGAACAATAGATGGCAAAAGAAGAAGGGGACCGCAGAGAATGAGGTGGCTAGATGGAGTCACTGAAGCAGCTGGTGTGAGCTTAAGTGGACTCTTGGGGGTGGTGGAAGACAGGAAGGAGTGGGGGACGTTGTTCATGAGGTCGGACACGACTTCGTGACCAACAACAACAATGCATGTGTAGACAGCAAACAAACATTCATTCCTTCTTACATCCAAGCATTCACCTTCCAGCATAAGTAAGGGTGGAACCCTATGAATGCTTGCAGGGGAATACTGGGAGGCATGCCGAGATATATTTCCTTCATCCATCCAATGAAGTCATACTATTTCCATACCACTAAAATAGCCATTTTGATGATTGGGCAGGAGGAAAGGAAAATATATTGCACAGACTCCTTCCCCAGGGGCAATCCTCCCCTAAGACATCTTTAAGGATAATATGCAAACAGTGTCCTATGGTAGTAATTAAATAATTTTTTTAAAAACTCCTGTTTGATGGTATACTCCCCGCCCCACCTATGGTGAGCTAGCCCAGCCGTAATCATGGAGATGCCTTCTGCCTTTCAACAACATACGTTCGCGTGATCTTGCCCTAAAGGAAGATGGCGCCACGAGAATCAGGCTTCGCGCCGGTGACGTACTTGTAATGTTCCCATGTTGCTCTGCGAAGGCGGCCATTCAAACCGGAGCAAGCTCGAAGAATAGAAAATGGCCGAGGTGAGAGGAACACAGCCGGGTGAAGCTGCGTGCGTCCGTTGAGATTGGTGCGAGCCTCGGCCCCTTGGCGGTGTTTTCTGCCATTCCTTGAGAGCTTGGGCGCTTTCTCGGGTCTTATGGCATCTCCGCCGCCCAGTCAGTGCTCCGGTGCAGCGGGTGACGCAGCCGCTCGATCTTCTTCCTCCCTTTGCCTTGCGACCGAGCTGCCGGGTGCGGCCGAGGCCTTCCTGGAATCCGGCCTGGAGCTGCCCGACAGGCCTGCCGTTGCCGTGACTGTAGCCTTGGCGCCCTCACCGGTAGCTCCCGCTCCCGGCGGCGCCTTTTCGGTGTCCGTGGTTTTCCCCGGCTCGGTGACCCGCGAGGGCTGCTTCCGTTTCACCTGCGAGCTCCTGAAGCACGTCCTGTACCAGAGACAGCAGCTGCCCCTGCCTTACGAACAGCTCGCCATCTTCCACCGAAGGCAGCTCCCGAGGCCCCAAGGCCAGGTGAGATGAAGTCGAGTTTCCGGCGGTGAGACCTGCCCCCATGTACATGGGAATCGCTCCCTCGCCTCCCCCTTATATGTATGGCAGTGCCCTCTGGGTTTCTCGCTCACTTCTCGCGGCGTTTGCTTCATCGCCTCTGACATGGGAACGTCAAACCGGCGTTAGCCTCGGAAGCTTATTTGTCTCACAAAGGCCTATTCTACACTTCTCCCCACGAAAATAATCAGGTGTCAGCTGTACGCGAAAGTCAGCCTAGGCTGCCTGATCAAGTCTGATCTCTGCAAACACCTCTTCCTTTTGCACTTGTAACAATGAATATATACTGAAATTTTCATTTTACATTTATAATTAGGGTACTTCAGGCGCTATAAAAAGTGCTGCAACCTTGTCCCTGGTGATTAGTACAATTGCTGTCACATTTTTCAAGCAGCTTCTGGGTGGACATTGTAAATGTGTGCATCTGATCTAACTGCATGTAAAAGTTGTGTGAGGAGTTTATGATAAAACCAATGACCTTCTATAAAACATGGTGACCAAAAGCATTTAGAGATAATATTAAGGAATGTGACTCTCTTCATTGGTTATATGAGTGAGGCCTGGTTATGTGTGGCTTAATCTTTTGATTTTTGATCTTAAATCTTCCTGCCAGTAATTGGTGGGAACTGATTAACTGTATGTGCTAGAGGCTACATGGGCTACTTAATATACTGTGGTGGGGCAAACCATCTTATGTATATACAAGGAGCCACAAACAGTCCTAGTTTCCTGACATCTTTAACTATAATGTGTGCTGGAAAATGCACATTACTGTTTTATTGATGTAAATGCTGAGGCAGAGTTTAAACCCCTTTTGAAGTCTTTTACCAAGGTGCAGTTACCCACAGTCTAGACTCCACAGGATTATTGTAAGAAATGGAGCTTGTATTGCCCCTATATGCATTGTACATTATGGTGGGTCACAAAGTTGAGCAAGTGACTCAATGCACTTAAGTTCCAAGCAGAACTTCTCTAGCTTTTTTTAATGTGTAAGACATTGTAAAAAGTTTAAGTTTATGACAAGTCCTGGAACTGTAATGTAGATTTTGTCGATATATGTTGAATGGTACTCTTCAGAGACCCAATAAAGCTGGGTTCCTATGTTTAATCTTATACTGAGACTATAATTGCCCTAAACAGTATAGTACTGGCTATTAGGAGTAGTAGCAGCTCTCTAGGTTTGCAAGCAGAGGTCATTTTCAGCCTTCTACTGCAACTACTTTAAAACAAACATGGGAGGAGTCTTTCATATTAATGTATGTTTTGATTAGTATAAAACTTAACAGCAAGAGTAGCAACTTGGAACAAGCTAGGAGCTTATGTTTCCTGACTTCATTACAAAGTGAACCTGTTTTAACATAATGGCAGTGTACATGGGTGAATTAGCCCACACATTGCAGGGACTTGTGCTACTACTGGTTTCCTCCAGCAACCTATGAATGCAGACACATGCTATTTTAATGGGTTGAGCAACCCCAAGTTGACCAAAGAGCAAGTCCTGGGGTTGTTTGACCCATGAACAACTCCACGTGTCTGGCTTTGGAAGTCACAGAAACAACTTACAGATAGCACATTTGTAGGTTGTTGCACTGTTTAGAAGCCACTTGCAGAGTTCTGCATGTTGCCATAATTCATGGATTAATCTATAAATTATGTTTGAGCAGGGCCAGCATTTGAACAACTGCTAAACCCTCTCATTTAAAACTGCCTCTTTTGCAGATCTAGTTTACTGATCTGGGGCTAAACAGGAAATATTTCTGTTCAGACATCTTTTTCTGTCCTTTCAAAAGAATAAACATACTGTTCCCAAGCCAGATGACCCTTTTGTGTAAATTGCATGGCTTGAGATACTTCCAGAGTCAGTTCAGAAAGATGGAGTTGTAGGATAATTCTTAATATGCATGGATATATCAGACATTTCTTTAAAAAGCGAACAACTCTACAAACAAAAACTGTGCGATCAGCTTCCCTCTGGACCTAGGTCCAGACTCTCTCCAGATTACAAAACCCAAATTACAAATATCCATACTTACAAATGAACTGCCATAAAGCCTATTAATTTAAAAATTCAAGTTAAAGACAAACAGTTCGTAGTAACAAATGTGAACTAGTTTCTGCAGCCTACTGTGGAATATTGTCATCACTGTGGAGAGAAAGAGAAAGCGAAAGGGGAGAGAGGGAGGCCTCCAAAGCATGTCTTCTTGCATTACCCATCCAAAGAAGGAAATCCCTTCAACATTTCCTTGGTGCAAAGAGGAGGTACTGGTGAGTTAAAGGGAGGATGGAGAATAAGAACATAAGCATGTAATAACTGAAGAGGTGCTCTGCTGGATCAGAATATGATCTGAGAAGCAGAAGCAATCTAGTTCATGTATTGTTGACAGTATGAAGGTGTGGGGGGCAGGGGCTAGAGATAGTCACAGTTTTTCCATTTTTGTGAGGGTGCTGTACCCCTAACCCCCATGAATGTGGAGGTCCAACTGTATATGGAAGTGTTTTGAGAGGGTGGGGAGGCAATATCCATGTTTTTCACAGCTTTGGCTAACCATGTCAGAAATTTAGCCCAGTGAGCAATATTGGACTATCTTCTGCAAAGTTAAAGGAAATTATATTGGAAAACAAAATTACCAAATGTCAAGAAAACCTTGTCATTATGGCATTTCACCTCATGTTGAATGGCCTGAGAAGCATTAGTTTATGATGCTAGAGCATCGGATCCTTATTCACTGATCCTGGTCAAATATTAGGTTGTTCTGGTACTTCCTTGGAATGTGTTTACAATATTCCCATACAGCATTTTTCCTATAAGCAACACCTATAATACTTTGAGATTAACCACACAGTCCTATATAAGTCTCCTCAAAAATAAGTTCCATTGCATTCATTGAGGTTTACCACTAAGTAAATGTGTACAGGGCTGATGTCTTAGTATGATAATACAGGAAAATGTACATTTGAAAATTTAATATTTGTTTTCTTGCTTGTATTGCTCCTTTTTGCATCACTCTGTATTGGCTCAGCCATGCTTTCACAAAACAAAACAACAAATATACAATACTTGTGACTGATAAGTCAAAGCAAAGTTTGATAGTTGTTATGTGAAAAAAATTAATTATCCAGGTTTCTTTTAATTGAATCATTTTTATAATGCTATATTGTGTCTCTGTCTTAACTCCTCTACTTTGCTTGGCTCAACTCCACCATTTCAGGATTACAGAACAACAATCATATTTAGCCTGTGTTTTTGCACATGTGATTCAAGTCAGAGAAATTGAAAGCTCAGAACTTTCAAGAATAAGAGCTGCTTGGCTGGACAGAACTATTTCATGAGATAAAAACTAGACTTTAATGATAAACCCTAAACCTACATTGTAATTCCATTGCATGTCTATCAGATATAACCATAGCTTATTTTTACAGTTGGAAAGTTAGTATTTTATTTATTTTAAACCAATTTAAATCAAAACAATCTTTTCTCCACCCTCCTAAAAAGAATCATTTTGTTCTGCATAACAAATCTAAATTTTTATCTAAACGTTCATACAATGGGCATACAACTAGACGTTTAAATGCAATAGTTTTTTTATTTTTATTGACCAAACAAAAGAACAACCAAACAGAAGACAAAAAAGCAGTCCAAAAGAACACAAATATTCTAATAACTACACTGATTATAAACATAATAAAAGAAAAAATATTCCAGGTGAGCATTGTGCGTAAAGTTATAAAGGCCTTAGTTTTGACTATGATTGTTTACTTAATACTATCTATGATACAATCATTTTTCATTTCAAAGTTCTTTATAGTACACAAAATGTTTTGTATTTTGAGAGGATTTTATATTGAGTGTCCATTCTATTAGTGTAAACAATGAAATCATGCCAAAAAGCATAAAATGAGTTGTGTTTACTTGGACCCCTTGTCCCCATCAACTTACAAGACTTTTTTTCCCATTAAGGCTGTGTGCCATGCCATTTTGTACCAATAACCTAATCCCTGAAATCAAAATATTCCAATACTTTGCCATTGTTAATCTGGTAGCAACAAGTATATGACTAATTAACTCCTTACTCTTCATTCAAATTATTAGCTTTTTTCAAAAAGAGACTCAATAATGCTAGGTCAGTGAGTTTGGAAATTGTTGGTTTGTAACTAAACCAATCTCTGATATTACAGCTCCCCCAAAATACTGAATTTCCTTACAGCCCCATCACATATGTAAATATGTACCTGACTTCTGACAATCCCTCCAACACTGAAGGGAAGTTGAATGAGTTACAAGGGAGAGCTGCCTTGGGATCAGCTGCCAGCCATGGACAATTTCTATGGACATTTCTCTGGTGTATACTGAAATTGATCTACATGGATGGAGGCTTATTCCACAAGTCTTGCCAGTCACTATCATTCACTTCCCACTATCAAATTCACTTTGACTATCAAGTTCAATCCCAAGAAGATTGGAGAAGAATTTGGAAGGTTCTTTTTTCTGGGTTGCTTGGATGTTGAAGTTGTTGGGAAAACCTTATTTCCACCCCATCATGGAGTTCAAAATAGAAACCATTTAAGTTAGTGAGCATATTTGTGAGTTCACATAATATTTAAAAGGCATCCAGTTCTCAGTTATATACAGAACCTGGTGGTAATAATGGTGCTACAGTTCATTCTTTGAAGAGCTTAGAAGAGTATTTTCATGGCTGTTGTGAGATAGGTTTGGAAAAGATAGGAATGTCATACAGTGACTTGTTTAAAGCCTTTCAGTTTGATGTCTGGGCATATCTGGACAATCAAACCCAACACTTGATGCTTATTTGCAAGTAAGTACCATTGATTTTAGTGAGGTTTACTTACACTTGAGAGCATAGTCTTAATTACACAGTTGTATTATAATTCAGTAGTATTCTAAATGTTTTTGTTGTTAACAAATTGCATTCAGGAACTTTGGGTGAAATAGAAATACAAAATCTTAATGTCTAATGGGTGTGAATGTCAAGGAAAGTTCTAAAAATTTTCATATCTTTTCAATCTTGTTAACTTCACAGGGTGAAGATACAGTCAGAAAAGCATATCCAAAAGATCAAGTCAGCAACAAGAAATGCCAGCAAGTACTAAATGACCTCGAGGGTGTGTTCCATCATTTGGAAATCATGTTTAGTTTGACACTGGTCCCACGAGTTCTTATTCTGCTTGGGGGTACTGCTGTTAGTCCTAAGGAACTCTATGAAATTAACCTGCAAGATGTATCTGTGAGTGGTGCTGAGGAGAGTCTGCAGACAGCAGCTTGTGTTCGCAAGCTTTTCCATTCGCTCTTCCTGGCGGATGTGTTCAGCGAGCTTCAAGCTGTTCCCACAATGAGTGCTACTATTATGGTTCAGGGGCACCGCAATTGTGGCATTGATTGGTTCCGACCCAAACTAAATTATAAAGTGCCAACTCGAGGAAGAAAGCTGACTGTCAACTTATCATGCAGTCATGACAACAGTGCAACTCTCTCTGCCTACCAAGAGATGAACTCTGCCTGGGATGATTATATATGGTTTCAAGCTCCAGTGACAGTCAAAGGCTTCCATTACTTTTCTTGACAAAGTTTTTAAGGAGGGTTATTAACTTCTATGCTGATGTTTTGTAATTGTATGTTTGATCTGCTGCAACCAAAAAATTCCCCTCTTCTGAATCTCTAGGGCCTTTTTACAACATTGTTGAGCTTCCTATATTTTCTACAGTTACTCTCTTACAGTGATATTACTTAGAAGCAAACTACATGTGATTATAGGAAGTGCCTTTCAAGAACTGATTCAAAGTTCAAAACACAGACACACACCCAATCCCCTTAGGAATACTAATCTACTTTCTCGGCTGCAGACTTTGCTGTCAAATGATACTTGAAAAACTGTGGACTATGTTGACTGGAAGATATTTGTGCAATTGTATTCACAATTTTTTGAAGAATATGATGAAATCCAGATAAAATTTGATGCCTTTCCTTCTTACTGATTTGGGTGTGGTACTGATTCAGATGTCCAGAATTGTCCTGATGTCTGGAGGGAAGATTGTATTTAAAGCTGGTATCTACAGCTTGACTAGTGTTTTCTAGAAGCTGTCTGTAAACTGTGATTCTCCTGGGAAAGCCAAGTCTGATTTCTAACAAATATTAGGCTGGCAGTTCATTGACAACTATGAGCAAAATTAATTCACTTCGTTTTCCAAATAATAGATATCCTCTAGTGTGCTGACTTTCTCCTTGTTTGTTGCTTTCTAACATACTAAATTAAAGGTTAGCATCCTAGAAGTGCTCCTTGTTGAAACAGATCTTGTGCATAATCCTTGTTATAGTTTGCCATTGTAAAACTGTGGAAGTTGTACGCCTCATCTAAAGTTGCTTTGACCAAGGGTAAAGCTGTAGGTAACAGGCCACAAGAAAGGCAGATCTGAAAAGAACCTGTTGACTACTCTACACTGTGGCACTTGAACCACTTACTTCAACTGAAGGTAGAGTATAGCATCCAGTTCCCAGGGGATACATAATCATTACCTGATTTTAACTAATTAACTGTTAAGGAGCTATATGGCTTTACAGTTGAGCAGAGAAAGTTACTGAGCTGGGGGACATGTGGCTTTCCTGGAAACAGTACTATTTTATCAGGACTTGTTCTAAGGAAGGGGAAGATTCAAAGGAAGCTATACATAAAGGTAGCTGGATATATTAAGTGGTCCTCCTTTTCCTGAGGCAAGATTTTAGAATAGGCTTTGAAGTGTATAGGCTTTAGTAGAGACCTGTAGAAGACTTAGCCATGTCTACTATATAATGGTTTAGAAGGTCTTGTCAGGCATATGGCATTGGAACGCCACTCTGGTTTGGATCCAGTGGCACTCTTCCATCAGTGGAATGAGTTTCCCTTTCCCCTGCACACCCCCCCCCCCACACACACACATTCTCCAACCTCTATTCTAGAGAGCTGGGAGACACTCTGGCGCAGTTGGAGGGGCATGGCGGGGGCTGCAGTGGGGAAGAGAGCATGGAGAAGCCTTATTTCCTGAGCGAACTTTGCTTGCAGTGTTGGATCCCAGTCTTGAACTGCTCAGAGTACTGTCTGCAGCTATTCTGTCACACAACAAGTTTCTTTTGGAGAGTCTCTAATACTGTACGGCATTAAGGCATTTCTGACCCTTGACATTTTGTATCATATTCTCAGTGACTGGGAAGGGCTAAACAAATACGACTGTTCAGAACTAATAAAAGCACAGAAATATTGTATCAGCTACTTGATCACAGGCTATAGTCTAACAGTATTACACCTGAATGTATTCAAATAGTTCTTTGCTCAGGTACCCTTGACAATGCTTCCAATTCAGGTAATATAAACCCCTGTCCAAACCATAGCCCACTTAGCTTATAATCAAGAATATGATGTAAAAAGTTCCCATTTAATGTGTATTTTTGGTGATGTGCTGCTTTAGTGAGATGGAAAATGATCCACCCTGTAACATATCTGTAAAATGAAGTAAATCAAACTTGGAACAGTCTTGTTTACAAAAGCTTTAATGTGAATAGTAGCTTTAAAAAAGGAAAGAAAAATGTTTGTTTAGCAACAAAAGTCAGAGTCTCTTAAAACACCTGACTAGCCAAAACTTAATTGGTAACAATTATAATTTTTCTCTTAAGTACTGCAGGATATAACTCCCAATATAGCACTCTCTGCCATACAATTAACTCACAAATGTTCTACCTTCTTTACAAACTGCCTGATGTCTTGAGCCAAGAGCTGCGGTTGTTCAAAAGCAGCAAAGTGCCCACCTTGTGGCATGTAGGAGTAGGTGACAATATTCTTAAACTTCCTTTTTGCCCAGGAACGTGGGACATGAGCAAGTTCATTAGGGAAGGCAGCAATACCGGTGGGAACATGAACTGCAATCCTGGAGTGGAAGATAACCAAGATAACCAAGAGAAAGCAGACAATATGGATACAGGCATGCTTTTTCTCGGTAGGCCATACTATTGTCAATTGTAAATTCAGTGTGTGTTTCCACAGAGTCTAGCCCCACTAACATGCATGGCTTCCTTTTTTTCTATTTCTATATAAGTGTTAAATTCAGGCCAGTCATCTTGTTGACCAGTGTGAAAGTCCAAAATCTGTATCATCAAACTCATGTTATACTGGCAACCATGCAGACTTGAACGTTGTTCTGTTAAAAAATACAGACAAACTGCAAGAGTTGGCTGTGAACCTCTCACCCCTATTTTATAGCAAAGATGGACTTAATTAGGTCTTTTCAACAAATTGGGAGAAAAACCCTCCATGGGCTTTGAAGTCTTACTGTGAAGCATCTTAAGGGTACAATCCAGTAAGCTCCCTTTAGGCATGCACATAAGATTCCACTTTGGAATCTTGATTATGGTCTTGGGATTTAAATTTCTAATTTCAACAGTTCAGATATAACTTGTTTTCAAAAAAAATACTATTGTTTTAGCTATGAAATCTAAAATATTCCAAGTACTAGAGAAAGCAAAATATTTTAGAGGCTACATCATTTGTTCTTTCATTATAACAATAGTATAAAAACTGGAGCATAGTCATATTCAGCATGGGCCGAATACATATAGAAGTGGAAGTATCTTAAAGTGCAAGCCTATGGATTACCTCTTGATATTTGTAAGCCTGTGAACTTGAGCCTTACAAGTATTCAGTGTAGAGTGGAAGGAGTGGTGGAGGCAACATTTGCCTCCCTGCACCTTCTGCTCTGAAGTTGAAGAAGTTTGGAGGGGGAGTGAAGGAGTCCGGTGTGCTGCCAGGATACAAGGTAGTCTCCTTCTCCTTCCTGTCTTATTACATTCTCTGTGAGACCAATTTTCTAACCCTTGAGAAACAGTTGTCACAAGATGGAGATCAGAGTAAGGTCACATCTCAGCTTTGGGAAGTATCATATCCTTCCCCCCACAATGTTGTCTAGAAAGTCATAGGATCCCTATCTAAGACACCTTGCAGTCCAATTGCTTAACTTTGGTGATGTGGCTTTTGTGAGAAATGCTGAATTGAAATTTTATCCTATCCAAATTATATTAAATTGCATACAGTCATTGCATCAGAAAAATTTTCAGTGTGTATTAGAAAATCACTAGAAACATATCTAATTTATCATGCTTATTAAATACATGAAAAATAACATAGCTAAAATACCTCAGGTTAATATTTTGTCTCAATACAACATAAGTATTTTACCTGAAATATGTGTTGGGGGTAATTAAAGCTCACAATATGATTTATGTGTTGTATGATGTCTGCATTTTTACTGGAACGGTTATAAATGTTTAGATATAGCAGTATGTACTTCCTTTGCATTGTTTAAATGTAAGAGAGTAATATAGGCACTGAACACTGCTGACACACTAATTTCTTCTTCCCTATCTTAGTATTCTTTAGATATGTTGGCATACACCTTTAGCATCCTTCAGTTAGCATGGCATACTCAAAGTTGCTGTCCAACAGATCTGGAGGACATCAGATTGGGGAAGGATTGTACTGATTAATTTTAGAACCCAAAGGACTTCGTATGATATGCCAATGACCTCTCATGTATTTCAACTGATTTCTCTTCCACTGTGTTGTTGGGACACCTTCAGTTGCTATTTATTAGTTCCATTTCACATTGAGACGTAATGTGTTTCAGTAACATATGATCTTTCACTTATGTGTTAGGGATAATCAGGTGAAAAACAATCACAACTTTGAAACTGCCAAGTTTCCCTAATATCATATTTGCAAATGCTATCCATCTATTTTTACTAATGAGTTTAGGAGATTGCAAACTTTTCTGCCAGATATTAGTGCTCATCTTAAAATGGTTTCTGGAATTTTTTCCTTACCTGGCATCAGGAAGAGTATTTGGATTCTGGGATAAATTCTCCTTATAAAAGCGCATTGATGGCACAATAGAGGAAGTCACCCAGTAAATCATGACATTGGTTAAAAGGTCATCCAGAGAGTATTTCCTGAATAGGGGAATTAAAAGGAAAGAATTGCTATAACTTTGGTAGCAAACCACATTTTGGCCCTTCCATACAGGTTAGAATGAATGATTGAACAGCTACCTTGTGGGAGGTATTAGATCAGGGTAAGCAATGGGAAGTCTGGTCACCCTTCTTGGTTCTCTGGCTATGGGGCAGCATACAAATGGGATAGATAAATAAGGAGTCCTAGCCATGTCATTGTTTTTATTAATATTTGTTCTTATTGGCAGTTGGAATTTCAGTGAAATCTGTGTCTGTTCGTGCTTAAAGCTTTGGGTTCAAAGAAATTGTTTAGCATGTTGTGATTCAGACCCAGTATTGTGAACTGGGCTCCTCCTTTTGCGTAATAAAAGCCACAAGCCTTTCTTGCAAAACATCCTTTATTGACCAAAGCTTTTTCCAGATGCCCAAATATCCAGAAAGTATATCTGAGGATGCACAGAGTGGTTCATTGAATGGAATCTAGTATTTGCTTCTAGGAACTCTTGTTATGTGTATGTTTGGGCCCCATCCTTTTAGAAACAAGCATGCCTCCTCACTGCTCTATGGTCCTCTAATTGGGTCACCCTCCTCTGCCAACATCATGTCATGAAATCAAGAGCTATACCCACCTCATCTTGTCTCTGAGAAACTCCCCTGTTCCAAGTCTCCTCCTGTGAACTGTACATCTTAGTTATTCTCAAAAGCTGCCTGCACACCTGGGGAGTTTGGCCTTGAAATAAGTGCCTCTGCTTCTCTCATCTCAATGTCTGGAACTGGCCGTCATTCCAATGTCCCCTCCTGTTCTTCCTCTAAATTCCAATCAGCAGGTCTTGAGAATGTAGGCTAAGAGTAACTGTCTTTCTCATTCTCAACACCCAGCCTTTGGTTTATATTTGGTATTTCTGGTGGGTTACTTGTCCTTTGCCACGTCTCCCATTCCTGGCAGATTAATTGTCCTTTGCCACAATATATCCCTCCACTTTCCTAACATAAACTTTTTATAGATTCCTACCTTTCCAGGCCTCCATCATCCAGATTCAGGAATGAATTATCTGTCCAGGTGGAGAATTTCTCTAGTATATATGCTGCAAGCCCCACAGGGCTGTTATTCAATCCACATCCTAGGTCAGGAAAATTGTGTATTAGCTTTCATATCAGTCACTTGCACTGCCTTGGGATTGCTGGAGAAGACTTGTGCAGGGATTGAGGGATAATTAAGGCTTTGGTTTTCAGGCAAAATGATAATCTGCATGTCTCAAGTACAGAGGCCCAATTCTTCCCAGAGGCCATTGTGAAAATAAGGATTGTTACTGACTTATATATGGTGCACCCCATGTAAGTGATAAGTGAACTTACCCCAGTAAGTTTGTTACTTGGAGCATAACACATTCATCCAAATGCATTCTTCTTTAATTCAAACTCTTGTTCCATATAACAGTGCATGTATATTATCCAGATGTATCTTGTGAGTAGTAGTGTGATAATCATGTATCACCATGTTATCTGTTTTATATATGACTGGTAGATTTCACATGGCCTGCCTATGTTTACTCACCATCACTCCTACGAAAATGGTCTCCACAGTGCAATGACAACTGGGAAAGCAGCTAAGAAGATGCTTTAAGAAAGTTTTTAGGGAATCTAAGTGGTAGGATGACTGAAAGTAATAGGAAGAGGGGAACTGTGTATCCTTTTACTGCATAGTATCTGAAACTTGAAATCAATTTGTAATACATTGATTCATGCTTGCTACAAAGGAAAAGACTATTGTAGGGATTGGGCATAGAATACAGCCTTCAAAGGTCGTTGCCTCAGATTCAGAATCAGACTAGAAGAAGCAGCAGAAAAGAAATGTATAGCTGAAATGCCAAGGCCAACTGACCCAGAGATAAAGCAGGTAGCTGTAGAGAACCACACATTTTCAAGTTCTGCAGAAAACTTTGCTGAGCATTCAGAGATGGCTGGAGATAGATTAAATATCATGCGTCCCAAATGTATGGTATCAGATAAAATGGACAGACCAATTACAAAAGTGTCAGGCATTCTTGGCTATTGGCCCATAAGCAGCATGAACCACTGAAGGAGGAAACAGCACTTTTGGTTTGGGAGAGGGAAGAGGTATTTGATTTAGCATCAACTTTGTATCATTAAGCCACATTTCCCTAATAGCCAATATTCAAACTGCATGAATCTATGGTTATTGCCTGCTTCAATACACCAGTTAACACTGCTTCATGTACATGCATGTGTGTTTACATTCATTCTCTCTTCATGCAAGCATATAACTAGGAGGGCCTACTGTGTGAACCTGGTCTAAAGGTAGCTGTTTTTTCATCTCAATGACTACAATTGGGAGAGAAAGCGCTATGTATGTATTACCTGTACTTTTGTATTCACCTTGCAAAAATAAAATAATGCATTAATTAGGGCTGAAATAATAACATGTCAGATTTATATGACTATCACCTCACTAAGGAGATCTTGCTGCTGTGTGGGTGGGGGAATGTGACAACAACAGGCAGCAATGGTGGGGATGTTGCAAGCTGCTGCTGATTCTTACAGACGGGGTTGCCAAGTAGACAACCCTTCTCTGCCAAGACCCAAACCACCAGAATGCTCCTCCCACTCCTCTGGGTGGCATGGCAGCTGCTGGCAAGCCATGTTCTGCTCAGCCTGAGCATGACTCACCTGCACCACCACAACTGCCAGGTCCTTTGACTGGCTGCTGCAGCACAGGAAGCCTCTGACAGCGCTCTCAAAGTGCCACTTCGGGGTGGCTGTCATTAGTGCTTGCTTAAAGCCATTTGGCCAAAGTGGGAACCCTCATTTGCTACTCCTGCCGAGTGGCTCTGTAGCAGTTTGGCTTGCCTTCTTCCACACCCACCTCCACATTGTGTCATCTAGGTTCAGATGACAAGGCAAAGCTTTGTGGGGCAAACAAACTCTGTACTGTGCCATGGCTTATCAGGGTAGCTTATAAGCCAGACTTAAGGCATCTTGGCAAATCCATCCCAGGTTTGGACAAAACACTAAGCCAGTGTAGCTTTCAAGGTATTGTGACTTGGCATGTCTCATGAACCCAGTTAGTGTTTCACTTGATTCAAAGCTATGTGGCTACCCACAAACTGTTCCATGTATTAAATTAATTCATCCGCTCCCCCAGTTGTGTGGGATTATTGCCTGCACTTTCATTTCAGCTTGACTATCAGTATTATCCTTGATTTATAAAAGCAGGAACAAAGTGAAAGATGAGGGATTTAGTTGACAAACCTGCTGTGTCTGGTTTGGTGGCCTGGATGTGCAAGTATCCACTTTCTCGCAAGATAGTATACACGTGCTTCTTGAAATATGGGAATAAACGGCGTGCGTCTTCCCTGGTGAGGCCCACTAACCATGGCACGTAGGCTCCCAGTAGTAAAGACACCAAGCCACTCAAACCAATATTGCTTTCGAAGACCATGTTCAGGTGAAGCCCTTTTATGCGACTGAAATCAAGGAAAAGGCATGAAGATTGATCCTAAGCATGTTTGTTCAGAAATAAGTTACAGTGGATTCAGTGAGACTTCCTAGTAAGTGTGCTTAAATGGCAGCCTCAGAGTCAGAATCATTAAGAACAATAAAAAGAAGAAAACTGACACAGAAGATATATAATCATTGTGGGCACTGATAAGGATATATTGCTGCTATTTAATAGCAGTTGTAATAGAGATGCTAGCTGACATTTCTCAGTTGCTTCCCTTATGCTGCAATAGGAGCTAATCTGGAACAGCTAATTCGGGGGAGGGAGACTGATTAATGGGAATGGAATCTACTCCAGGTTTCTTTTTTTCAGTTATTTTTCTGAATCCAGTTTTATAAGAAGCACTCATTCTATTTATTAATCCTAATCTTTGGGATATAGCTATGTAATAGGATCTTTGATGGGAAAAGACTCTGTCTGGTTAGCTAAACTAGATTAATCTTTTGAAAATGGCTGCTGCCTTAACTTTGCATAGGGAAGACTTGCTTGCAAACTACAACCCACAGTTCAATAGTCCAACTAGGGTCAGAATCCCACAGTCCTAATAATATTGCACTAACAGAAACCATTGCTTGTGCAACCATAACTAGTTTCCTGCTACACTGTCAAGCGGCAGTTATGACTGTGATGGTGTTTATGACCGTGACAGTGTGTGCTTCTGTTCATGCTATGTCTTTACCACTAGTGGACAGATACCTCTGGATACTACCCAGAGACAGAGATCAAACCATCCACCACTCACTTTGGCAGCATCTGGGCCATGTTTGTGGTGATCCGTGAGCCCCAGTCTCCACCCTGTAGGTAATATTCCTGGAAGCCCAATCTCTGCATCAGCTTGTGAAAGATTCGAGCAGCAGCCAGTGTGTCAAAGCCTGTAATTTGAAAGACAGACGTGATTAAGACTGTATCTGTTAAGATTATATTAACAGTTAATTCAAAACCGGCCTAGAAACCTGTTGGTTCATTTGCCACTTGCCTTGCTTGTGTGGGGCCTCAGAGAAACCATAGCCAGGGATGGATGGGCAGATAACTTCAAACACCACATCTTCACCATGCAGTCCATGAGCAGCAGGATCTGTCAGCAGTGGGATGATCTTATAAAATTCATAGAAGGAGCCAGGCCAGCCATGAACCATCAGCAAAGGCCTGACTGCCTTTGCGTTTGAGCTAGGAGATGCTTTCACATGGATAAAGTGTACCTCAATTCCTGGAAGAAACAATAGATAAGTTAAAGTGGGAGTTGTCTCGGAGAAAGTTCCATGTGGAAAATGGGAAGATAGTTGATTGAAAGGATCAAGTCTGCTACAGGATTGACTAATGTGAGTTTTGAGAGGCAAAAATTCACCTTCAATAGTAGTTTTATAATGTGAGTACTGGTTGAGGATTTTGACTTGTTTCTGCCAGTCAAACTGGTTCCTCCAATAAGAAACCACTTTCTTCAGATAATTGGAGTTGAAACCATAGTTGAAGGCTGCCCCCTCCAGTGGTGGGGTGTAGCGGGCCAGATCAAGGCACAGGTGCAGATCCTGGAAAGAAGGAAAGGAGGTTTATTTCAGTTGTGAGCAATACTGCAACATGGGTCTGCAGTCTGTGGCCCATGGCCATATACAACCCTCTGCTAGTCCCTGTGCAGCCTGCCAAGGCCCAGCAACTTTCCCCAACATGGGAAAGAATGATCCTGAAGGGGATCACTGGGAGTGGCTTTAGACCTTTCTGATCAGGCTGAAGACTCCTCCTTCCTCAGCAACAGTGGGGAGTAAGGGATGGTTTAAACTTCTCTGTCCCAGCCCACCATGGTCCTTGTGAGGTGAAGAAAGGGTGCATGGATCTATTTCTGTATGCATGGAACCCCAACCTTTCACCAGGCCCTGCATGTGGCCCTTTGGCTCAAAAAGGTTGCCTTCCTTTGCTGTAATAAATATTTCAAAACCACATTGCTTTTCTACCATTCCCTTCACTCTGGGTGCACAGGAGGACGGGGAAGTGCAGCCCACCCTCTTGCCCTGGAGGCAAGAGTACGGACAGCAGTCAAAACCTGGGGGCATTTTTAAAATGGATTTAGACAGGGATAAAGGTTTTGTTTGTTTTGTACAGGAATAGATCAGCCATGATGTGTCCTTGCTCAGTAGCCCTCTGCCTCTCAAGCAAGAGATGCTTGCAGTGATGAGAAAGAGCATGGCAAGCAGTGCCAGCTGGGGGCAGCAAGTGAGCAGGTAGACCTGAAGGGAGGGAGGCCACTGAGGAGGTCTTGTCCCAGGGCCCTCAGAAACCAGGAGCTAGCACTGCCTTTTCCCTTTGCTGCCATATATTACATATATATACATATGTATATATATGTATATATTATGTATAATATATAATACATATATTACAGCTTGTAAGGAAAATGAAACGCACCAATCAGATACATTCTTCTATATTTTATTAATAAATAGCTCTGCCTACAACAGCCAGAGGCATCTCTTGGAAACTGGATTAACTCTGACTCAGGTACAATGCATCATCTTTCTAAGAAATAAAGAAGCTGCAAGTAATATAGTAATATACGAACTGTGCTGTTCCTGAAAGATATCATTACTTGGCCAAGCTGAGCCAGTGGGATCAGCACTGGACGAACGTACGAGCTGTGTATAAGGGCTCAAGGATGGCACTACATTAGCCACTCTACCTCTGAGCACCTGTGCCCGGAAGCAGTTCTTTGTTTTGTTACTTCCTGTTCAATTTCCTGTATTTGGTTGGTTGTTCACCTGAGGAGATTTGCTTCGCAGCTGCTTACTAAACTTTGAGTTGCCCAGTAGAGTTGGATGGATCTGGGATTCACTGCTAGGGACTTGCTGTGTGCCTTCATCACTACTTTCTCAGCTTTTGTTCTTGCTCCACAAACTTGTAATGTATGCATGATATGCCAGCTTAAACAGAACAGCAACTGTACTTTTAAAATGTGAGGTAAATGATAAATGGCAGTGTGAGTTACTCTGTTCACATGTCTATCCTGTATTCCTCAGCCCAATTATCTACCAGTACCTGGATTTCCTTCTCAGATGTTTGCACTTGGAAGGGTCGAATTTCTTCATCTTCTTTGTCTCTTGTTGGTCTCTCACCTGGGCCCCACCATCCTTCTCCCATTTCTAAAGTCTTCATTCTGTGCCTGGACAAAAGCCAGTAAACCAGGAGGACTCCACCTCCTAAAGTGCAGGAAGTGGCAATCATATTTATTTGGGGTGTGTCATAAGACCTAGAAAAGCATCAAAGAAACTGTGAGGCAGATGTTGAGACAAACTGTACATACAGAAGAATGGCAAGCACTTGTAGTTGCTTCCACCATATATGATGGGCTTTCTCTGAAAATAACTCTTGGAATATAATTGGGTATTGGGCCTCTGGACAACTTACAAACAGAATACCCAATAAATACATATAAACCCATAATAATCCAGGACTGAGCATAAAACATAATTAAAATATTTAAACATTAAAATTATGGGAAAATAAAAAGCGCCAAAAGGCATAACTCTTTTGTTCTAGCTAAACTGATAGAACAAAAATGAACACATTGAAGCAGACCCCGGACTAGCATTATTGCCATTATTTAGAGGACAAGTGGGACAAAATGTTAAATAATTGTTGACAAATGTATTCAAAGCAGTAAGATTAATAATAGTAAGAAATTGGAAAATAAAAGGTGATTATCAAATAGATGACTGGTATAAAGAAGTTTGGAATATAGCTATTAACGATAATTTAACTTGCAATATTAAATGAAAAAAGGTTTGATAAGTAAAAATAATTTTGAAAATATTTGAGTATGTCTTAAATAAGAATTTCAGTCTGCGTTATTAGGATGAATGCTGTCGCTTAGAAATATTGAAGGAGGGGAAACAGAAGGAGTAAAAAGTATTGATTGTGTGTTTGGATATATGAGTGTATGTAGGCAAGTTTCATCTCAGAGTGATTATTTATTCTATTGCCACACACATTTTAAACTGAGAGACCCAGGCTATAAGCCATGAAGTATTTAAAATTATGAATTATTTTTAAAACATGGATGGCCTTTGTTTGGCACTGAAAAGAACGGGCAGATTTGCATGTCATGCTGTCAACCCGTAGTGCTCCCAACAGATAGTTAGGCTCAGGATAGGCTGTTCTCCTCCACCTCCTCCATCACTGGCCCTCCAGTGGCCCTGGCACATATCCTTGCATCCTTCATGGCAGAACACCTGTTGTCTCCCCCTCTGTGCTCCAGTTGATAGCACTTCTAGTTTGCCATCATTTTTACTTTTAGGAGCCTCAAAAATACACAATTGGGATTGTACTTTCTCCAGTCCCTGAAAAGTTTGCTTTCAAAAAATGGTAACAGTCCTCTGCAAGTTCACACTTATGGCAACCTGATACATGTCTCCTTCCTCTGTCAATTTCCTTGTCTGTTTCAGCTGTCAAAAGGAGGACATGGTGAGACTGCACAGATTTTGTGCAGAGTTGCCAGGGACCAAGTGCCTAACTGTCAGCTGAAAAGCACTGTGAGGCTACTGAGTTCAGAGGGAAGAAGTAGATGTGCATTATGGCAACTGGTGGCAGCTGGACAACTCTAAAGGGCAGGGTGATGCTCCAAAGATCCAGGGCCCATGTGTGCGAGGGCAGATGGCTTTCCAGAGATTTGGGACTCCAAATGAAAGATTCAGCCTCCAGACCAAATAGGCTACTCCCTGCCAAGCCTCTGGTTATGTTTGTCTTCTAAGGTTTACAGTGAGCATTTTGTAGAAGCTGAGAGGATTTTGCGGTTCAGTTACTGGAGAGTATGTTGGTTGTCCTTTGTGTATCTTAGAATAGTAGAGTTGGAAGGAGCCTACAAGTCCACCCCCTGCTCAGTGCAGGACACCAAGTAAACCATCCTTCTCAGATGACTGTCCAATTGCATCCTGAATGCCTCCAGTGTGGGGAAGCCCATGACCTCCCTGGGTAATTGGTTCATTGCCCTCATCCAATAGATGTTTAATTTGCATGTAACTGCAAATTGCAATAGATAAGTGAACTAGACAGGGAAAGAAATATGTTTTTAGTGACAAAAGAAAATAGTTCTGGAAATATGTGAAATCCTTTGGAAGAAACGGCTATCTTATACTTCAGTTATACTGAAAATACCTTTACTGAGTCTCTGAAAACCAAAGAGGAATTATACCTTTTTAAACCTTTGCTCTCCTTCCGATCTGCAATTGCACTGGATGTTGGCCTGGTATGTACTTTTGGACTGTGTATGTCTCTTTCGCAAATAATTAATGGAAAGGCTGTCCTTTGCTCTAGACGCAGCAGCCGCAAAAGGATCAACAGAGAAATAATCTCCATTCCCATCCAGGCTTTTAGGGAAATAACAGCAACATTCTGTTTTCTCTGGTGCTTTTGACATGTTCAAAATGCTTCACAGAAATTATTTTCTTGTAATCTTTACAATGACCTAGTAAGTTAGGTCAGTTTTATTGTCCCCATATTGCAAATGGGGGCTGCCACAGAAAGATGGTGACTTAGCTAAGGCCATTTCAAGTGTTCAAAGCAGAAGAAGCTTTATCTGAAACCCCAAATCTTGGAATATTTGGATTAGGGAGCGGGGCTTGCAAACTACACCTAGATTACAGAAGATCAGGAACCATACACACAAACGTCCCCAGCATTCAAGAGAGGCAGACTGGCTTATGCAATAGTTAGTCCAATGTGTGGGCAGTGCATTAAAAAACCTAAAGCATCTTCCTCCTTAGAGGCCTTCTCTGGGTAAGATTTGGAATTTGTTCAGCACCAAACAGCTTCAGAAATGCTCATTTGCTTCAAGCAGGATCACGACAGTGATTTTACCTTTGCAGCCCTCCCTCCCTCAGCAGAATGCTAAGATTCTTCCACACAGTTCTTCAATTAGTATAACCTTACTTCCCTCTCCTCTCAACACATGCCGACTGAAAACAACAAAACGGCCTCTTTTTGATGCATGTTTATATAAGGAATAGTCTGATCCATATGACTGAACTCAAATGGGTAGCCATTCCAGATTCACTGCTCCATAAGGAGAAGAGCTGGACCTTGTTTTTATCATGCTCCCCTATTTATATTTACCTGGTTTAGCTGCCCTGTTTTCAAAACTGTCTTTTCAGCAGTTATGATTTTCCAAGCAGATTCCAGCCAAACCCCAACTTTAATCAACTTCTCTGGAAACTTGCCTGCCGCATCTTTACACTCACCGGACATTCTGTAGGATCTGCTGCCACATGTCTGCAACAGGGTCCAGCAAATAAGAATTCAGCTTGGTACAATGTTACTGCTGCGTGAAAACAATCTCAGCTACTTTTGGTTTCCACTTTTCCTCTGTGCTGTAAGTGAGAGTATACAGAAGATCACACAGTTTCCTGGCGCCACCTGGTGTCTAAAGTCTTCTATTACAGCTTATGATGATATAACTTGATTAAAATACCTTCAGTTTCTGAAAGAACGTTGGGTGAATCATACTTGGAATAGGGGGTATCCACTTTACTCATTCAGTGCTCTTTGTATGTGAGGTTTCACTGTGATCCCTTCACAAAATACCCAAACCCTGCTTACAGAAGTATCCGAAGGTCTTGTCACTTTTGAGAATGGCATGGCAGTGATTTCTATAGACAGACCTATCCTACAAATTTCATTTGGTTTTAATAGACAAATTACTCTCCTCAGGAAACATCAGGGGATGTGGTTTTCTGAGCAGTGCAAGTGTATTACCCTGAGCCCTGGCTATGGGTGAGGTGCGTCTCTTGATTTCTAGGAAATGATATACCACTTCCAGGTTTGGACACTGGTCCAATTTAATGTCTTGGTGACAATTAAAACAGCTTTATGTCCTGCGACAATAAAAAAAGTTTATTGTTCTGCAACACACCAAACACTAGCTATGTTTCAAGGTTTTACAGTGCACAACTGGATAGTATGCAAGGGAACCCCCAATCAGCTGGAAGGATGGACAGGCAGAAGGGGGTTACCTCGAAAAGTCCAAACAAGAGCACGCAAAAGAAGATGTACTTACGTAGGTTGCATGATTCAGAGCATGGTACATGCATACAACATTCTAGATTACATTATAATCATAATGTAGTATACTGATTACTTATGCAGGCGCTAATAACTACAATGCATAATGAGTATCTCTGCCTGGCCTACCAAGGTCTCTTCCCTGCTTGAAGGTGCCAAGTGATAGCACAGTCCTGCAAACAGAAGCCATTGTACTATGCTGATAAGGAGTATGGTCAAGGGAGGACACACAGCAGTGTGTGTGCGTGCATCCGTGCATACTCCTTTGATTTATCTCTTGTAAGAAATTCCCCTGGTGGGAAGACTGGCAGAGGTGGCTAGGAAGATAATAACTAAAGCTCTATTGTTTTATCGACATAAACAAGATAGCTAAAGTCCACTTATGCCAAGGAAGGCCTATATTTTAAAATACCAGAGGCCCAGGTCTAGATTTTCTGGTTTGCGCATGCCACAGCAAGAAATCTCTAACAGTGGTTATCCTCATCAGATTAAAATTCTCACACTGGGGGACACCATGACAGCTTACTTGGTATAAAAACTAACAGAGATCTTGGGGGGGTCCTTAGAATCATTTCGAAAGGATCCTGCAGCTGTCTAGTTCAGAATCTTTGACACATCGTCTCCCCATAGCTTCTTCCAATGAAGAAGAAACTCCCTGTCACAAGTCAGCCTGTTCTATGGGCAAATATCCTGATGTTTAGCCAAAATCTGCTTCCTTGCAGCTTCCAGCCATTCGTCTTAGTTCTGCCTCTGCAGCAGTATTCTGCTCCACTTGCTGAGATTCTGTGCTTCAGATATTTGAACAGTGCTATTACGTGTCCCCTTAAGCTTCTATTCTCTGGGCTAAACATATCCAGCTTTTCAGGTTTCCTCAAATGACATGGTTTCCAGAGCCCTCATCATCCTGGCTGCTCTGGACAAGTTTTTCAGTATTTTTCTTTAAAAATGCTGCCCAGGAATGAACCCATGTTCCAAATACAGTGCAACTAATCCAGAATACAGAGGAATAATTTTTCCATTTAACATAGCCAATTGCATTAATATTGTTATCAGCCACATCACACTGCTGCCTCAGTCTGTCACCCACAAAGCCACCTAGGTCTTTTCCAGACAAACTACTGCTCACCCAGGTCTCTGTGATCCTATACATGTGCCTTTGATTTCAGGTGTACCTAAATGTAAGGCTTTATATTTATCACTATTGAATTTCATCTTGTTCATGGTTCTGGTCTTCCAAGGTCTTTTTCAACCTTGATTCTGTCTTCTCTGGTGTGGTTATCACCTCCAAACTTTGTGTCATATGTAGATTTGACAAGCCAATCCCTTCACACCCCCATCCAGGTCATTTATAAAAACTGTCGAACAGCAGAGGACAGATCCCTGCAAAATGCCACTCTCGGACAGGCATTCCTCAGGAAAGAAGACAAACATGGTCTACATCCCAGGACTACTGGAATAACTCCTACAGGTGGTCATGACATTCCCAATGTTCTTGCCATTTCCCTGGACTCCCTGCCCCATGTTCTCTGCAGAGCTCTCGTTTGCTCCCTGGAGTGGCTCAATCCCACAAAACAGAAAGCTTTGCTGCTGCGAAGCTGTCCTTTTACCCTCCTGTGGCTCCACCCACAAGGCTCTTCTAGCTCTAGGCTAAAGCAAATGACTCAGCAGGTGAGCTCCATCCAGGTTTTTAAAGGCAATTTGAAAATAGCAACCATTATAATCACAGGTGAGTGGGCTGACTCAGCAGCCAACTGAAAGGAGAGAACAAAATCCCAACCTGGAGAGAGAAAGAGACTTCAAACAAGCCACATGCTCTAAACCTGTATTCCTACCCTGTCCTTGCCACTTGCAGCAGGCCCCTGCCGAGGTCTCTGTTTGCTCACACGCTTCCACTCAGCTCCAGGAAATGGAGAGCTTGGCTGCAAGTGCAGAGGTCACCTTCTCTCACTAGCCACACCTGCAGAGAGTGGCTCCACCCACAGACCCCGTTTGTAGCACAGCAGCACAAATCCAAGGACTCAGTGACCAAAGATCCATTACCAGAATGCAAAGAGAAGAAACAGGCTGGAAAGAACCACCGGCTGTATAGCAGGCTGAGATAACTCTGCAGCCTAAGCAAAAAGAAAAAGTCTGGGTTTGCATGACATGACAGCCCATCATGAGTGACAAGCCATGTGGGGCTGTCACGCTGTGTGAAGGTGGACTGCTTCCCAAACCTGGGCAACAGACTCCCTCATTGGTCCTGGATTGTGACCACTGAGCCACTTGGCATGAGTGGCAAACCTTCCCTGCTGGTTTGGCTGAGCTTGCCTGAGTCACTGCCCGTGCCACCTGCCCCAGTGAAGCCCAAGCAGCATGGTGGAGTGACTGGCACTGGCTCAGTGTCCCCCATCATGACCATGTACCTGTTTTACTTGCCACAGCTTCTGTTCTCCCCGCTTCCCCCCCCACCCGAGATTACTGCTTGTGATGTCCAAGATGCCAGTCAGTGATAGCCATTCTGAAGTTCCCACTTTAGAGGGGTGCCACTTGGTTTGCTACCATTTTTTAAAAAGTGCCTCTATCATACACACATTTTTGTATTAGTATTTTTGTCAAAGTATGCCAATAAAACTGGTTGCTCCGTCAGGGAAAGTTTGTTTAAATAAACTGGTTTTCAGCAAGTGCTATAGCAGACAAAACATGGGTGTCTAACCGTAGGACCAGAGGCTTTGGTGGTCAGCCAGGATCTCCTGCTATGGGGAGGACATCAGCCACTGCTACGATGCACTCCTCAGCCCTGGATCCTTAGTGTGCTGCGGAAAGTGCATGCACAGGTGAGGCAGCAAGGTTTAAAGTAAATGCCAGCCACTGAAATGGGTGGATTTTTCTCCTGTAGAATCTGGACATCACATTTAATTCAAATTTGCATTATATTCAAAAGTCAGATTTTACCCAGATAAAGCAGTCTTTGGAGATCCTAGAGCAGGGACTAGCCAGCACAGCCAATGGTAAGGGCTGATGGGTGCTGTAGGTCAAAACAACTGGAGATCCATCAGCTGCTCAACCCTGAGCTAGAACTTCTACAAAAGGCAGGGTAAAACAGAGCCCTGTGAATAGGCCCAATGCAAGTTATCACTGGATCCAGTTTTCCCTGGGACACAGTCTCTATGCTTTGGACTCAGCTTTATTTAAGGTTCCTTAACACGCATGCACAGGTTTTATGTAGAATTCAGTAACAGAGCAATACATTTTTGTTATGGTGCGGCCTCTAGTGGTCAAACTTTAGAACTGTTTTTGCTGAATTTATTTATTGCAGCTGGCACTTGTAAGCAGATGTCTTGGCTATCCTAGAAGATGCCATGACAACTTCTCCCTAACCTGGTTACCACTTCTGCAGGATTTCTTTCAGCACATTCCTGTTAGCCTCACCTTATTTCCTATCAGGGTCTGTGTGTTTTCTCACAGGTCAAGCCAGGACTATAGAATTTGCTTTTTAAATTGCCTGTGACAAGCCTTTGCCCAGTTAGTCTGAAATTTGTCAGATCTGATGCCGTTTGAAGAAAATAGAAGACGTGCAAAATTCATGCCATTTGGGTGGGGAACAACAAAGCTGCAGGCAGCAAACAACCACTTACTTCAATTAGAAAAGGTTGCTTTGGCTTTCTTGATGACAGTATTATTATTAGATTTTTATTTATTTCATTTATTAAAACCCTCTGGACTATTAACAAAAATTCTTAAAACAAGAGGAAATAAAACTAAAACAGAATAAGAGCATCTAAGTGGCCATTCTGTGCAGGTTATCATGAGAAAACAAAAGCTATATGCATACACTTTTCCGAGCAGCTGGCTGAGACTTTGCCAGTTTTCCAGATACTGATAGAGAGGATACTTCCAGGGGGACTAGTTCCTCAGTGGCTATCACAGAATATGTAAAAGGCAACAACTGGACCAGGTTCAGTGACACTGAAGCACTGGGCAGAAGGCATTTTACACCAGCCTTCATCAATAGGGTGCCCTCCAGATGTTATAGACTATAAGCCTCATCGGCCCTTATCATGAGCTATGCTGGCTACACAGTGCTCTAGAGATCTGGTGCAGGACAGGGGACCCAGAAGATCTAGGTTCTAGTTCCCACTTGGCCATGTAGCAAACTGGGTGACTTTGGGCCAGTTACTTACTCTCAACCCAGCCTACCTCACAAGGTTGTTGTAAGTTTTAAACAATGGAGGATTATGTAAGCCACCTTGGGTACCTTGCAAGAGAGAAAAGGGTGAGATATAAATAATAATAGAACTTCCATCAGCATCAGTCAACAGTCATGTTG